GGCCAACTTGCCAGACAAGACAGGGAGAGACAGGTCCGTGTTGGCAGGCAGTTTAGAGAGCCAAGAAGTGACAATACCCACATCCCAAGTATGTGAGTACCGCGGCTGCGGCGGACGCTCTAGGCAGATACCACGGAGCAAACGCACCACCAACGGGTGCTGGCCAATGGGTGCACCATCCAGCTCAGGCAGGGTAGCAGACATCGCTGACCGATAGACATTCAGGGTACTGTAGCTGCGGCCGTCCTCAAAGGAATCGGCCAGGAACTGGAGCACCATAGCTAAAGATGGGCGAACGGGATCCACTGACCGTTGACTGCACCAGCCCAGCCACTGCTCCCATGCCGATGCGTAAGCGGCATTGGTTGATGACCGCCAAGAGGAGGAGAGGAGTCGCACGACCTGTGGAGAAAGTCCTGCTGCATTGAAGCGCTGCTGGAGATAGGCCATGCGGCGAGGCGCAGGTGGCGGGATAGTACCAGTGGGTGTGGATGGCCCGAGGGTGAGAGTAGCAGGCAGTCGAATGTGGGCAGAAGCATGGGGAAATCGACCAACAGCTGCAGCAAAGTCGCGTACCATGGCTGCGTATCCCATACTGGTGCGACCAGTATCATCCGGCAAGTATGGAGTGAGGCCACACGATGAAGCACCCTGTCCAGTAGGCAGAATGGTGGGAAGGCATACACCGCGTCCTGATAAGGGAGACTCCAATTCTGAGAGAACGCATCTAGAGCGAGAGCCTCCGGATCCGGCCTCCAAGCATAGAAGGCGGGAAGTTGCGTGTTCAGTCGAGATGCGAACAGATCTAGCACCAAGGTCCAAGGAGCTGCCCTCTGAATCCTGCGAAACAGAGCAGGGTCCAGGCGCCAGTCGCCGGACTCGGAGGGGGAGCCCCGAGAAGGATGGTCCGCTGGGTTCTCCTCGCTCGGCACATATTCCGCCTGGAGGCGGATATCGTGTTGGACCGCCCATCTCCAGAGGTCGCAAGCGATCTGGGACAGGAGACGGGAATGCGTGCCGCCTAAGCGGTTGATGTAGCTGACGGCTGTCGTGTTGTCGATCAACAACTTGATGTGCAGAGTGTAGCAAGAAGGACCCATGAGTGTGTGTGATCCCCGGTAGCCTAATCGGTAGGGCACTGTCCCGGAAAGACAGGGGTGCTGGGTTCGAATCCCGCTCGTGGATCCTTCTTTTGCAACATTGGCGCCTGGCAATGGCTCGAACCCACGACCCATCGTACCCCCCGCGAGCTAGGTACGGCGTGAGGACACAGCCTGTTGGGGCGGGGGAGCAGTGTAGCAAGAAGGACCCATGAGTGTGTGTGATCCCCGGTAGCCTAATCGGTAGGGCACTGTCCCGGAAAGACAGGGGTGCTGGGTTCGAATCCCGCGCGTGGATCCTTCTTTTGCAACATTGGCGCCTGGCAATGGCTCGAACCCACGACCCATCGTACCCCCCCCCCCGCGAGCTAGGTACGGCGTGAGGACACAGCCTGTTGGGGCGGGGGAGCAGTGTAGCAAGAAGGACCCATGAGTGTGTGTGATCCCCGGTAGCCTAATCGGTAGGGCACTGTCCCGGAAAGACAGGGGTGCTGGGTTCGAATCCCGCTCGTGGATCCTTCTTTTGCAACAAGAGGACGGTACGAAGCCCGGTGATGAAAGGCTTTCACCGCGAATGAGGCAGCGATCAATTCCAGAGCATTGATGTGGAGATTGGCCTCGGTAGGGGACCATTGACCCCCAGTACTCGTTGTGCCGCACACCGCTCCCCAGCCGAGCAGGGACGCATCGGAGAATATGGTGAGCTGAGCGGGAGGTTTGAGAATCGAGCGACCGTTCCAAGTTTCTAGATCTGCTGCCCACCATGTCAGCTCCGTCCTGGCTTCCGGCGTCAGGCGTACCGTGGCAAGGTAGCTCTGATGGCGACGAAGGGCTGCAATCTTCAACTGCTGAAGGTGGCGGAATTGCAGTGGAGCCAGAAACATGCCTGGGGAGCACGCAACCATCCTGCCCAGGAGTGAGGCCAATGCGCGGATGGACAGGTAGGGCTGGGACAGGGCTCGGTGGCACTCCTGCTGGAGTTTCCGCGCCTTGTCGATCGGCACAGACATCGTCATGGCCACAGAGTTCAACTGAAATCCTAGGAACTCGAGCTGTTGAGTAGGCTCGGGAATGGACTTCTTCCGATTGATTACGAAACCCAGAGATTCTAGGAGTTGAATGGCCTGCTGCGTCTGCAGCACGGCGGCCGGCCGTGACTCGGCAATCAGGAGAAGGTCGTCGAGATACAGGATGAGACGAATGCCCGGACGACGAAGAACACTGATCGGGACCTTCATCAGCTTCGTGAATACCCGGGGGGGGGGGGGGGGGCGCTGGACAGGCCAAACGGTAGGCACTGAAACTCGTAGAGTTGGCCCTCCCAACTGAAGCGCAGGAGCCGGCGGTGCTGGGGATGGATCGGCACGGTGAAGTACGCGTCCTTGAGGTCTAGCTTTGTGAGCCAATTGCCCTCTCGGACGGATAGGGGAACAAGGTGGAGACCCTCCATCTGGAAGTGCTCGTACCGCACGTGCTCGTTCAGGTGGCGGAGGTCGATGACTGGACGTTCGGCGGTGGTACCCTTCTTGGGTACGGTGAATAACCGGCTCACGAACTGGCCGGGAGATGGGCTCACCGGTCGAATTGCACCCTTGGATAGGAGATCCTCTATCTCCTGGTGGACGATGGCGCATTTTTCGGGAGGGAACCACATCTCTGTCGGAGCGGACCGCTGGCAAGGAACGGTGTGGAGGTCTAAGCAGTACCCTGAGACGGTCTTCAACACCCACGCATCCTGCGTTAGGTCTCGCCAGGTTGCCGCAAAATGCTCCAATCGGCCCGCTACCTGGGGGGTAGGGGCTTCCGTGAGGCAGCCAGGCACGGGGGAGGTCGTCAACGACCTCGAGGGCGCCCGCGAAAGGGCTGGCCCCGGCCGTTTTTTGCTGGCTGGCGGAAATGCTCCTCAGGCCGGCGGGTGACATGACCCCGTCCTGCCCTGTCGTAAGGGCGGAACCGCCCTGGATCTGACCGGTACACGGTACGACCAGAAAAACGGTCACGACGGGCAGGCTGCGACCGGTCCTGTGCGGTCCCCGGGCGCCGCCCAGAAGGCCGTGGCTGGAATACGTCCATTTCCTGGCACTTCCGTTTATACTCCCGGGAAAATCCATCACCGAAGAGGAGATCACCGGAAGGACGCAAGCCCTGCAGCAGGCTCTTCGGGCATCTCTTTGGCAGCGCTGCCATGAGGCGCTGACGGCGTGTCTCCGACAATACATTCGAGGCGTCGCCCGTCATGACGATCGCCATCTGGACCAGCTCGGTCAGTTCGTGGACCGGCCGGCCCTGCTCAATAGCAGCCCAGAGCGCGGCCAGGGGACGGAAAACGTCCGTAACCTTTTGTTGGATGTTGGCCAGCATTCTATCCGCTCTCTTGGCATTGGCCAGGCCCTGGACATCCGACAAGAACGGGTCCACGCGTGGACATCGCGTTTCCTCCACATCCGGTCGGGGACACAGTTTCCGCACCCGTCGACGCTCAGCGAAGGACAGGGAACCACGGTAGTGCTCCCGTAGGTACGAGGCCATGTGCGAGGGGGGGAGACCATACAGAGTCGTCCACTAACCCCTTAGGATCGAAGCCCGCGCCGCTACCACGGCGATGCTCTTGGGCAGCCGAGTCGTCGGATGACGGACATGTGCCACTAGGACTGTCGGAGTCACTATCGTCCGATTCTGACGTACCAGAGCTAGAACTAGTGCCAGAACTATCTCGGTGCCTGGTGAAACGGTGCGACTCGCGCCGTCTGGGTGACCCATGGCCATGTCGTCACCGGGCACTCAGGCGGGACTCGTGCGTAGCACCCGAGCGTGACCCTGACCGACATCTGTCCGCAGATTGAGATCTAGATCTAGATCTACGTGTACGTGTAGCACCAGCCGATCTATGGCGAGTATGTGTACGTCGTTCACATGAAGCAGAACGATAACGAGGGGGAGATCGTGAGTGGGGTGGAGATCTGTCCCGTGAGCATGATCTAGATCTATCTGTACGTAAATCACGTGACCCAGATACGTCAGTGACATCACCCCTAATATGGCCCCGGCCGCCATTGCTGGAATGGCGGTCCGTGGAAAAACCGAGGCTTGCCGAACGACGTTCGGCCAATGAGACAAAACGAATAGGCTCCCCGCCATCTACCCGAGAGTCATCCTGGTTCCCTTCCCTGTTGGAAGAGTTCCGAGCCTCCTCCATTTCTTGACCGCCAGAGGCTGCGGTGGTGCCACGACCAGTTTCTAATCCGCCCGTGGGTGCGGAATTTGAGGAAATTTGTATACCGTTCCCCGAAACGGTGTCTCCTATTTGTTTTCCGCGGGAGTGGGCGGATGCCGCGATGGCAGATTGTACCTCTGGCTGCGCCAGGGTATGCAGCAAATCCAAAAACAGCGTCCATCGTGGAGATATTTTGGAAAAACTCGAAGAGGCATGCAATGCAAACTACGCAGAAAATGCAGTAAAAACAAGGCCGAGGAAGGACTGGCCGAGCATGTGTGTTATGGTGTAGGAACGAAAAAAAAAAAAGCTTTGAAAACTGGTTATTTATGCAGTAAAAATGTAGGGCCACTACAGTGTTACATGGAGCGGAGCCTCTGATGTGCAATTCAGCGATAATCAGTGAGCTAGTCAAGTGTCAAGTCGGTGGAAAAACGCAAGCTCCGGTTTGGGGGAACGGCCAACTACTTTTCCAGCTATGATCTGTCCAATAATAGAAGTGCTGGCACACCCAAAAGACCTTTGCAAGGAGTGATGATAATGATATACTACACGGACCCAAAGCATAAAAAGTGCATGCATCATCAGCATCCACAGCAGCAGCCGCAAGAGCAGCAGTATCCGCAAGAGCAGCAGCAGCAGAAAGAATGATGGTCTTGTTACGAGATACGAGTGCATAACGTTACCTTCAAAACAGCTCGCCTGTGAGCTCCTTTTTCAATTCGCAGATACACCTGGATCAATTTTATAAGCCTTGTGAGCAGCTTCATTGTTCGATGACAGAAATCCCGTTGCTCATACCCTGAACCAGTACGCAAAAGTTCCCAAAAACATATCTTGTTTCCTTTTTTTAACATATAGGGAACAGACAAATGGTGCTAATCATGGACCTTCACTGGACCTCAGACAGGCATTCTGGCAACTGTTGCAAAAACTTTTGTACAACATGGTATATGCAGTGTGTACTCCGCGTTGCGATATGTTGTCATCATCATCATACATGTTATGTACAACACGTACATCTAAAACATCAAATGATTCAATGGGCATAAATCTGGGTTTATGACGTCCAGCAGTTGTCTGGTATGAATGCCTGTTTTTAACAGGTAGCTGCCTAACACTAATTTACTTCATCACTGAAACTTCTCTAACAGCAATGACATACCTGAGGGAATTGCCCAGTCTCGATGGCAGTAGAAGATGATCACCGCAGCTCCTTTGAACATGCTCAGGTCATCCAGGACTTTATCACGGCGCTGGTAGCAGGCTACGTACAGTGGAGAACAGCAATTCATACCAGAATAAGGTTTGAACTTTGAAGAGCCCATCAGAACTCAATTTATCAACACAGGCCTACCCATACACATACACACAATGTATCTGCTGCAAAAAGTCAATTTTGAAAAAGAAGGCACAACTTATCTCATTCATATAGCAATATATTCGATTATCTTTTATACTATAGTGCATGATAGATTGGGCGAATCCCAAGCAAGTGCGCTCAGAGTGAGCGTGATCGTTTGGCCGAATCCGGAGTAGGTGCACTCTTGGTACTACACATTAACTTTGTTCGATTGGGCCAGCGTTGCTCGGACCACACCACCTGCTCGCACTCAATCCGGATTTGCCAATCAATGACATCCTTAGTCAATCCTGAATTTATCGTTTCTTTCTTTCACACCCAAGAAGGAGCACAGATGGCCCAGTATGATTGAGAAAGACTTACCATTGATGGAAAAAGCCAGTGGAAACACAACTGGCGCAACGAACAAACTCATCTGACAGTCAAACATCACATCTGAAACAACACAACAACCAAACACGGGAACATGCTTTAATATACAATACATAAGCTGGGTATTTGAGCACTCTTTCTGCTAATAGAAACCCCAGTCTTATTGAGTATATGAGAGAGAGAGAGAGAGAGAGAGAGAGAGAGAGAGAGAGAGAGAGAGAGAGAGAGAGAGAGAGAGAGAGAGAGAGAGAGAGAGAGAGAGAGAGAGAGAGAGAGAGAGAGAGAGAGAGAGAGAGAGAGAGAGAGAGAGAGAGAGAGAGAGAGAGAGAGAGAGCACATCCAGTAACTATTACAGAGAGTACATCCAGTAACTATTACAGAGAGCACATCCAGTAACTATTACAGAGAGCACATCCAGTAACTATTACAGAGAGCACATCCAGTAACTATTACAGAGAGCACATCCAGTAACTATTACAGAGAGCACATCCAGTAACTATTACAGAGAGTACATCTGGCTCTAGACAGAAACTACTGGAACTTACATAACTCGTGTACTCATGTGTTTGGTCATTGCACAGAGTAATGCGGTGTCACCCCTCCTTATGGACAAAAAAAGATGTTCTGTGGATCTCAAAACAGTGCACCACTCACTTCATCCTGTCCTTCATCAGAGTACACCTGCTCCGTGCTACACTGTATATTAACATGTATCCAACTTCAAAAGTGGAAAGGCCACACAAGTCATCATAGAACATTGAGTCAGTGATCAGTGAATGAACTGAAGTACTCAAGTACCGTCTCTGCTGTACCTCGTCCAAATGTGGAAAGTAAGGTCAAGTCGACCGAACCACACAAACGAGAGAGCTTGGAAGCTCAGGGCCCTACGCTATGCTTTTATGCTTTTTTGCCTAGCTCATCGTGCATGTTATAAGAACTGATGGAATTGTCTTTTTCCGTTGATTGGCCACATCACTGTATTGCAAAAACGTTTCAATCGGTTTGAATATTATGAGTTAGGCAAAAGTATTTGCAGAATTTATTGCGGATTGTTATTTCTCTAATAATCATCTACTTTTGTTTTGCTCCTTCTTTAATTTTTATCTCCTTATATTGTAAATCAACAAATTTTGGCCGATGAGAAATAGAAATCTCTCGATTAGAGAGGTTAAGATGCACGTTATTTCCGACGTGACGCGCAGTTTCACGTCAAATTTGAAATCGATCGGTATTTTTGCTCTCACATGCATCCATTGCTCAATCAGGCATCATTTGCCTATATGACAAACGTTGGGCTGCGATTTACTTTGGCCGGTTGGTACCAAGCGGCGAAATCAGCGAAATTAAATCGCCAGCGAACATTAGTTGATTTTAATACAGGAATCGGATTTTCTGGCCTTTTTGTAGTAATACATGTACATTGACCTGTTGAGCCAATGACGACGCCGAATGCATGGTTGCCTGTGGAGCACAATACATAACTTTACAGTCTCCTAAAATACGTATCCTGTCCGACGGCAAAAGAGGCTGCAGATTTAGTTTTTCTGCGCGTCGACGGGATGTCTGCGACGCGAAAGTTCAGCTCGCGTTATTTGGCTCGCACGTCGAAAAAATCAACGCGAGTGACCTGCTGCTCACGTCAAAATTTGGACATTACATAACTTTACAGTCTCCTATATAAATACGTATCCTGTTCGACGGCAAAAGAGGCTGCAGATTTAGTTTTTCTGCGCGTCGACGGGATGTCTGTCCTGACGTTTCCTGGGACCGGCGCTGACTCTGCCGATCACGGGCGTTCTGGACTCGACGGGATATCTGTCCTGACGTTTCCTGGGACCGGCTTAGACTCTGCCGATCACGGGCGTTCTGGACTCAACGGGATGTCTGTCCTGACGTTGCCTGGTACCGCCGGACTCTACCGATCACGGGCGTTCTGGAGTCGACGGGATCTCTCTTCCGACGTTTCCTGTGACCGGCACTGAATCGCTCGTTCACGCTTATTTTGGAGACGACGGGATCTCTCTTCCAAAGTATGTTTATGCTGACGCATCCTATCACCTAATCGGCGTCTATTCTAATAATTTCCTCCTCGTCTCCCTATTTCTTTCCAAATCCCCCTCTACATCAGGGAGTCGTATGCATAATACGACGAATATTGGTACGGTACGGGACAGATACAGGAGCCCGCAAATATTGTGGACAGCTGTTATGTACAATCCTGTAGAGCTTTTGTAGTCACAGATACGGGACAGATACGGGACAGATACGGGATAGCGTCAGGCGTGACACAAACAAACAAACAAACAAACACACACACAAATACCAAACGAGAGAGCTTGGAAGCTCAGGGCCCTGCGCTATGCTTTTTTGCCTTGATGACCTAGACAAAAAAAAGCATAGGGATGTTTTCTTTAAAAAAATCCTTTTTTTTAAACCTGAGATTCGAACCCGCACTATCGCGCGCCCTGCATGCAGCCCCCGATACACTTCGCATACTGTAGAGGCAGAAAATTTCGTCGGTCAATAATTTCGTCCAACTCCAAAGAAAAGGAGTTCGTCCGGTTGAAAATTTCGTCCATGGATCATAAGAGTGTATAGAAAAGCTGGACAAATCGATATTCGTCCTACATTTAATTTAGTCCAAAAGCTCCTTGGACGAAAAAGACGAAATTAAATTCCAGACGAATATTTCTGCTTATACAGTACATACTAATTCTTCCAAGTTGTTTCACATTGTGATCTTGCATTTGAAAGCCCTATTTGAATATGCATTGTGGCCAACCATCTTTGATGGCACGGTACGGTAGGGAATAGGTACGGGACAGGTACGATCGAGGGTAATACGACACCGTCTAGCTGCCCGCAATATTCAAATAGGGCTTTCAAACGCAAGATTAACGTGAAGCAACTTGGAAGAATGGGTATGAATGCGAAGTACGGATAGCGCCAGGCGTGACACAAACAAACAAACAAACAAACAAACACACAAACAAACAAATACCAAACGAGAGAGCTTGGAAGCTCAGGGCCCTGCGCTATGCTTTTTTGCCTTGATGACCTAGACAAAAAAATGCATAGGGATGTTTTCTTTAAAAATCTTTTTTTTTTTAACCTGGGATTCGAACCCGCACTATCGCGCGCCCTGCATGAAGCCCCCGATACACTTCGCATACATACTAATTCTTCCAAGTTGTTTCACATTGTGATCTTGCATTTGAAAGCCCTATTTGAATATGCATTGTGGCCAGCCATCTTTGATGGCACGGTACGGTAGGGAATAGGTACGGAACAGGTACGATCGAGGGTAATACGACACCGTCTAGCTGCCCGCAATATTCAAATAGGGCTTTCAAACGCAAGATTAACGTGAAGCAACTTGGAAGAATGGGTATGAATGCGAAGTGTATGGGGGAATGCATGTAGGGCGATAGTGCGGGTTCGAATCCCAGGATATGCCTGAAAAAAAAAAGGAGAATTGAAAAATTTATAACATCCTATGCTTTTTTTGCCGTCAGATACGGATAGCGCCAGGCGTGACACAAACAAACAAACAAACAAACAAACACACAAACAAACAAATACCAAATTAAAGCTGTGTGGACCCTGGCTAGCGCCAGACGTTACTGAAGTAACGTCTTCTGCATAGCTACGGGAATTAAAGCTGTGTGGACCCTGGCTAGCGCCAGACGTTACTGAAGTAACGTCTTCTGCATAGCTACGGGAATTAAAGCTGTGTGGACCCTGGCTAGCGCCAGACGTTACTGAAGTAACGTCTTCTGCATAGCTACGGGAATAAAAATTCTGAATTTTTCAAAAACTAACAAACGCATCTGCTCCTACAGCAAACCCCATGTAATGCTATTGAATATACCAAATTAAAGCTGTGTGGACCCTGGCTAGCGCCAGACGTTACTGAAGTAACGTCTTCTGCATAGCTACGGGAATAAAAATTCTGAATTTTTCAAAAACTAACAAACGCATCTGCTCCTACAGCAAACCCCATGTAATGCTATTGAATACAGATGCACAACAAGATAAGGCTGGTGAAAGATGCAATTCTAACCAATAGGACCACATTACCATAGCGAAGGCAGAGGTAGATACAGACGACTGGAAGCAGAAAGATGAAAGCAAGAAAGAAAAGAAAGCACTATAAGTGTATAGCACATCACAGCAATTACTGCTTGCCTTTCACGGCTAAACAACTAGTATCAGAACAATCACCCACTTCCTATGTTGCAGTAAGGCTAGTACAGTGGTGGCAAGTAATATAAAATCCTTCATTTGCCACAACTCAAGGTCAGGACGGACTTGCTCGTTCCGTGAATGCTTTTGTGCAGGTATGTTGGTATGTTGTCGCGCTGAGAAAAGAGAAATGACTTGTGAGTACACCCACATGATCTCAATGTTATTGTATTCTTTTATTTTAATTCGCTTAAAGCATCAGCAGTACTGCCTTCTCACCAGAGATTGGCTCTCTGATTCCTACCAAAACGAAAGTAGTATAAAATAATATATGAAAAATGAAAGTGTAAAAAGGGAAGAAGATAGCAACTATAAAAAGTGGTCCTTTACCAACGGTACAAATAAGCAGTGCTGCCAAATAATTTCTGCCCAAAGTCGGACACCCTTCACCGCCAAGGCTGGCCACATGGTGCGAATTTTTCTCCTCGGCAATTTTTTTGCAGAGAACTCAAAATATCGCCTAAAACACCATGAAAAATCGCTTCGTTGCCATGGTAACCCCGGAGTTGTCATGAATTTTGTAATGATGAGTGTGGTCGCACACTGACTCGCTAGTAGGAGTCGGTACAGACTGTCAGCGTACATGCCATCCAGCCTGATCCAGGCATGTTACTTTGCACTTCCACAGCCAAGCGCTAGCCTTTTCTAGAAGCAAATGTACACGTACAGTGATGTGTGCCTTCAGTTGCGCTGAAAAGTGAAAGTACAGGACTTCTGCATAGGAAAGTAATGATCTCCTACATTTTGGCTGCTTTTCGGACGTTTCCCTTTTCGGACCGGTTTTCAGAAGAGCATTCAAAAATCGGACACTGTCCGAAAAATCGGACGGTTTGCCAGCACTGAATAAGCCATGCACATGTACTTCGAAGTACACAACAAGAAATTTACCAACTCAACTGGGCTATTGTACTGGATTATACTTGAAATGCAATATGGCTGTGTACACACACACATACCGCACACAGGCATATGCAGGAAACCAGAGCCTCTTCAGGCTACATTTGACATGCCACCACCACCACCACCATTGAGCTATAGCGCTAGTCTACTGCAATACATACACATGTTGTATCTTACCTCCCAGCAATACCTGAACTGGAAGCGCAACAGACAGTCCTTTCAAGAACGACTTGAACACCTGTATGCAACAGTGATTACGCATGACGACCCAGGCAAAAACAAAGCATAGCGAGGGTACTGAGCTGGCATATTGGGCATTTGTAAAATAATACTTTTTTTGAAATGCATATTCATAAGTTAGTTATCCCCGGGTTGTGTGTTCAGAAGGGAAATGTGTTGTCACTTCAGTTGTTTGGCATTAATCCTCGTGAAAGTGTCAGGAATATTACTCCTCTTGATGTGTTTAAAACGTGTTTAGTCACTTCCACCTTCATGTTGTTTTTGATACGCTGTAGAACACTTTTGTAATGTGATGTTGCAATCATTGCTTCCCTATTTCGTTGCTGTTGGACTCTTTTCCCCCACGTTCCCAGTATCAACCTCTGAAGAGAAGGGAACAAAATTGTTCTCTTTAGAAACTTCTACAAGACTGGTGTAGATGCATGCAATACTTTCAAAACATGACATTGTACATTTATTGAAACATAGCAATGACTAAAAACAATGTGCACACTATTGTCTCTATGTCGGCTTTTCGAAGATAAAATTACACATTCTCACATACAAAGCTAGATCAGATCAGGGCGCTCTAGATAAGGGCATTTCCTGGTCACAGAAATAATTTACAATTATTTTCGTTCACCAGGAAGAGCTATTGGTCAGACAGTACTCAGTTGAGTGTATGTACAGCCAACAATTGCCCTGAAAGATATTGATGAACATGCACTTGATACGAAATTCTGCTGAGAATTTCATTGTGTTTCTCATTGAGGACTTTAGTGTGTCACAAGCTAAAGGACCAAACTACCTACCAAATATTATTGATATTATGTACAATCATTACCTGAGGTGAGATCAAGTGGCGTTTTGCAGCACGGACGCGAGTTTGGAGAAATGTGCGCTTGGGTGGCAGCAAGGTATCAAGGCGATGTGGAGAGAGAGCAGACGGAATTACGCCATAATCGATGCTCTGATAAAATCGAGAACGAGCCTGCCCGTTCAACTCCATTCCCTTTCTTCGCACTGCCAACCAGTACCCTTCTCCTACTTAGGTGAGCGGTGTGACTGTAATAATTATGTGCAAGCCAACTAAACGACTAAATGAAGTGGGTCGTCAGGTTGAATTGCTGAAATTTCCCTGAAATTGACTTTGCATCAAACGATTCATTGTTGTAACAGCAGATTATCGACATACCTGATGATCTGACACAGTTGACTAGTCATGAACAAAGGAATAAAAAAAAAGAGAAGCTAAAGCGTCCTTTTATAAACCTTTCGAACTTTGCCTTGTTTTGTTTGTGTTGCTGACATGATGATTTCTTGTGTCCTCCTCGAACAGCGAAATCGAAAATCCAACGACATGGAGTGAAAAAAAGAGAAGAAAAAAGGAAGCCTCGGAGAGCCGTCTTATCCCAGAGACCTGGGTGGTGATAGACACAAACCATCAAGAGACTCGGCACTCTCATCATCAGCGACCAGCCACCACCCGGATTTGAACCGGGGATCTCCTGTTTACTAGACAGGCGCTTTGCCAACTAAGCCATGGCGGCGACACAAAAGTAGAGCACTTGAACCTGCAGATGTGCGACACATCTATTCTAATCTCGTGGCCCGGCCCAAGGACAAGGTTGGCAAGGATAGATCAGGGCGTGCGAGGAAGCGGGGTCCGGGAGTACAAGTACCCCCCCCCCCCCGGACGACTGCACTGGTACATGTACATGGTACTATTGGTGCAGATAGTGTAAAAACAACAGAAAAAATGATAAGGCACCCATTTTGATAATCCAGGGGATGGCCCACGCCTGGTACTGCCACTGTATAAATCATACGCACATCTGTTTCTCGCTTCCGTAACCTTGTATTGGCACATTTAGGGTACCCTGTAAGAAGGCCTTAGGCCTGTGGGGATTGCCCTATCAAAAATTTAATAATAATAATAATATGTAAAAAGGTGACGTGGAGACAATAATCTTAATAATGCAATGAATATAACTAAATGCGCACTCATATCACAACCATGGGGACGAATCATGTATTCCAGAACGTTTTCTTGTCACAATTATCAATGGAATTCGTGACTAAAGAGAATGATGAAACTACAATAGGATTTATACACTTGCAGTGGAACAGCGAGGATACAAGCATAGTAAGAAAAATAGCACAAACCTAGGAACAATTTGCACAGGTAATAAACTATAGGTGAGGTGAGAAATGATAGGAAATTCAGCAAGTGCAGCGTGACAATGGACATGCCTATAGCTTATTACCTGTGCAAATTGTTCCTAGGTTTGTGCTATTTTTCTTACTATGCTTGTATCCTCGCTGTTCCACTGCAAGTGTATAAATCCTATTGTAGTTTCATCATTCTCTTTAGTCACGAATTCCATTGATAATTGTGACAAGAAAACGTTCTGGAATACATGATTCGTCCCCATGGTTGTGATATGAGTGCGCATTTAGTTATATTCATTGCATTAATAATAATAATACTACGTAGTAATAATAATAATAATAATAATAATAATAATAATAATAATAATAATAATAATTTGAAACTCGGATGTTGAGCCATAAATAAATGTAAAAGAGAAAAGGACATATGGATACGAGTTTAGAGTAACTCTCCATCACTGTAACATGATACTATATACAGTCAGAAAGTGCAATAACTAGGCACAAAACTGACAGAGTACTGAGACATTCAACGTCCTGACACCTAACTTTAACACATCTCCGTAGCGCTAACCGATAGCCTTCCAACTTGGAAGGTTCAAGGTTATGGAAAGACCAAAGAGGGGAAGGCAAGCGCAACGAAAACGAGCAAAAGCTACAGTCCCAACGGAACAAAGAATGTCGATTGTTACTGGACGATGACGAGACCAGTACGATATTTGACAAAGCGGTCTAACTACAATTCGAAGCAGCAAAGCAGCACACCACCCAACTTGGGTGGGTCATAAATATCAAAGATAAGTAAAGAAAGGGAAGCTTTGCGAAAACGAATTGTACAAGCCGAAAGCCAAACTCCTACAGTACTCCTCATGCATGACATTGTGATGGACTAGTTAACTACAAAACAAGTTGTTTCACACGACGTACGTTTCGCCGTATGGTTCGTGACGGCTCATCAGGTGTGCAATTTGAAACTCGGATGTTGAGCCATAAATAAATGTAAAAGAGAAAAGGACATATGGATACGAGTTTAGAGTAACTCTCCATCACTGTAACATGATACTATATACAGTCAGAAAGTGCAATAACTAGGCACAAAACTGACAGAGTACTGAGACATTCGACGTCCTGACACCTAACTTTAACACATCTCCGTAGCGCTAACCGACAGCCTTCCAACTTGGAAGGTTCAAGGTTATGGAAAGACCAAAGAGGGGAAGGCAAGCGCAACGAAAACGAGCAAAAGCTACAGTCCCAACGGAACAAAGAATGTCGATTGTTACTGGACGATGACGAGACCAGTACGATATTTGACAAAGCGGTCTAACTACAATTCGAAGCAGCAAAGCAGCACACCACCCAACTTGGGTGGGTCATAAATATCAAAGATAAGTAAAGAAAGGGAAGCTTTGCGAAAACGAATTGTACAAGCCGAAAGCCAAACTCCTACAGTACTCCTCATGCATGACATTGTGATGGACTAGTTAACTACAAAACAAGTTGTTTCACACGACGTACGTTTCGCCGTATGGTTCGTGACGGCTCATCAGGTGTGCAATTTGAAACTCGGATGTTGAGCCATAAATAAATGTAAAAGAGAAAAGGACATATGGATACGAGTTTAGAGTAACTCTCCATCACTGTAACATGATACTATATACAGTCAGAAAGTGCAATAACTAGGCACAAAACTGACAGAGTACTGAGACATTCGACGTCCTGACACCTAACTTTAACACATCTCCGTAGCGCTAACCGACAGCCTTCCAACTTGGAAGGTTCAAGGTTATGGAAAGACCAAAGAGGGGAAGGCAAGCGCAACGAAAACGAGCAAAAGCTACAGTCCCAACGGAACAAAGAATGTCGATTGTTACTGGACGATGACGAGACCAGTACGATATTTGACAAAGCGGTCTAACTACAATTCGAAGCAGCAAAGCAGCACACCACCCAACTTGGGTGGGTCATAAATATCAAAGATAAGTAAAGAAAGGGAAGCTTTGCGAAAACGAATTGTACAAGCCGAAAGCCAAACTCCTACAGTACTCCTCATGCATGACATTGTGATGGACTAGTTAACTACAAAACAAGTTGTTTCACACGACGTACGTTTCGCCGTATGGTTCGTGACAGCTCATCAGGTGTGCAATTTGAAACTCGGATGTTGAGCCATAAATAAATGTAAAAGAGAAAAGGACATATGGATACGAGTTTAGAGTAACTCTCCATCACTGTAACATGATACTATATACAGTCAGAAAGTGCAATAACTAGGCACAAAACTGACAGAGTACTGAGACATTCGACGTCCTGACACCTAACTTTAACACATCTCCGTAGCGCTAACCGACAGCCTTCCAACTTGGAAGGTTCAAGGTTATGGAAAGACCAAAGAGGGGAAGGCAAGCGCAACGAAAACGAGCAAAAGCTACAGTCCCAACGGAACAAAGAATGTCGATTGTTACTGGACGATGACGAGACCAGTACGATATTTGACAAAGCGGTCTAACTACAATTCGAAGCAGCAAAGCAGCACACCACCCAACTTGGGTGGGTCATAAATATCAAAGATAAGTAAAGAAAGGGAAGCTTTGCGAAAACGAATTGTACAAGCCGAAAGCCAAACTCCTACAGTACTCCTCATGCATGACATTGTGATGGACTAGTTAACTACAAAACAAGTTGTTTCACACGACGTACGTTTCGCCGTATGGTTCGTGACGGCTCATCAGGTGTGCAATTTGAAACTCGGATGTTGAGCCATAAATAAATGTAAAAGAGAAAAGGACATATGGATACGAGTTTAGAGTAACTCTCCATCACTGTAACATGATACTATATACAGTCAGAAAGTGCAATAACTAGGCACAAAACTGACAGAGTACTGAGACATTCGACGTCCTGACACCTAACTTTAACACATCTCCGTAGCGCTAACCGACAGCCTTCCAACTTGGAAGGTTCAAGGTTATGGAAAGACCAAAGAGGGGAAGGCAAGCGCAACGAAAACGAGCAAAAGCTACAGTCCCAACGGAACAAAGAATGTCGATTGTTACTGGACGATGACGAGACCAGTACGATATTTGACAAAGCGGTCTAACTACAATTCGAAGCAGCAAAGCAGCACACCACCCAACTTGGGTGGGTCATAAATATCAAAGATAAGTAAAGAAAGGGAAGCTTTGCGAAAACGAATTGTACAAGCCGAAAGCCAAACTCCTACAGTACTCCTCATGCATGACATTGTGATGGACTAGTTAACTACAAAACAAGTTGTTTCACACGACGTACGTTTCGCCGTATGGTTCGTGACGGCTCATCAGGTGTGCAATTTGAAACTCGGATGTTGAGCCATAAATAAATGTAAAAGAGAAAAGGACATATGGATACGAGTTTAGAGTAACTCTCCATCACTGTAACATGATACTATATACAGTCAGAAAGTGCAATAACTAGGCACCGTCGTGTGAAACAACTTGTTTTGTAGTTAACTAGTCCATCACAATGTCATGCATGAGGAGTACTGTAGGAGTTTGGCTTTCGGCTTGTACAATTCGTTTTCGCAAAGCTTCCCTTTCTTTACTTATCTTTGATATTTATGACCCACCCAAGTTGGGTGGTGTGCTGCTTTGCTGCTTCGAATTGTAGTTAGACCGCTTTGTCAAATATCGTACTGGTCTCGTCATCGTCCAGTAACAATCGACATTCTTTGTTCCGTTGGGACTGTAGCTTTTGCTCGTTTTCGTTGCGCTTGCCTTCCCCTCTTTGGTCTTTCCATAACCTTGAACCTTCCAAGTTGGAAGGCTGTCGGTTAGCGCTACGGAGATGTGTTAAAGTTAGGTGTCAGGACGTCGAATGTCTCAGTACTCTGTCAGTTTTGTGCCTAGTTATTGCACTTTCTGACTGTATATAGTATCATGTTACAGTGATGGAGAGTTACTCTAAACTCGTATCCATATGTCCTTTTCTCTTTTACAATAATAATAATAATAATAATAATAATAATAATACGTAATGACTGATAAAATGCTACACCTGTGAAGTAAAAGAAAAAAAGGCCCAACCCTGCCCTGCCAGCTATTTGGGCTTACGGGGGTCGCCATGGCAAATAATAATATTAAAGAACTAAAGACTATAAAATTAATGACGGGAAGTGCCAGCTTCGGCAGCAACTAGGGAGGCAGAAGAAGAGACAGGTGCATGTACAGCGAAAACAGAGCGGCATGGTACTATTGGTAGCCTAAAAAAGTTCCCATTTTACTACAGGACTGCCGGAAGCAGCTTTCGGTCCGGTCGTACCATAGTCTTTCATACTTTCTGTTTAATATTATTATTATTACGTAGTCAAGTGGTGTGCTTCACTGTTGTGACAAAGCTTCCAAACTCTCTCTTGTATTATTATTATTATTATTATTATTTGAAACTCGGGTATTGAGCCAATAATAAAAGTAGAAAGGAAAAGGACATATGTCCTTTTCCTTTCTACTATTATTATTATTATTATTATTATTTGTAAGAAAAGGGTTTGCTCCCCACACCGGAGCTCGCGCTATTCCGCCGACTTTACTTGACACTTGACTGACTCACGACTGCCATCCAGAGCACACGAGAAGTGTGGGGAGCAAACCCTTTTCTTACAAATCATCGCCGATGTCGCAACCACTACTTCGTATTATTATTATTATTATTATTATTATTAAATTTTGAATAGGGCAGTCCCACAATATGGCGGGGACGTGGGCCTTCCTCAGCGGTAAATATGCATTGGTAGCTACAAAGTTGGTCCAGTATTAACCTGACCAACCGGCGGCCTGTACTACATGTAGTTTATGCGTGTGCATACAATATACCGGTACTGTACCGGTATATTGTATATTGTACACCCATAATCATAGGTAGGTCACCTACGGACAAGAGTTCATAAACCAGAGTTTGCAGCTCTAGGAGAATCACCCCACAGGAAAGTTTTTGTCTAGGTTATAGTTATTGTATAGCCGGTTGTAACGAGGACGTGCGAACCGTTTACTTTCCTTTACAACTCACCTTTGCCTCATCTCGCACCTGAGTTCACGTGGTCATTTTACGTACAAAAAGTGAAAAACGCACGTTTCCCGTATCACCTTACTGGCTCGGTAATCCAGTAGGGAACCTACATGTACAGTGTGACGGGTTTTCTATGATTGATTCATGATGAACTGCAACAAAACTTCGCCGTGTGCTTGGTCTTGAACGGCATAGATGCAGAGGCTGCACACTCTGGTTTATGTACTCTTGCTACGGATGTACGGGCCGGGGAATCGTAAGATGTTTTACAAGAATACCATACTACTGCCTGGCGCGGGCATTTCTAAGATATTAGGGAGGTTTCGCTCTGCATAATGACGAATTTACGTATGAAAAGGAGGTTGGAACTGCATGTAATTTCCATTCATAAAACCCCGCGCTATTGGGTTTCGCTCTACGTGCTTCTCCACGACTGCTAGGCATGCATCGTTGCGTTGGAAACATGTTGGCTGTTTTACATGTGCTGTGGACCTTGTGTTTCGCCCGGCTTGAACGTTGCCATGGATAAATTCGGAAAAAGCAAAAAAATATATTTCAGAAAGTCCTACGGGGACCGAACATAGGAAAGCCCTTTCTACCGTGGGAATCCGGAGAGAGATTTACCAAGAGTGCATAATTATGGACTCTTGGATAAAGGTATGAAAGTAACTAGTTGCCCTCTCTCCCCGGCAGATATTACATACTGATTTTCAAACGTAATTATGTAGAGCAAAACCTCCCTATTGTTTGTGAGAATCATATTGATAGAAATTCAAATCCAAATGTATTAAACTTGAAAATTATTATTATTAAGCACTGCCGCGTTCAAGTCGGTGGATCCATTAGGTTCACCCACAGGTTCACAGAGGACACATGCACCACTTACAGCATGTCTTACCCACAATGAACGCCTTCTACTGTCGCGGACATGGAAATCCAGTCGATTGACCGGGGCCGGCGCCCTCAGCGCGTACAGAACGAAGTCGTTGCATGCAGCGCACATGTTGATACGAAGCGACCAGCAGCAGCGCGTAATAATGCATGCCATGGCTGCATGGCCAGCGCCCTGGGGCCGCTAGACCGGATTTCCATGTCCACGACAGTATGTTTGAGCTCAAACTAATGGCAGCTTGCAGTGTTGACTGTTCTCACATTCTTCTTTATCATGGACAATTTATTACTAATTGTAGTACTTGTACTTCAAATGTAACCAAAGAACAGCCGATGCATCATGTAAATAGTAATGCAAATAGACAAGACAAAGCACATCTACATGGCACAGAACCACTATCTTAGAAGACACTTTGCTAGAAACTAGTATGCCTAACATTATTATTTTTATCATGGAGAATTGGAAAGTATCCCACAGTGAGGATCTAAAGAGTCAATGCACCGAAAGCATCAAGGTCAAGCAGGAAAGAAAATAACGGGAGGAAGAGAGACGGCGATCGAGAAAGAGAGAGAAAAGGTTTCAGTGAACGGTATGCTGCACAGAATGGGCGACATTTTGTTGACATTTTGTCGCTGTTGCGGTGAACTTCTGCCAGGCAGTGCACTGACACCAAGTTGGTGGTGCAGTCACTTGTTAAAAAATTGAAAAATGAGAAAGATCAATTTCAATAATAACATTATTACAACTAAGAATACAAAAAATTAATAAAGTAAGTAAATAGATGAGGAATTTGACAACACGAGTCGTGAGTGGTGCAGGATGCAGTCCACGGTGCCTACTCCATATAGAGATATTGGAGAGACAAACATGGCTGAACATTATACCCAATAGCAGCAGGTGCAAGACAAAGGCATGCATGACAGAGAGGCATGCCGCATGCGCAGAGGATCTAGCAGCAACGCATGGTTTGCTTTCATGGTGATTTAATATGGCATAGATCCTACAAGTGTGTAGCGCAGGTCTTGCTACTTCTGTCTATACTAGCTGTGTTAGCAGTAGTAGCATGGCCAGCTGACGTGACAGAACAGTGACTACTAGTATTCTGGACAAGAAGACACACTGCGGTTGACAGAACTGCATAACAAACAGCATGTGGCAGTTTCAAGTTGCACCGTTGCTGGTAAGGACGCTTTTACACCTGCTGCTGGAGACACTAAGCGGTGTCTCTCCCTTGCTGTTTTTTACATTGACGTCCGCACCATTCTGCAGAGAGGAAAGCAGATGATCAGAAGCATTAGCAGGCATAGCTCAGCACAATCCACAATTGGGTAATTCGTAAACGGGCCGAAACATTGCGCAGCATCCCACGTCCCCCCCCCTCCCCCCCCCCACACACACAGACATGACTAGGCAAGGGAGCTATTTCAAAAGAAGACCCCACAATTCTTTGCGAATGAACACATGTGTGCAATACAGCTATAACCACCATTTATAAACAATGCAAAGTTGCAAACTGTGGCCTTGTAGTGAAGACTGACTTCACATAAGAATGGCAGCCAAGCAATACATACCCAGATAAGGAGCTGTGCTAGTACTATAGCATCTAGTGATACAGCTTTATGCAGTAGGCTGTCTCCAGTCTCTTCCAGGGGCTTAGTCACATCTGCATTGCCACAATGGGCCAGTATGTGGAAAGCCAGCTGGATGTCATTGGCCAAAATGCTTTCCTTCAGACACTGTAAAGGAGAAGAAACACAGCGAGAGAAGGTCGTAACATAATTATGTGCACAATGTCCTCCCGGAAGATGCAGGATCAAGTTTGAAATTCGGCAGGCTGCATAGCAGTGTGAGACAGGCATGCATGGCCACTGCGCACCACTTACATCTGATAGAACCATGGCAGCGTATTTGTCTGGAAGATGAGTCAAGAAATCCTTCTGAATGTACTTCTGACGAATGAATGACTCCCTGTCCTCTCTGTAGCACAACATCACAGAAATCATTTACATATCACATAATTATCATCACCTAACAGCATCATCATACTCATACGAGGTGATTAGGCTTTTTTTAAACATGGTTGTAAAATGACGTTTTTCAGTCACTTCTAGACAAGCTACGTCCAAATGAATTGTTGCAACTGTGGAAGTGCTATCCTTCATGCCCGTTGTGTCCAAAAATGGGAATGATCCCACTTTGGAAAGTGTCTTGAATCATGTCCTACTTTCATAGTATTCTCAGGATTCAAATAATTGGTGTGTCATTTTTTAACAAATTTGTAAAATGGCATCACAAACTGGGATATTCGGTCAGCAATGTTCTGAATTTGATAGATATCAATTCAAGGATTGCTAGTGGATGAAAATTAATCTGTCAACAGAGGAGTGAACTGCATTGTATGCTGCGAAAGCCGTGTTTTTGTATTTGTAACTAGTGGCTGTGTTATACGGTGGAATTGGATAGGTAGCATAGCATCGCAGCCATGTTTTCGTTCTCACAGAGTGTATTCCGTGACCTGCTGTTCTTTATCACTGTCTTTAGTGATGGCAAGACGGACTTAGACGGCCTGACGTTGTCCAAAGGCCCTGCAGAAGCAATTCACTGCCCTCCTCGTCCATTCAGGGGCTCGTTTTACACATTTTACACAAAATGGCAAAGCACCCACCACTAGTTATACCGACGTGGCAGGGAGAATTAAATTATGTGCACCAAATTTTCTGGTCAATGTTGATCTACGATAAACTGGCTCTCATTTGCCACCACCCATGTTTCGATACAGCCATCCAGAGCAGAGAAACAGCCAGAAGAAAAGCAAATTTTACACATTTGTTAAAAAAATGCCAAATCACCTCGTACTCAGTTCCGTGTTCGATATTGATTTTTTTACATATTTTTTATTCTATTCGTGTTCGCCATTGATTTTTTTACAATATTTTTTATTCAATTTCTTATTTTTTTATTCGTGTTGGGTTAACTATTCACTGTACTGATTATGGTGATGATTGTGCTTCGCTTTGCCCGTAAAAGAGGCTTTTTCTCATGATCATACTCGTAAACACACTCACACGGGCGTGGTTACTTTGCACAGTCGAACATAGAAGCACAAATTAATACACGGCCGGCATTGATCACACATTAATACAGGGCTGGGATTGATCCACCACATACCGACTTGCATCCACTGATAATCGACGATCAAAGAAATCATCCAGGCGACCTTCGAAAACAGAAATTAGAGCAGAATTGCCTAGCGCCAACATTACCGCCACGAGCTCCGGGCTAAGCAGAGGGAGAAAAGAAAGAAAAAGAAGAAAAAGCATATTATAGATGCTGCCTTTTAAAAATCCAGACACTTTACCACCAGCACATTGCGCTCTGAGGAAGAAAAATGCAGCGGACAAGTGTGAATTTCTGTCAAAAATCATGCACCTTACATGAAAGCGCTGCCAAGAGCGACAGAGCAAGCAGACATGGCGCCTGATCTCTGTGAGTGGTGACTTGTTCGCTTTTTTGGCAACTTTTTCCAGTGACCTTGCGACACGAAGCACAACTTACATATATACGCTTCGGTTCTGGAGTTAGTTACTTACTTCCAGTTTAAGACTAGAGGACCAGTACCGTCAAAGTCTCGAAACTCCAGTACTAATAACTTTTTTTTAAACACATCTCAACATCACCGACATCACCGACATCGACGACTGTCTACTCCTGTGGAGACACGGCTGGAGGAGTTTACCCGTACTTCTTACCCGTACTTCTGGATCATTTCAACGAGCAGTATCGCAAAATCAAAATTCACAATGAAACACTTGATCAACGACAAAACACAATCGATGATTTCCCTCAACCTAGTGCTGTCACTGGGTAGCAGCACCTACATGTATCTCTCAGGGGTATTCCCCTACTCACCTCCACTCGTCCAGAGAAAGAGATCTGACGCGCGATACATGGGCGCCCAAGTTCCGATGGACGGCTGAACACTCGATACATATTAGCGAGCCGAAATTCAGTGATGCCCATTCTGGATCTGTTTGGGTGAAGCATGGCCAATCAACACAAACAAATGAACGCAAAAAAACACACTTCATTACCAGGAGGGATGTCAGTGCAATCAGGCAGTTTGCCAAACCTTTTTTTCTAGTAAGAGCAGAATCTGATATAGGTGAAAGGTTCTTACAATGTCCCAATATGCATTGTATCTGAAGGTTCTTACAATGTCCCAATATGCATTGTATCTGGCAAATACATGTACATGTATCTCAACACATCGTAATGCTGTAAAAGGGTTGATCCACAAGTGCAGTGCTATGACAAGTTAATATTGGCAACATTGTTATCTAGTTGGAAATTGGCAGCATCGTAATCCTGTAGAAAATCAATGGCACTAATGTGGGCAGGCGGCCATGATGTGCAGACAGCACACAATAGGAAAATGGCATGGACTTACCCACTTGCAGACAATCAGCGCAGACCTTGTTGCCAGCCACACTTTGAATTCGCTCCACAACGCCGGCATCCGTCTATGCTCCACATTAGACAGACCAACAACAAACACACGATTCAATTACATGTATAATAATTATTGTTATAAGCGTGTCCGAATTGAAGTGAACTGTCCACAGCTTCACATAGTAATGCCGAATACATTATAGTGTGACGGCGTGGGACTCATTTACAATACAAATTTCAATAAGCTGTTCTCCTATCTTTGAAAGAGGTTACCTCACGTTGATAAGCGCATAGCTCTTGGAAATCACGGCTGAACATGATAAAACAGTTGTCAGTCCTTTCGTGTATCGTCAGTAGGTGCTCATGAGACTGAAGGTTCAACTAACCACAACTAGCTTCACATACCTGCTTCTTCTTATCAGAGAAGGAGCGCTCGAGGCATCCCTGAATTTGTTGCTTGATGGCATTGGTCCAAGCCTCGTAATCCTAAAGGGAGAGACACGGTGAACGCAGGAAGAATCAATCTAGGGGCCCGTTTAAATAAAGAAAATGAAGCGTGTTTACACGAAGGCGCCTACTAGTTGTCACTTCTACTGTGCTTTTATCTCAAGTTGGTCAAAAGACAATGGACCAAGAGTACATGACCAGTGTGTGGGGTCTGCAATGGCAGAGCTTCACATCACGCTACAAACCGGCACACACGACCTGCACTGTATGCATGACAGCTACAGAGATGTAATCGACTGCGCTTACTGTAGGGTGCACTTCTCTGGTGGTCACTTTCACTGCTTACTAACACAACCTATTGAACCACGCCACAGGTTGGCTAAAACCCACTGTCAGTATTCATATTGGCCAGTGTCAACTTGGTCCAGAACACAGAGGAGAAACTGGTTCAAGGACAAGTTTTCATCAAGGCAATGACAAAAGTCCATGTAGACATGTGCTGCGTGTTTGGCGTAATAGTTAGTGCCGCAATACCCAGCAAAGCTCCACACACACAATACATATTACCAAAGACAATCTAACATGTAACATGTTGTGTGTACCTCTTCGCTGCCTGCCTCAAGTGCCCATGTTTTCCCTGTTAGCGAGACAACCTTGAATTCAAAAGATTCCTGACCTACAGAAGACAGGGAGCAACAGAACAGGATAATAGAAATCATATCATTACTGCCAGCTGATTTGATAAATAATGATGAGCCTGCTCATACCCAACCTTGATATCACCCGCTTCAAATGCAGCAAACACTATGCTTTATTCATCAAAGAAATGAAGCATAGACTTGTTCAGCAAACTTACCCATATCATCCCTGGTCTTTGATTTGGTTGTGGGCCGGATGGGTCTGGCATCGGGTCGAGTTGATGAGATTGTATTGCTACGCTTCCGCATTTTCGGCCGGTCCTTTGACATAGAGTTCATGCGAGCACGGCCTTCTGGCTGAAAGTGCAGAGAAACAGGAGATAACAAACTGTGAGACTCTGAGCTGATGCTGTGGCTAAAGCAGAAAGACTCTGGGAACTCGGCATGTAACTTGCTAGCGTACAGTTGCTACAGCTTGATGTGATAATTTTAAGTACAAGTGAATCCATTGTCACTCTACCTTTGGAGACATCGGTGGCTGGATGACAAACTCCGATGAGAGCGATTTAGCAGGCGACGAGGTAGATAACTCAGCCGTTGACTGAGATTTCTCATCCCTATCCTTCTTAGGAGAGCTTGGCGGCAGTAGGTAATCATCAACTCGCATCGAATCCGAGTCACGTCTCTTCTGGCGGCCAAATTTGAAGGAGCAGTTTTTGCGTAACACACTGCTGCCAAGCTGAATTGACACCAAAAACAGCAGCAGCAACAGTATTATGAACTTATGAGACGGTATGGTCGTCCAGGAGTTGATACTGTGGTGTACAGTCCTGTCGCCATATGGGCACGCAAATATGGTCTGACGTTCTCTAGACTTCAATCCTCCACTTTTAAAAAAAGAAGGTTGAAATCAAGCCGGGTCATGCACAACTCAACAGGTAACACTCCAGACAGCCTAGATGTGATGGGCTTAACCCCACTGGAAGCATTTCATGTAAGGACGGTCAAAACAATTCACAAAGTTGCACACTCCAACACACGATGCAGAGCCATAGTGCAGAGAAAGTAAGAACTGCAAGGCTGACGCACACATACCAGGGGAGACGAGGACGCTGACTCCACACCGGCATGTGAGGACATATCATCCGGTGCGGCTGTGGAATTTGGCGTGGAGATAAGCTCACAGGATATACTTGTGCTGCACGGGTTCTTAGGAAGTTTTGTTGATGATGAGCTGGACAGACCCGTTGATCTGGATGAAGAGTTTGCTCGACGTGCCACAACTGCTGCCTCCCTCAGTTTCACCGTACAGAAACGCAAGTCCATGGACTTTCCACCCTCTCCAGTGCGATAGTCCTAGACAGCAGCAATGAGGAGACACAGAACAGCATTGCAATCAGCAAAGAGCAATACCAGCATACAGTTCAGGCCACAGCAAGAACAGAAAGAGAAGATAGGGGCGATTTTTGAAATCCCAGCAATTCATTCTCATAACCCACTGAACGCGATGCGAGGACCGCAGTTACGGCACCGTCACTTCAGAATACCAAACAAATGTTTCCTCTTCTACGAGAACATGTGATTGTGAGTGCGTGAAGGAGAGAATTCAACATAAATTCGAAATGAAGGTCACAGTTTGCAGCAATAGTGGCTGCCAAAGTTACGTCCTGGAACGTACCTGAAGGGAGCCATAGTAGACGATTTGTGTTGGTGTAAGGGTGACGTAGCGACGTTTCCAATCACGCTTCATACTACCATCTTGCTTCTTGTTCAGAAACCCCTGCAGTACCACAATATCCCGGTTGCAGCACACAGTCAACAATGGAGTACTGAGTAGATGGCAGTCAAAAAGGTGTCTTCTCTAGCTCACAGCAATAGCACTGCATAAGATGCCGTGTCTTAGAGCTGGAAAAGCAGAATAGTACAGGTGCAATCTGATCAAGAGACCACCTGGTTTCAGCAAACGCCTGGTGTCTGCAACTATCCGGTTTGAAAGACCACTACTAGTATTCTTTGGAACCAGATGTGTGGAATGTACCACAGTCACCCTGTTTCAGTGACCATCAGTTTCAAAGATCCCAGGTCGACTTCAAGGGTCGCCGAAACCAGGTTTCAATTATAATCGTCATGAGCTGTTAGAATCTGCTGCAACAGACAATATGGAGCTGACTGCTCAAAGACAAAATATCCACTGATTAGAATGTCTGAATATAGCTGTACAATAGTGGGAATTTTGCACTGCAATGCCATGGTAGGGAAAACATGTCCAGCATCATACTGACAGGTCCCAGCAGGGCCAGCATTGTTCAGACAACTGGAGTATAGACATGAGAGAGATGCCGGCTGAGGACCTGCAGTGTGCTTGGTCTTTTGATTCTTTACCTAGGTCATCATACATGTTGTTCAAACTGATAGAGATGTCTTTGCAACACGGAAAACTAGCGGGTACATCATATTGCACTGCCAAGACATTTCTCTCAGTTCAAAAAAACATGTATGTTGACCTAGGCAAAGGACAAGTATAGTGAGTGTACAGCGAGGGCCCTGAGCTGGAAGCCCTCTCATTGCACAATCATACGCACTACCCATGAGCTTGTGCTGACACGTGAAGGTGACGTGATCTATCCTTCTTGCTCACTAACATGATCAGTCACCTGACATGCTCTGCCCGTGACACGCACAAACACACGCACGCACGCACACACACACTCCTGCCCATCGCTGAAGCGATGATAGCGAACAAGCTATGTTAGGCATGTCAACTTGTGCTGGGATTACACCATTCAACAGTTTGCAAGGCTGATGAATTGACCGCCACTAATGTTAGCCTGGTCTACACCACACAGCTGGTTGAAGTGGCTTACACACGCGCGCACACACAAACACACGAAATAAAGTGCTTTGGACCACGGCTACTCCAGACGCCATTACGTAACGTCGTTTGCGGAGCTTCGAGAATAATCCAACTTCTTCATCACCCACCATAAGCATGCTCTCAGCTGACCACGTGTACTCACCTGGAATACCGGTATAGCGCGGCCAGTGCCGACTGGAGCAAAAGGAGTTGGCTCAGACTGTACAGCAAAAAATAATAACGGCAATATAGCAACAGTTGTCATCCAGAACATCCCCCAGTTCTCAAACCAAACCAAAATGTTTGCAATGTTCCCTCAAGCTGATGAATAACAAAGAAAGATCGTTTGTAAATTGTATTACCACGACGGCCAGTTGTTCCAAATCTTTATTCTCACTGTTGTTGTTGTTGTTGAGTCGACAACAAGCCCAAGTCCCAACAATAAGCCTTGTGCACATTGTACAGATGTACGAAATCCCGTAGCTGTGTACTTGTCCGGTTGGGTGTTCATTGTGTGCTATACATGCGAATTTGAACAAATTTAGCCCAATACTCAATGGCAGACAGTCGTTTTTCCAACGGGTCGCTTTTCCAACTTCATCACTTTGGATAGAGCTAATTGGCCAGCTCTCTGTCTGGCTCGCTTTACTGGATTCTACTATTTCTAGACTGTATTCTTCAGGCTCACTTCAGGCTCGACTCGCATTGCAAACTTCCTTGTTATTGTGTTTCCAACTAACTAACTACTAAAGAAGAAGACTACTGAAGACTAGCCGAAAGGGAAAGGCACCATGGTATAATATACAGCAGGGCAACATAAAGGCACAGCAGGCCGAGCAGGGCACATGTGAAACCAGAGACCCGGACCCGTCGAAGCATGCAAATGAGGGTCGCTCTATCGCCTGACATGAATGCATACAAAGAGAGCGTCAGCAGACAGCATTGTCGTGCACTAAGATGCCGACTCGCGTGACCGTAACACAGCACGACAATGAACATGACAGTCAGACTACTCCAGACATGAATGCATACAAACCAGTATACATGACCATGCGTGCACATCTCCCCCTTCACTCACGAAATGGCATATGAGTGAGTACATGAGCAAGGCAGTGCAGCAGCAAGAATGAGCGCACCGGAAGGCAGCATGTGGAAAGTGCAGACGGACAACCACAAGACAAAACATCAGACACATCAGAAAAGACTAGAGACAGCACACCAGTGTCAGAGCACCAGCACTCTAACTAACAGAACAGCGCAGCTAACTGTCTGTCTCGACCGGGCGTCGCCTCACTCCACCGGGAGCGGAATGAGGCGTTGGATGGCCCGCCGGTAGATCTTGCCCCGGATCCCAACATCCACCACCCTGACGCAACTGTCTAGTCCGGGGAAGACACGCCTCACCCTGCCCAGTGGCCAACTGCCCCGGGGTGTGTCGGGCTCGATACACAGCACCACCTCATCGACAGCGATGTTCTTCTGCGTCTTGCGCCACTTCCTGCGCTGGTTCAGCAGTGGGACGAACCTGCATTGGCTTTCCGGCGGCCAGACGCTCCAGGGTTGGGCCGTACGCGTCCTTCTGCGCCTGTCGTATCCAGTGCCTCTCAGCGCGGCCTACCTCACCCGCCGTCAGCTCTGGCACGTTGACAGTAGGGTAGTTCGGGTTGGCTGCTCGCGAAGTCGACACTGCAACGGTGACGTCTTGATCGCTGCTGGTATCCTCCCCCTTCATGTCGACGCGCAGCTTGCGACGGCATCGGCTGACAAACCGGTAGCACCACGCAGTCACCCTGAGCAGCTGCTCCCAGGTGCGGTATCTGGACGCCTGGAGGCGAGTGGTTGGCGTGACGGCAAGCGTGAAAGTGGTCTCCCGCTGGATGACGCCTGGCAGACCTTCTGTGGACGCTGACTTCTCAGGCGGCCATACGTCTGGTTGCTGCGACAGGAACGCGGGTCCGTGCCACCACACCCGGTCCTCCGCCAACTCCTTCGCTGGTAGCCCACGGGTACCCTTGTCGGCGGGGTTCTGCTTGCCGGGTACGTGCCTCCACTGGGAGGGCTTAGTGGCGTTCTGTAGCTCTGAGACGCGGTTGCCGATGTCGACCTTGAACCTGCGACTGTGCGAGCGGATCCACCCCAACACGTTCATGGAGTCCGTCCAGAACGTGTGCTCGGCGACCGGGATGTCCAGAGCGTTGCCAACTTCGCTGCTGGTCCGCAGACCCAAGACGGCACCGCGAAGCCCCAGCTGGGGGATGGTCTGCCGACGAGCCGGGGCTGTCTTGGCCTTGGCCATGGCGAGCGTCACCCGCACGTTGCCGGCTGCATCCTCTGCGCGGATGTAGGTCGCCGCAGCGATGGCACGGTCAGACTCATCCGTGAACGTGTGGACGGAGAGGATGGACTCCGTAGCCGCCTTGAAACTGCGTGGCGCGTTGATGGCGGCCAGGTCGGGCAGCTCGTCAAACCACTCCCTCCACTTTCTGGCGTGTGTGGGAGGAAGCTCGTTGTCCCACGCCTGGTCCAGCAACCAAGTGTCCTGCAGCAGCACGCGGGCACGGATTGTGAACGGCGCAATTTGCCCACGAGGATCCAACGCCGACGCCAGACCGCTGAGGACGGAGCGCCGTGTCACAGCGTGGGACCTCAGCTTGACGGCCAGCGTCTTCAGCCCATCCAGCTCGCGCTCCGTGTTGATCTGCGGCCAGCTCATGAGCTCGCGTTCCTGCTGTTCGAGGCTACGGTCTGTGCCCCCGTACCACCGATCCAGCTCCTCCATGATGGCGGAGTAGGCGCCCGGGCCGTCTAGCACGTCCGCGATCAGGTCCTCGGCCGCTCCGTCCGTCAGTGCCTCCCTCAAGTGTGCGAGCTTATAGTCCTCTGACAAGAGCGGGTTCTCGTGTACTAGACGGAGAAACCGCTCACGCCACTTCACATATGACAGCATCTTGCCATCGAACTTTGGCAGGTCCAGTGGCTTCAGGGACCTGCAGACTCCCATCTGGAACATAGCCGCTCCGTCTGCCCAGTCGACTGCTGGGTCGGTCGCCTTGGTGGGCGGGAAGTAGGGTTCCGCTGCAGGGTTGAGTCCCGCTTCCTTGGGCTTGAAGGCCTGCTGGACTGGACGGAGTCGCAAAGGCACTGGCGGGACTGGCTTAGGTGGTGGGCTGGGTCCCGCTCCCTTGGGCTTGAAGGCCTGCTGGACTGGACCAAGTCGCAAAGGCACTGGCAGGACTGGACCAAGTCGCAAAGGCACTGGCGGGACTGGCTTAGCTGGTAGACGTCTGGGCTTCGCACGTGGGGCTGGTGTTGGAGCAGGTCGATACTTGAGCAGGCTTGCTCTCGGCACTGGAGCTGAGGTGTTGGGTTGTACTGCAGGCTGCACTGGCTGTTGCATGTTCAGCTGTATGGGCTGCTGTGCAGGCTGTGACCCAGACCCCTGTTCTAACCTGGGCCTGCAATGAGCCACTGCGCCAGCACCTGCGTCGCTGAAGGCACTTCGACTGAAGTGGTTGGCCAGCCTGCGCGTGGCCTCCGCGTCCCATCGCGCACGACGATTTCCCACGCCACGTGGGCAGCTCCCACCATTGATATCCTCGCTCTCTAGCTCTGAGCTCTCTGGCTCTGAGCTCTCTGGCTCTGAGCTCTCTGGCTCTGAGCTCGAGGTATCCACAGCAGAACTTCGCGCTGACACGGCACTGCTCGCGCTGGCCAACTCCTCCGCCGCCCTCGCCTGCTCGACTTCGAGCTCCTTTTTTACCAGGTCAATTTGGAGGTCGATCTCCTGCTGCTTCAGAGCGGCGATCCGCCGTGCAGTCTTCAGTTCTGCCTCCTTGGTCCTACGCAATATCGCAGCTTCGAGTCCAACGTCCCCAAGGCTCTCGCTTGCGGACGTCCTGCCGCCGCTCCTGCGTCCCGACCGCCTCGGCTCTTGGGCCTGCTCCCCATCGGAGAGGAACCGCTTGGGCATCTTACCTAGGGTTCTCCTGCTGCTCCTTCGTGGGAACTCCATGACAGGCAACGGAAACCGAGACTTTCTGCTGGTCGAGATCCGGCTCGAAGGACCAGTTTATGGCCAGCTCTCTGTCTGGCTCGCTTTACTGGATTCTACTATTTCTAGACTGTATTCTTCAGGCTCACTTCAGGCTCGACTCGCATTGCAAACTTCCTTGTTATTGTGTTTCCAACTAACTAACTACTAAAGAAGAAGACTACTGAAGACTAGCCGAAAGGGAAAGGCACCATGGTATAATATACAGCAGGGCAACATAAAGGCACAGCAGGCCGAGCAGGGCACATGTGAAACCAGAGACCCGGACCCGTCGAAGCATGCAAATGAGGGCCGCTCTATCGCCTGACATGAATGCATACAAAGAGAGCGTCAGCAGACAGCATTGTCGTGCACTAAGATGCCGACTCGCGTGACCGTAACACAGCACGACAATGAACATGACAGTCAGACTACTCCAGACATGAATGCATACAAACCAGTATACATGACCATGCGTGCACACTAATGACTAGCTAGATCTTCGTCCGCAAAAAGGTAGTTGCATGAAATGCCTGAAGGGCATGTTTCGTAGTGGACAAATATCACAAGGTCCTGTAGTGTACATTCAACCAGCCGGGTTTACGGGATTTCGTACATGACGTCAATGTCCATAAGATGCATAGAGCTTCCAATTACTGGCTATGATTGGTACAGGATATCAAACCTGCTCGGCCATTTAGTATTCCTTGAGAGAGTACAGTTTGTTTTGCCGTGAGCCAGTGCAATTTGTGGCAACACACAGTTGCATGTCGGGGCCATTCCCTCTTTACAAAACTGATGTTGTAGGCTACGAGTTCGTGTTATCTTTGCTGCAATAGCGTGTACAAGTGCAATCCGTGTTACGGACTGTGTTGGTGTGTCAATGAAATGGCTAGGAAATCTCGCTAGGACGTTGATGCGACACAGCGCCTCAACCCAACTCTCCATGTCTGTCGGCCCCTCACACGAGGGGACATGTAACCGGAAACGGCAATGTTCAGGACAGGACAGGACAGGACAGGTGTGTGTGTGTGTGTGTGTGTGTGTGTGTGTGCGTGTGTGTGTGTGTGTGTGTGTGTGTGTGTGTGTGTGTGTGTGCGTGTGACGAAATACCAGCTGTTTCAACGAGATGCAGCCTGAATTTGGACTGCTGCCAGCACCATTGCTTGACCTGTGATCGCTGCATGAAGAGTCAGGCTGGTTTTAACCGCCATAATTGTACTCGAGGCAAACGACTGCGAAAGGACCAGAGGACTTATCTGCCCATTCAATGCAGCCTATGTAGCGAACGATTCTCCCGCCCGCAGGACCTCACCCGCCACCGAAGACAGAAACACTAGCTGTGTGTAGAACGATCCCCTTTCAAATCAATTACTCTCCTTGTTTCTTTTCCTTTCTCGCTGTTGTCTCCCGCTTTTGGGAGCGACGTGGCCATTTTGTGGCAGTTGTACATAGTAGTAGTAGTAGTAGTAGTGTGTGTGTGTGTGTGTGTGTGTGTGGTGTGTGTGTGCATGTATGTGTGGTGTGTGCATGTGTATGTGCATATGTGTGGTGTGTGTGTGTGTGTGTGTGTGTGTGTGTGTGTGTGTGTGTGTGTGTGTGTGTGTGTGTGTGTGTGTGTGTGTGTGTGTGTGTGTGTGTGTGTGTGTGTGTGTGTGTGTGTGTGTGTGTGTGTGTGTGTGTGTGTGTCACTGTGTGGTATTTGTAGCAGGTAAATAGCACTTACACTATTGTCAGGTGTATATAAAGGTGGTGTCAGGACAGGGGCCTTTTCCACTGGGGTAGTGGCATCGGCAGATTTGCTACTTGCAACACTGCCATCACCAGACGGAGCAGGAGGAGATGCACCAGAAGACCCAACACCAGGAGCTGAGCCCTTCTGGGTTGGTGTTGTGAGTATGGAAGATGAACCACCGCCTGTGCTTGTCCGTTTCCTGATGAGTTCATGCAGCAGCAAGCACGGCAAAACAAACGAAATACCTACTTAGCACACTAGCTCCGAGCTACAGGAGAGAAGTCATTCGTCCACTTTCACTTCTACACTGTCCACGTACTTCCTCAGCAAATTCATTCTCCCGAGAGCTAAGTTTACCAGAAGATCCACAGACGCATGTCGGTACAAAACCAGAGTTGAAGAGTAGACAGCTTTCGGCCACGCGGCAAGTCACTCAGCTAAACTGCCGTTCTTAGTCCGATGACTTTGGCTTAGAGGATGGAGCAAACCTCAAAGCTCGTCATCGGATCCTATGCAGACAACACCTCCAATGTTTTGAGGGAAAACTTCCTTGTTCTGCGAGGCATCTACAAACTTCAACGACCCCGCGGTACGCGGTCCGGAGCTCATCGATTTCGCCGTATCACCGTACCTCTGTCAACATGGTCAAAGCACTGGTGAGATCGGGCGGAGCACATCGACTCGAGCAGTCAGCCAGTTGCATGCTGGAGATTTTGCATCTTCCGATTCTTTGCAACATGCGCGCTAGGCGCATGTGCACTGGACTGGATCGCGGAAAGTTCGGCTCAATCGGAGAAATTTTGTATCGGGGGCGGGATTTGTGGCGTCCTCTGCCATAAAGCCTAAAATGGAATTGGGTGTACATGTACTCAGAGCAAGAGTACTACTCAGTGCAGTGTGATGTGTACGGGATATACAAACACTTCATCCATATGACATTTACTGTATTATTTAATCTTGGTATCATTGCATGGCGATTACCGGTATTTGCCCTCTTTTTCCACTGGATACATGCACTGATTTTCCGCATTATGGAAAATCAGCACAATAATCTGTGAACATGACTGTACATGTACCGGTATATGTATACAGTATAGGCCTGAATATCTTCTACAATGTAATCCGAGTGCAATACAAGAGAGAGTTTAGTGTACATGTACTTACAAGTTGTAGTGTACAGTGTACTAGCATGTCAATTACTGGCACCCTGGGCCATGCCATGGTGCCACCAGCGTGCAAGGGTATACAATTATGTACCAGTACATGACCGTACAAACAGTAACAATAACCTGGACTGGTAGTTGTACTACAGAATTACCAAGAGTATAAAAAGCTCCCAGGGAGCTTATTATAAATTATACAGGGAGCTTATTTATATACTCTTGGTACAGTACTCCTTCGAGGACCACACCCAACTTTCCGTGTGTATACTCTTGGTATTAACGTTACTAGTAAAGTCTTGTAACACCAAACACACACTATAATGGAGGTTTGCACATTGCAAACCGTAGTTAACATTCACGAAACCAACAAGCCAAAGGCGCCATGGCAACCAGTAAACGAACCCGCAAAAATAACAATAATTAGAATAAGAAACAGAAAAAAAATCAAGTTAGTGTGACAACAAATGCAAGGTTCCCTTTCCGGTGAAAGTGCTGCAACTGAGTGTGTCAGTGCTGACCAACAATTTGTTTTCCCCACCCTCCACTCCCACTGTACAAGTATTACTGGTACACATGGAGGCATGTGGGGTTGGCGGTCAATCGCCTGCCCGCAGCTTCGGGCAAACACATGACACCGGGTTGTCATCGCAAAATGCCCCCAGAGGTGGCCGGGCACCGGGTTGCCCAGGGTGACCGCGGCCCACGACTTCAAAATGTTTCTCACCTTATCACTATTCCCTTGTTCCCTGATCATTGCCTTGGAACAGTATCACTTTGCTCTCAGATGTTTCAAAATTTGATTCGAATGATTAATAAATTTCGGGCACATGAAACCCCTCCAAAAAATACCAACCGTGATCCGTTGTTGTGTGGAGTGAATGTTGAAGTAAAGGTTTTAAATGAATGAGGTGTTGCTACACTACTCCAGTCCAGGCTTCAAGTCTCAGGACCGGCTCGGCTCGAGCGTACAGCACTTTGTCCTGAAGCAGTTTAGAATACAGAGCGTGACAGGCAGCCTTTGCACCGGTACCGGTACATGTAGAATAGGTATTAGAATAAGCGGCACGGAGACAATAACTTTATTATAGCAATCAGCAGAATCAGCGAAGCGGACATTGGACGTAGTAATCAACGAGACTAAAAATATGGACAATAAAATTTCCCGGGGAATTTTAGTATCCATATTTTATTCTTCTTATTCTTGTTGATTACTACGTCCAATGTCCGCTTCGCTGATTCTGCTGATTGCTATAACAAAAATAGGTATTAGATAAACCTTGTTTTGTTGAAAACATGGTGTTGGTTGTCAACCGACAACATGTAGAATAGGTGTAGCCGTGTCGTGCCGGCTACATGGCGGCCACACCGGTTGCTGTAACATTCATTGCAGGGAAAGTGCGGAATATCTACCACACATTCCGACTGGCAAGCGCAGTGCACCTCGCTGTGCACCATGGTATACACGTGGAGGTGCACTGTCGCACACTGTGCCTACACACTCATACATCAAGCAACGGCTCTGAGCTTTGGAAAGCTGATCATTTTCGAGAAAATACAAAAAAAATCATCCATGTTGCCTGGGAAGGCACATCGTGTATCAGAGAGGAGCTCAGTGATATTGGGAAGAGGCCAGTGGCACGTAGACCATGAGCATCTGGTCCAGTCGGCACACAGTATGCTTCACAATAAGCCTAAAAACATGACAAACACTGAATGGCACGACGTTATCATAGTCCGGTTACAAACCAACTCAAGGCAGCCCAAACAGGAGAGCGTGGCACATTGCCTCCTTATTGTCACGGCAGCTACTGTTCAGTTGCTGTGTGTGTGCTGACAGAAGCCAGCTGTGATGACAGCAATAGCAAAGGTGGTGACGCGATATGTAATGCAGCTGCTCTGCAGATCCAAACAGCAGTGGCAGCAGCAGCAGTAGAATCAGTAGTACTTATCACACAGAGCACAGCGACCGTGCGAATGTGCTGTGCCGGTACAGCACCATGTTTACAACTGTGTGGACGTGCAGCGTTGGCGCACCACCCGGCTGCCTTGCAACGACCAGGAATTTGTAAAGCCTACAGCGGTAAAAAACGAATACACTCGTCATCACTTCCAGGACTGCTGGAGAGCTTTACGGGCAGAGAGGCGAGAAGAAACGAATGTGACTGTACCTAAAAGGACCAAGATACCTATAATAAATAGTCTGTCAAAGTCTGCTGGAAGCTGGTCAAATGTCTTCGACGGAGAGAGGCGAGTGAAGAAGAGATCTGCAGTTGACAAATACAGACATGCAAAATAGTTTACACGTTAACGACGAAACATCAATGCGATTACTTCGCCACAGGCGTCAAGGCAAACTCAGAAATACAGTAGAATTCTGATAAGACGTACCCCCAAGGGCAGCAGGAACGTGTAAGTGTCCGAGGTACTTCTTACAGTAAACTCCCCATGGCAGCGGGCATGCCCCTTTACCTTTTGGGTGGATGTGCTTCCATGCCATGGAACCAACCACCAGCATAAAGGTAACATGTGGTCTAAAGTATTTTTTTAAAGAAATATCAAGTGCGTACATATGCAGGAAATTCTATGATCTGGGCAGTATTCCGCGCCAAGCCACTGGGATCTGCAGAGTCTATCGGTATCAACTTACCAAGGCCATGTGCAAATACCAACGAGGTTGATTCTAGGCCAGATGGGCAAGTATGTATCTGACGAACGGAAGTCACCTGAGCAAAACAGATAGATTAGAAGAGACGTTCACACACAAGCACCCAAGCATGCATGAATACACGCACAACAACAACAACAACAACACACTCACTCTTTCTCCTTTCTTACACTATTATCTCTTATTGGCCACTGGCTATCGTGAGAATAAAGATTTGAAACAACAACAACAACAACAACAACAACAACAGCAGCAGCAGCAGCAGCAGCAGCAGCAGCAGCAGCAGCAGCAACAACAACAACAACAACCACAACAACAACAACCACAACAACAACAACAACAACAACAACAACAACAACAACAACAACAACAACAACAACAACAACAACAACAACAACAACAACAACAACAACAACAACAACAACAACAACAGTGAGAATAAAGATTTGAAACAACAATATTAAAAGGAGGTTGGAGACTATTCTGCCAGTATGATCTTCCAGTATGATCTTCCAGTATGATCTTCCAGTATGATCTTCCAGTATGATCTTCCAGTATGATCTGCCAGTATGATCTTCCAGTATGATCTTCCAGTATGATCTTCCAGTATGATCTGCCAGTATGATCTTCCAGTATGATCTTCCAGTATGATCTTCCAGTATGATCTTCCAGTATGATCTGCCAGTATGATCTGCCAGTATGATCTTCCAGTATGATCTTCCAGTATGATCTTCCAGTATGATCTTCCAGTATGATCTTCCAGTATGATCTTCCAGTATGATCTTCCAGTATGATCTTCCAGTATGATCTTCCAGTATGATCTGCCAGTATGATCTTCCAGTATGATCTTCCAGTATGATCTGCCAGTATGATCTTCCAGTATGATCTTCCAGTACGATCTTCCAGTATGATCTTCCAGTATGATCTGCCAGTATGATCTTCCAGTATGATCTTCCAGTATGATCTGCCAGTATGATCTGCCAGTATGATCTGCCAGTATGATCTTCCAGTATGATCTGCCAGTATGATCTGCCAGTATGATCTTCCAGTATGATCTGCCAGTATGATCTGCCAGTATGATCTTCCAGTATGATCTTCCAGTATGATCTGCCAGTATGATCTTCCAGTATGATCTTCCAGTATGATCTTCCAGTATGATCTTCCAGTATGATCTTCCAGTATGATCTGCCAGTATGATCTGCCAGTATGATCTTCCAGTATGATCTTCCAGTATGATCTGCCAGTATGATCTGCCAGTATGATCTTCCAGTATGATCTTCCAGTATGATCTTCCAGTATGATCTTCCAGTATGATCTTCCAGTATGATCTTCCAGTATGATCTTCCAGTATGATCTTCCAGTATGATCTTCCAGTATGATCTGCCAGTATGATCTTCCAGTATGATCTTCCAGTATGATCTTCCAGTATGATCTTCCAGTATGATCTTCCAGTATGATCTTCCAGTATGATCTTCCAGTATGATCTGCCAGTATGATCTTCCAGTATGATCTTCCAGTATGATCTTCCAGTATGATCTTCCAGTATGATCTTCCAGTATGATCTTCCAGTGTGATCTTCCAGTATGATCTTCCAGTATGATCTGCCAGTATGATCTTCCAGTATGATCTTCCAGTATGATCTGCCAGTATGATCTTCCAGTATGATCTTCCAGTATGATCTTTCAGTATGATCTTCCAGTATGATCTTCCAGTATGATCTTCCAGTATGATCTTCCAGTATGATCTGCCAGTATGATCTTCCAGTATGATCTTCCACTTTGAAATAGCCTCCAGTACATCAAACGCACAGTGTACACAATGTACACAGAGTACACAATGTACACAGAGTAAGATAAACAAAAACACACATCTTGCTTGGCGTCTTACCGACTGGTTGTAGTTGATAAGTGAGAGTGTGTTGTACGGCAGCTCTGGTAAATATGGCATTGTCCCCTCCCTAGAACGTAGAAATAAATGAACAACACAGATAATAATCAGGGAATAATTTAACCGGTATCGCATCGCAGTTTGCTACGCAATTCTTCTGAGGTGCGAAGCAACTTCAGAAATGTGTCGCAGAAAACTGGGATGCATATTGATGGTATGATGCACCGTGTACATGGCGGGTGTGTCTGTTAGGGATAAAAATAGATGCACGAAACTTCGAAAGTGCTGAGCTATGCAACCTGGCACCAGGCTAGGTTTGCAACCAAGGTGTTACAGTGTACTTGTGATCTGAGCCTGCACTCTGATTAGCTCTCCAGAAGGACGGTTGTCAAGTGTTGAAGAAAATTGCTACGCAACATTTTGGAATTGCTATTCAAGTTTGATTTTGCATAGCAAAATTGCTATGCAAAAGATTGAAAGTAAATTATTCCCTGATAATAATGGCATTGTTCCTGCTCTATCACGTAGAGAAAAAATCAACAACACAATGTCATGTGAATACACGCAGGAATGAGAATACATTGGACTTACTTGAAGGCTGAGCAGTGTTGTTGAGGGAAAACAGAACTGGTACACTGCATGTCCCTAGAGGGGTGCACCTATCTTTACAATACATGTACATGCATTTGGCAAGGTCTTCCCGTCTTTGGAGACCTTCTCAACGCCCTTGGTCCTGTCTTTGATTTACAAGTCTGCTTGGATACGCTATACTCACTGGACAGTAGTTCATGGTGTCGAGCGGGTTTCTAAGACTGGTGGTTTGGAGCTACTGACTCACGGTATTCAGGGATTTAGATGTGTTGTGCAGAGTGTTTACGCATGCTGCACTGTATGAGCTCTTTGAAAAACTTGGGGAAGTCTATACATTGGCATCCCAGTTTGAGAGTACGCATGTACCCTAGAACTTAGAAGAAGTCCACTTGGAACTCTCCCACAACACACACACACACACACACACACACACACACACACACACACACACACACACACACACACACACACACACACACACACACACACACACACACACACACACACACGTGTATATACATTCAAAATGCAATATACAAGCACCCTTCTTCTGGGGTATAGGCCTCTCTTTAATAATATCAGGTGACCCATCTGGGATTAGGTGCCTGACTTTGGTTGGGGAGAGAAAGGCGATAGAGGAAAGGAGATGAGCACCACCCTCGCTATGTGGAGCTTGCTGAAACAAGAGATCCTAAACACCTCCCACCCTAAGGTCAGAAAGGACTATGGGACATTTTTACGGTCACCATAGATGTTGATATTTGCCAACTCTCCCTCATGTTTGTTTCATTTCTGGGCATTTCCTTCCATGTTTAATAGGGGCCATAACAGCAGTTTCCTTTGAAGTTGAGATCTGCTGAGCTTTACAAGAATCCAACCGCCTATATTACATATTCCAGCTCAAATTCACAAACTTACGCCTGAATATTCGTTGGATCAAGTGGTCGACGAGGATCCATAAAGAACTTGACAAGAGACAGCACACCACCATTCTCCAAGCCAACTACACAACAACAACAACAACAACAACAACAACAACAACAACAACAACAACAACAACAACAACAACAACAACAACAACAACAACAACAACAACAACAACAACAACAACAACAACAACCACAACCACAACAACTATCGTGAGAATAAAGATTTGAAACAACAACAGCTGTCAACAACAACATTGATATGGCTTGTATCACACGGCAAGCAAAACATCAATAAAAAGTTGTTGTTGTAGAGCAGCTGTGTACTTCAAAGCACACCTACAGCTAACAGAATATTATATCAAGACACTTTTAATACTTAGCTGACACCTTACAGAGCATATCACGATGCGTCACACCACGTCGAGTATAAGACACAGCCAGTGTGTTAATGACAGTGCGGAAGATGTATGATTGAGTGAGAACAGTTACATCAGACGGTGCTTTCATGGAAGAAAAGCCTTCCCTGTGACGACAAAAGACAGGGAGGCAAACAAACAGGCAGAATCAAAAGCAGAAAGACAAGCATGAGAAGGCCGTATTCTATGCCTGCATCTGGTGGGCAGGAAAGAACATGCATAGATGTATCCAATGGTCAATCACACAGCATGCTGTGATAACAGGCCTACAAATAGTCTGCATGAAAATACACCGGACCGGCTATGTACAGTCTGATACACGTGTGGCAACAGCACATTATCCTTAATCGGCTTCTCAACCCGAGAAGTTCAAAAAAAGAAGAAGTATAAGTTGCCTCATTTCTAGAAGTAGGGGTTCTGTTGCAGACAGCAAGTCATACAGGATTCTTCAACCTACGTTGGTGGCTGCGTAAAACCATCGTAGAGTTCCACAACGTTCACCTCAGACCTACGTAGCTTGCTGTGATATGCTGAATACTGCAAGCAATAACATCAACACAGGCACAACATTGATACGGACAATGATAAGGATGACCACAGCCAGGTCAATCACAAAACAAAACAACACCACCAACGACACAGTTTAGTCTTGGTCATGGAATTCCACGAAGTTTTCCTGATGGTGAATTTTTCTACTACATAAGTAGAATCGTAACTTTGTAGCCGGTAATATGTCTATGCTAAGTATACATCCACATAAAGATCGTGAAGCAGTGGTCAATCACTAGCATTATCAGGGTGTATAGGAAGACACATATACAGGTAACTATACGAGAATTTAAACCCTAGCTCTGAGCGCTACCTTCTCAAGAGTTGAAGACACACCCCACCCACACTGAGTACTACTGACTTACCACCAGCCAGTTGTCAGAGTGAACCAAGTGCACAGGTCCACTGAGTCCCTTGTGATGGCCATGGTAGACAATAGCACCGGTTACACCATCCACAAGATACAGGGACACGGCAGCTGGAAACAGCAACATATATTGTCAGAAAAGCACACAGATGACAGATTATAAGAAAGGGTTTGCTCCCCAGATGACAGATTAGGCTAAAATTTAATGATCAACTGCACGTATGACGATTCATATCATAGGAACTCCAGCAAGTATTATTGCCATCTGAACATCGAGTACAGTAGAACATCGATTATCCGACCATTTAATTGTCCGGAATGGGTTTTCGAACCTCACATGGCGCAGGCTACGCATTTTCGTTCGGGAACTTGCACGAAAAGTTAGTTGTTGCAGCTCGCACTCGCTGCCTGTACCACTGTGTACAGGCAGTACAGCCAAAAAACTCACAAAGCTTACAAAAACTAACATGAAAACGACTGTTGTTGTTGTGGGTACAGTCGTCCCTCTCTAATCCGGCAACTTTTGCAACGGCATTTTCTGCTGGATAAACAAGGGTGCTGGATTATCAAGTCCTGCCCTCCAACCCGGCCCCGGAATATCCCTTGCACTGGCATAGGATATTCCCAAGTGTATGTTACATCTGTTGTGTATGGTACCATGCTCTCTAACAGTGTGCGATGTACAACTGCTGGATTGGAAAATCGAATAACGTACAATTTGAGTGATTTGTTGCAGAAAATCGCTGCTGGAGGCGGAATTCAAGTGCCGGATTAAAGCGTAGAAAACGAACTGAATAAATCCGATTTGCCAGAAAGTGTGCTGGTTTGCAAGGGTGCTGGATAAACAAGTGCCAGATTAGAGAGGGATGACTGTACTGTGATATACCGAACACATGCATCGGCATGTGGTGAGATTTTCCTTATCCGGCACATTTTCATTATCCGAACACCTTCCCAGGGCCCGCTGCCCAGGGTGGTCGGATAATCGGTGTTCTACTGTATGATATTCAGTTCTTCAACGCAACTGTACGCTCACTCCAGAATACCTAGATATACGTGTACAGTCTGTAACGGCTATAGCGTACCCTTTTGATTTCCGTGATTTTATTACTATCCGATGCATCACTATAATGCGATACGATCGATTTTTTTTCTTTGATCGACACATGAAAGGCAAGGAAATACTTCCAGCATGGCGTTTTGACAAATGAGCATGCTGCATAGTTGACAGTGCCCGCATTTCCATAAAAAATTCTGTTATGTACATGTACATGATTGTACTGATGTAGGGCTAGGACTTACGCTTTGAGCTGTCGCGGCTCTCTGTCACCATGGCAAACAGGTTGGGATTCAAATACTTGTAGTGGACACTGCCATTGGTCATCACACTCCCTAAAGAATTGATCACTTCTGTAAAGGGGAAATACACGCACACACACGCGCGCGCGCGCACACACACACACGCACACACACACACACAGAGTTGTACATGCAGGCATAACGTAAGCATACTATCACAGTGCCTGGCAGAATTGGCCACTTCGCTGCACCAAGAAGCATTGACTAAATTTAAAAAAATCATACCTGGTGAGTCCAGTATGTACCTGGCCAATGTGAGGTTGCTACTGCTGTTCCCAGCCCACAGAGGCAGGGTTCCCAGTCCATAGGGGCAGTGTTCTTACACATAGAATTTTTGTTTTGGGGTAAGTTAATTCATGTCTGCCGTGGCAGTAGGTCAAACCAGGGCCAGTCGCACACAACACTACCAAGGCATGACCTGAGCACATACATTACAAATGAGAGACATGTTAACAAATCTAAATCCGACCTTTCTGGGATTTTCCCGTGATGGACATAACTTGCTCGTGACTAGGTATGGTAACCTGCCATGTTGGTGTCGCAGTGAATCCCTTCAAACACAACAACACAACAACATCATAGTCAGCATACAGGAACCTGCCCAAGGAAAAGCCTGTGTTAAAGAGACAGAGCAAGTAAGGCCCCAGATGGTAACACCAGAGGTGGTAGTGTACACACAATATAATATTGCATGCACTATTCGTCCTTCATAATGTTCTAATGGTTACAGCAGCATTGGATACATACAGGGGTGATGATGACGATCAGTGAACACAATGCATGGGCATACCACGGGCATAACACGGGCACAACACGGGCATAACACGGGCATAACATGGGCACAAACTCACAGTCTGATCGGAATGTGTCAGGTGATATCCCTGCACAACACTGGACTGACTTCCACTAACATAGAGGTACACAGACTGGCTCAGTGCAAGGATAGACTTCTCAGCAGCGCTGGATGCAGGCAGGATATGAACCTGCTTGTCCTGGTCGAGTATGGCCATCACTCTACGCGCTGATGCATCCACCACGGGCAGGACGACGCTTGTGACAGGTTTGAAAGGCAGACAGCTCCATCCCAATGATGTGCCAACACTGGCGGCAAGTCCGCTAGGCTCGTTTGCTTGCTGTTCGCCCGTTATTGGGTTGAAGAAGAGCATTGCTGCTGATGAGCACTCGGAACTCTACACAGTGAAACAACGCACATAATTATACCAATGGTCACCATACATGTTCCAGTAGTAAACACTCAGGGAACAATCTGGCAAGAACTGTAGATCAAGGTATACAAAGAGACATGCCAGATACCCAGCTCCTCAACAAGCTAGCCATTCGCCAAGGCCACAGCCAACACACCTCCATCCTGATGTGATAGTGCTGCTGCTTTCTCATTGCATTGCAGCATGGGGTGAACGCATGAAAAGTGGCCAAATGAAGCCTGGTCACGGCACAAGTACAGAAACCAGAGTGGGCAACTCTAAGAGAATGAACTAACAGCAACTTTGTTTGATCAGGTCATATTGACTCACCTCTGCTACATTTCACACCGGTCTATAAGGATATTTTTAGCGTTTCAAGTTTTCACCAAGATAATTCCTGCTAACCATTGCTGTGTGTTGTACAAAAGGTGAAAATGCACGTGAATTTCCCGGTATCACCGGAGTGATACAGTGCCAGTGGTATGACAGGATATCCTATGATTCATAATGAGTCGATTATTAATGACCTGAACAAAAAACCTTCGTCATGGAAGTGATATTATCCAGCATAGATGCGGAGTTGCCAATTCTGGTTTTCGTAGTCTTGGTCATGACATTCACAATTTGATGCAAAGGAAGAATCAGGCTGCTGTTCCCACGTAAAGTGTACATGCACATACATGTATCTCTGCTTCGCCTGTGTTGAAATCTCACGTGTATGAAAAAGTACCAAAAAAAAGAAATGTTCCCACACCGGGAATCGAACCCGGGCCGCGGCGGTGAGAGCGCCGAATCCTAACCACTAGACCATATGGGAGCTACAGATAACAGCACTGCAAGATTGGAAATGAGAGGAGCCAACACCCTTCCCTGTACGCATTCAATAGCACAAACAAGCACACACAAATATCTGAACCGTGATGCCTGATGGTACCTTGCTGTCGGCAAACAGAACTGCCAGTGGTTCAAGTGGGAAGTGCTGGACACTACGCAAGACGATCAACTGATAGGATTCCTGATGTGTAAGACCATACTGGTCTTGTTGTTCGGATGTCAGGTCCTGGCGGAAAGGGCTGAGACCTCTTGGAAACTGCTGCCAATGGACACTGCCATCACGACTGTCAATGCCGAATATCTACAGAAAGAAGTTGAGCAAATAAAGTGAAATTACAGTACTTGACAAGAGTGCACTAGAGGGGAAAGGGTCAAGTCCTAATGGCGACATTACTAAAATTAATAATAGAAATGGACGAAAAATGATCATTGGAAAAGCGCTATGAGTCCGTGCAAGCAAGTCCAAACACAGTGGGGTACAATCTTACCTTGCCAACCGCCGTTGCAACAACAATCATCCGATGCAAGTTGAATTGGTCACGCAAGAAGTCTTCTTTGTGCTCATTTTCTTCGGCATCAGTAGCTGCAGGCTCACCACTGGCATGCCGCTGGGCAGGTGCTTGCTTACGGCCATGCAGTGATGTAAGCCAATGCTGTACAGTGCAAGTCCAGAGCAGAGTGAATAAATGCCCCAATGCACACAAGCACATAACTAGAACAAACTGAAGTCCGATCTTGAGCAACAGAGAGAAACATCCATAGTAGATGTGCCACTGGCACGGCTAACAGTAAAACACTCACCCTGCCCATTTCCTCATCGGCTTCAATTGCTAGTATGCCATAAGCTGGATTGCGATGCCATCATTTTCATCATTGTAGACAGGTACATGTTAGGTACCAGCGCATGCCAGGAATACATCTCCTAGATCCTCCCAATGTCTTCAGTATGGCACTCTTTCCGTGATGCATGTCCACATTCTGTTCCCTCTTTAGTCTTCACCCATTGAGGTAAGGTCTAGCCCTCTTTTCTCACAGTGTACGCTTATCAATGTAATAACGTTAGTCTATGGAAGCAACTGGTCATGCTTGAATCTCTGTGACTGAGGGGGAGGGGGAGATCCCATGAATGGGAGACAGCGTATGCCAATTTGAAGCAAGTTCCCGTATGTGGAAGACAGCTGCAGGGCAAAATCAATATATGACAGACGTTTCGAGGGCAAACGGAAGTACCTCTATATGGGCAAAGAATTTGAACTCTTGCAGATCCATCTCAACTACATATACAGTCCCATATCCTCACATATCTGGACGTCATTGGGCAGAGCCCCTCAGAAGTACCTTATCCGACATCTGCTAAGGTTTAGGGAGTAGATTCTGCTCAACGAAGAAAATTTGTCTGGATAAGTAGTTCCACACAATGCAATGGATGTACCAGGGCAGATGTACTTCCTTCAAATCCTACATACAGCTCTGCACATGCACGCTGTATGCAGTTGATTTTGTACACGCACAGTGTACAAATAGCACAATGCATGTAATACGGTCACTGCCGGATAAATGAGGTAGCTGCATAAACGGGGGCGTAGTCAGTGAGATAGCGCTGTTCTCGTACGCAGAACATGGGTTCGCAAACACTTAATAACCATACCTGGGCTTGAATCAGCTGTGATGTTACACGCTGCACAAACGCCGACAGAACGTTTCCTGTAAGCAAGCAAGCAAAGGTAACATATTAAACCTCAAACGAGTAGCAAGTGTATGTAGTGTATGTACAGTGCTGGCCAAAGAAATCCAACCTCATGAATAAATAGTGCCGGGCGCTACGCAGCCCTAGCACAACACATAGTGGTCTGTGCACTTGAATGCGGCGCTACTTTATTCATGAGGTTGGATTTCTTTGGCCAGCACTGTACATACACTACACTCAGTCAAGTCAGTCTGTGATGCGCTGTGCAGACTTTTGTTTGGACGAAGAATAAACTGTGGGATAGTCTCATCTATGGTTTATTCTAGCAGCACTCATGGTGGCTGGAACACTCCTGCCTACAGCCTACATGTCTACTAGCAGACACCTGTCAGTGTATTGCTAGTGTCCTCTGTCAATGAGAACTTTCCACAAGAACACTATTGAAGAATGAAAATCTGACAAAAAATAAACAAGGGTCAAATTCGATGTTGGCAAAAGATCCATCGGCCGCATTACACGGAAGCGAAGAAAACAAGGGCATACGCATGCATCATTACATCGTCTATAGGCGAGCCTGGAAATCAACAGAAGCATTTGCAATGGGGAGACTGAGCTTACTGCACGCCTGAATGTGAATAGTGCATTTTAATTCGTTTCTTTCGTCCCCGTCAAGATTCCCAGGACGTGTGTTGATACACACCACCAACACGCTCCACACATCATCATACATACATGTACACCGGCATCAGTAGAGCGTTAAAACTCAGCTGTGCACATACCTGCAGAACCAAATTCCTCGTGCAGTGTCTCAAAGAACTCCTCTGACGTAGAAATGGGTAGTTCGACCAGTTCGGTGGCTACAATGTTCGCCAATGATTCCTCTCGAGTCCACATCAGCCGTGCTAGCAGAGGCAAAGAGCGGGATAGTTGTTACAAAAGTAGAATAGCATTATGACTGGGCAATGGGAAGTACACCTCTAGTGAACCATGAACACTGCGAGTACGACCAGACAAGCACAGATAGGCCATGTACATGTACTACAGTATATCCTGAAGCACTTAGCGAGACATGTCCCAGTACTAGGAACTGTGTTACATTGGCCAGCCATGCACCTGTAATCATCATGTCCAGCACATACACATTGAGCGACTCTTAGCTATCATCCGATCAAGAGCACCCATCACACAACAAGTTGGTAGCAATAGGTGGATTGGCCAAGCTTACCGCTCTGTTGGACGAGCGAGAGTGCATGATCCTCCGTCTGCAACAGGACTCTGTAGCCAAGGGTAGAGTCCTTCTTACTGAATAGGTAGATGCATGTCTGCATAGAGAAACAACACACATATCAGCAGCATTCCAAAGGTAAATTCAATTGATCAGAACATGTTCGCATAAAGCTATAAGATAGATCAGATCTATGGTCTGGCAACAGCTGTTGCATTTAGACAGTTGTCACTATACTCTCCAGGGAGAATGACGTAGTGGAGAACTGGTGAGGCGTTGAGGTGATTTTTTTTGTGCAAAATATACTTGGTGAGCTGTACGCACGTGCACAGGGGTATCGTGCTGTTCTCCAGCAAAACTCCTAAATGATGATGCCATTGGTTTTGCGCAAAACGCTCTGCAGCCTAAAATAAAATGGCCAATTAGCTCTCGGTTCATACTGTACATCATTGAAATTGGCAGTATACTATACATAGTAAACACAGCATGAGAGAACTGCATCGAGTTGATACCCACAGTGGGAGGGAAGGTTAGCTGACCAAGACACAACAGAACACATTCTCTATCTTACATCGACTGGTGCACCGTGATGTGCAGGAAGATGAACTTTCTGAGCTAGCTCAGTGACGAGTCGATCAGAAGACAGATCCAGCCATTCCAAGTTCAGTGACTCACTCTGGGCAAACAAACACAAGTGAACATACTTGGAAAAGGCAACTCTTCGTGCACAACAGCACTTTTCAACGTTCAGTTCATAGCACAATCGACGAATCTGCTACTCAAGGCCTTTAACAAACTGCGGCTCGGCAATCCCTCTATCCTAAAAAAGCAGCTGCAAAAGCAAAAATAAGGCAAAAGAGCTGCAGCAACCACAGACACAGAGAGCAATATCTACTCACTTGAGAATCATGTTCCAACATCAACAAGTGCCCTTGATCACCATAAAATGCTGGGTAGAGTTGAACATTTGCCTGAAAACATACATCACAACACATTGCCAGGCAGAACAGACACAGTGAATACAATTTATTGACAGAAAACAACACTCAGAAGAACTTTCTCAAACTAAACCAATACGGCTACGGTGATGTGTGCTGTGTGCAGCAGAACAGAAAATTCCCAACAAGGCATTACACAATGATTGTGCAAAGAAGACACCCTGCAACTATGCCTAGTGTTAAAGTTGGAAGTTGTGCCAGCTACAGGTCTACATGAGCAGCGCTACGACCCCCCCCCCCTCCCCCAATAAAATACAAAAAAATTGAAAAAATAAAAGAAGAACACCAAAGTCCATCCATTAGTGGCAGTCACATTACACACCTTGGAAAACTCTCGGACAAGTGAAACAGCAGCCGAACCCTCATCCACTTTCAGCAGTAGTTTGTGTGACGGATTCAACGAGAGTAGAAACTGCATTTGAAGTGTTGCTGGCAGTGATGCTCCAACAGAGGTGCTAGCTTCTAGATTCAGACTTTTCAACGAGACAGAGTCCATGGCAGCTTGGTCCATGTCCACTCCCAGAGACTGCAAGGTAAGTGAAACAAACCAGATGTAAATACATGTATACAGCCAAGTTCACAGTTACAAAATCTGATCAAAACGTGGATTTCCAATGGTTTTCTGGAAATGTTTCTCACAACCCAGCAACTCATAATGGTGTAGTCCTTCCTGGGCAGTGACTATGGGAATAGATGGACATGCACCACGTGCTGCATGGTGAAGATCATGCATTGGGTACTACATGTTGAAATGCAGGCGTAAAGTAGGCAAGTCCATGCTCACATTGAGCCACAGGAAACCAGGGGTCAAATTTCTCCCACAACCACGATACACGTAAGTATCTTCAGCACAACAAACCCGCACACAACACCTGACATGTACATTGTACAATGCACAACAAACCCGCACACAACACCTGGCATGTACATTGTACAACGCACGATTAGAGGAATACATTAGAAGAGTGTGCCGCTTACACTCAGTGATGTCGCAACGAAAGTTGAAGTTTCAAGCTCCAGCACGGCAGTTTGCAGAGAGAATGTGACATGATCCAAGCAGACCAGGAACGAGCTGCCCAGCACAATACAGCTGCAAAACGAAACAAACAAATTCACAGCCACGTTGGAAGACTGCCGTAGACCTATCTACATTGGTGGCGTGTGACATCCGACATCAAGAATATACTTGTACCAGGTCCAAGAACACACCCGGTAAGGTCAAGGGCTGCATTTGTCATATCGGCCTCGGCAGCTGACGGGTTCTCCCGGGCTGTACGACAAACTTCCCCGGGTTGTACGACGAACTAACTACTCTGCCGGTACTAGTTTACATGTTGGGTGAACGTGTTCCCCTCATGAGCGCGCGTTTGTACGGCAGTTGTCTTTTGTATCTACTTGTCACTTTTATCAATGCATGGGCCGCGGGATGTTGTATCTGCTAACTGTCTTATCGTATACGCTGGCTGTTTAGTTAATTCATAATTAATACGCATTTCTCCTTGTCTTCTCCCTTTGGTCAATTCTGCATAGCAACAAGCTCTCTATGGTCTGATTGGTTGGGTTTTCCCGCCTTTACTACTCCTTTGTCTAACTCGATCCTTTTTGTTATCATATAACCCCTGCTGCTTCTGATCAAAAGTACCAACCTTCCTTCGACCTTCACTCTTGAATCGAGCTGGAATCATAGTGACTCTCAACCTTATTCGAATGACCAAGGTGAGCGTGTGTGACTGAATGGCTACTTGGATCAACTATATTGGTTGATGACCTGGTGGGGTTACTACGGCAATGCGAATGTATATGTTGTAGCCTTGAGATCGGTATTGTGTATGTCCGGCATGACATATTTGGTGCTGTGACCAGGATCCAAGTTCTGTTCTTCTGTAGGCGATTGCTTACGGAAGGCCCTCACAAGCTGGAATGTTTGGGGTGATGTCAGATGGGCTGTTGTCTAACCGAACAGATCGAATGATTTGACGGCCGGGCAGCAAACAATGATCGTAATGTAGAGCGATTGCTCTTTGTTGAAGGCAGAGTTGCCTATTTTGGAGAGGATGTGGCTAGGCGAGAGTGTTGACAGAACTGCCCACACTCTCGCGCATGCGGGTTGGACTGGCGCGCGGACTGGTGATCGGTTGATCACCGTATCGTACTACAGATTTGTAGTTTGATGATGAGGAGGGTTGAACTGGCGCGGACTGGTGATCGGTTGAACACCATACCGTACTATACAGACCAGTTTGACCATGATTTTTGCTGACCCGTACGCGAATGGTGTGATCCGATGACGACTGTAGTACATACGAACGTATGTACTGTGCAGTACTTGTGACCTGAATAGCTCTCATTGGTCGGAGGACCACCGTACGAAGTAGCAAGTGGGGAATATAAGGCGCCACTGGGCAAGGAAAAGGTATTACAGTCTTGCGATTGCAAAAGACAAAGATATCCTGTTGAGAGCGAACGCACTCGATTTTCTGATTATCATGGCTCACAATCAGGCTCCGGATGCAGCAGCGAACGCTGCTGTAGGGGGTGCCAATGGTGGGGCGATGGTGGTACGGCCGGCAGTGATGCCTGAAGCATATGATGGCGTGGGGGATTGGGTGGAGCACTTGCAGTACTTCAACCAATGTGCTCGTGTGAACGAGTGGAATGACGTGCAAAAGGCTCAATACTTAGCCGTACGGCTAAGAGGGGCTGCACAAAAATTTGTTGCGACTGTACCTGAAGCCCGCCGAGTGGAGTGGCCTCAGGTCGTAGAGGACTTGTCGAGGAGGTTTGCACCACCAGAGACAGCCCGCCAATATAAGTCGCAATTTAGAACGCGAAGGCGCAAGCCTGAGGAAGACGTCAGTCGATTGGCTGACGACTTGCGTAGTCTTGTACACAGGGCTTACCCGACCATGGGTGGAGACGTACAAGGAGAGTTGGTGCGGGATCAGCTCATTGATTCCATGACTCCTGACAGGTTGCGATTGCGCTTACAGGAAAATGCACCACGAACGGTGCAGGAAACGATCGAGATGGCTAACCATCTGGAGAGGGTGTGGGGGAACGAGGGCACGCACGGCCGAATGGACGATGCGTATGGCGTACCACGTCAATTGGTGACGGCTGCGGTTGCACCGTCAGAGCTCCCTACCTTGGAGTCGTTGGCAAAGTTGGTGGAGAAGCTTAGTGATCAGGTGGACAGGATTGCCCACCCTCCTAGGCCGAACCAACAATTCAGGAGAGGGGACCAAGTGGACAGAGTTGACCACTATAGGCCTGAATAATCGAGGGGTTTGACTTGCTGGTTCTGTGGCCGAATGGGACACAGAAGAGCTGACTGTCCAGACTTGATGAAACCCGGAAGGGAGTACCAATCTCGCCGACCGGCGGGAAACGGGCATTGATCGAGACGGCGGGCCGCGTCTGCGATCAAGAAACTGTGCTGGGTCCAGAAACTGAGGCGATTGTCTCGGATGCTCTAGAGAATGACTCTGAAGTGGTCGCTGCCTTGAGCAGGGCAGCAGAAAGCCACGGAGGTATGATGATTGAGGGAAGGATTAATGGGCTGCCAGTAGAGTTACTGGTAGATACGGGTTCCTCAGTAAGTCTAATTTCTGAGACCCTCTCGCAGCAGTTGGGCTACATGTTGGGCGACCTGGAACCACCAGAGAAGTCGACTGGCTTCTGCGGTGCGGATGGTCAGAGGTTGCATGTGTGTGGCACGGTCGCTGCATGTTTGGCAATACAGGATGCTATTTGTGTCCATGAGATGAAGGTGATTCGAGGGTTGCGGTATCATTGCCTGATTGGAAGGGATGTACTATCGCAGATACCTTGCGAGATCACGTCGAATGATGGGAAATTGAACTTCAAGGCTGATAAGGCTGAAGTTTCAACGGTGGGAACATCACAACGCTGCCATAATCTTCGATTGAAGAATAGGGTAGTTATACCTCCATACTGTGAAATGACGGTGGCTGCCGTTATCGAGAACAAGGAGGATGTTCCTTCATGTGGCATCACCGAACCAGACGGCTGTCTGATCGATGGTGGGGATGTTTTGTTGGCACGAGCGGTTGTTTGTCCAACAGATGAGGGTGTACCCGTTCGGGTATTGAACTGCTCAGAGGAGTCAGTATCTTTAGGAAGAGGTGCCCGAGTGGGACAGCTGCTACCTATTTCAGCCGTGATGAGTGTCATGGGCGAAGACGAGGATGATTGCGATCATATAGGAATGGAATCCACGGGGGATTCGGGAAGTTCCGAAGACTTATGGTCGGCGCTCAACATTGGACTAGAAGGTCCTGTGAGTGGGAAGTCTGTGTCGGGGGATGACGAGCTGCAGCTCGGTTATGAACCTGGTGAGGGCACAGCGGAGGCGAACCGGGAGACGTCTCGTGTTCAGCCTGGTGGGCAAGGGTCAATTGGGAATGAGGAATTGGCACGCTTGCGTGATCTCGTCTGTCGCTACCGGATGGTATTCGCGATGAACTCTGCTGAATTGGGTCGCACGACTGTGCAACACCACAACATTAACACCAAGGGAAGAAGTCCTATCTTCCAGGCTCCTAGGCGATTGCCTTGGAATTCAAGGGAAGCCACCCGTGAACTAGTGAAGGGCATGAAGGAACAAGGGGTGGTAGAGGATTCTACTAGTCCTTGGTCTTCGCCAATAGTGCTGGTTAAGAAGAAGGATGGCTCAACTCGATTTTGCGTTGATTATCGCAAATTGAATGCCGTTACGGAGCGGGATCCATATCCTCTCCCACGGATTGATGATACGTTGGACGCGCTGAGTGGCGCGAAGTACTTTTCCACCTTGGATTTGTGTTCCGGCTATCATCAGCTGCCTATGGCAGAAGAAGACAAGGAGAAAACGGGTTTCTCCACTCCAGATGGGCACTACCAGTTTACAGTCATGCCGTTCGGTGTGTGTAACGGTCCAAGCTCGTTCCAGAGACTTATGAGTGTTGTCTTGCGTGGGCTACAGTGGCAGATTTGCCTCGTGTATCTCGATGATGTGATTGTGTTTGCAAAGACTTTTGACGAACACTTAGAGCGGCTCGAGGCGGTGTTTGAACGGCTATTGGACGCAGGGTTGCGTCTAAAACCATCCAAATGCTTCTTGCTGCGTGCGAGGGTGGATTTTCTGGGCCATGTGGTCTCGGAAGAGGGTGTGAGCACTGATGAGGAAAAGACTCACCGCGTGGCTACGTGGGAGCACCCTACGAATGTAGCGGAAATTCGGGCATTTTTGGGGTTCTGTGGCTACTATCGAAGGTTCGTACCGAACTTCTCGGATGTTGCTAAACCCCTCACTCAGTTGACTAAACAAGGCCATGCGTTCGTATGGATCGAGGAGTGTGAAGAGGCATTTGCTACGTTGAAGAGTCGGTTGACTTCTTCACCAACCCTGGCATATCCACAATATGGACCTGATGCTCCGAGGTTCATTCTGGATGTTGACGCCAGTGGTACGGGATTGGATGCTGTTTTGTCACAGCAAGATGAGAAGGGGGTCGAACGACCCATTGCCTTTGCTAGTCGATTGACATCTGCATCGGAACGCAGGTACGCTTCTACCAAAAGCGAATTGCTGGGTGTAGTTTGGGCGTTTAATCACTTCAGGTGTTACCTGCTCGGCAAGCGCTTCTTGGTCCGCTCGGATCACAAAGCATTGCAGCATTTGGACAACTTCAAAGAACCAGCGCCGATTGTCGCCAGGTGGTTGGAATTTCTAAGTCAATTCGAGTATGATCTGCAATATCGAAAGGGCAAGGCTCATTCAAACGCAGATGGTTTGTCCAGACAGAAGACCAAACCTGTGATGAATGTTACAGAAGTGGCTCCTACCGTTCCTGGACCCTTGGTTCAGCGAAGGGACTGGACATATGGGACCTGGGCGATTGCCCAGCAAGCTGATCCTGACCTCAGGCAGCTTTTTGAGTGGCTAATGGATGACGGCGAGTCGGCTGACTTGACCGGAATCAGTCCGACTTTGAGGAAGTACTGGCGGGGACGCCAGCATCTTTCTGTGAAGGGCGGAGTGATTGGAAGGGAATGGGTTGAGCCTGAGATTTCAGCGCCCAACCGTTTTCAGATTTTGATCCCAGTTGATCTGCGGACTGAAATCTTGAAGGAGTATCACGATTTCCTTGGTCATGTGGGTATGAAGCGGACGATTGCCCAGCTTCGCACTCGGTTCTATTGGCATGGAATGAGTCGTGACGTTGAAGATTGGATCGGCACGTGCACGTCATGTTGTCGACGCTCCCGACCGGTTGGTCGAGGACAAGGGGCACCTTTACAGGTGTCCTGGGCGGGGTATCCCTTCGAACGTGTGGCTATGGATTTGATTCCAGGACTGCCTGAGACTTCAGGTGGAAATCGTCACATTTTGGTCGTTGTGGACTACTTCACGAAGTGGGTAGAGGCGTATCCGTTGAAACGGATGGATGCAGCGACTGTTGCATCGGTATTTGTGAGCGAATTCGTGTCCAGATTTGGAGCACCGGATAGCTTGCATACGGATCAAGGTGCAAACTTTGATTCGAAACTGTTCAAGAACGTTTGCGGCTTGCTTGGTATCAAGAAAACGCGGACAACGGCTTACCATCCGTCGGGTGACGGATTGGTAGAGAGATTTAACCAGACGTTAGAGCGATTGCTCTCACACTATGTTCAGAGAGACCAGCGTGATTGGGATGTCCAATTACCCGCAGCATTAATGGCGTATCGGGCTACCACCCAAGCCAGCACAGGGTACACGCCGGCGTATCTCCTCTTCGGCAGAGAGTTCTGTCTCCCGCAAGATGTTGCGTATGGTTTACCGCCAGCTGAACAGTTGGATGAACCTACGTATGTGCGTCAATTGCGGTCCCGTTTGGCGGATGTGCACACGATTGTGAGGCACAAGCTCGGTGCAGTGCATCGACATCAGGCGCATCTCTATGATCATAGGGCTGTGTCGGTGGAATTTGCGGAAGGAAGTCTGGTATGGCTCTTGGTACCCGCTGTTCCAGTTGGAACCAGCACCAAGTTGGCGAAATTGTGGAAGGGACCGTTCAAGGTTTTGAACCGGTTGTCTGATGTTGTGTATCGCGTCCGTGATATGGGATCAGACTCGGCTACATGCCAAGTTGTGCACGTGCCTTGCTTGAACCGCTTGAAGAAGTGTCGTGTACGCCCAACACATCTCGCTACGGTTGTACGCGAGGAAGCGTCGAATTCATCTCCGACAAGGAACCCGATCAGAACTGCGTCACCACAACCGAGCTCCTACACGCCTGATACCACAGACTTGTTGTATGCGGAAAGAGCAGGTGGCCGTGACGAGCAGTTTGGAGGAGTAGAGCTACTTCCCATTGACGCTGCAGTAGCACCGGCTGATGTCAACCGTCCAGTTCAAGGAGTACCATTGCCTCCCGCTAACGCTGCAGTAGCACCGGCTGGTGTCAACCGTCCAGTTCGAAGAAGGAGACCACCCCAACGACTGGAGTACGGCTAAGGATTGCGGGACGCAATCTCCCAGAAGGCCGGGGAGATGTCATATCGGCCTCGGCAGCTGACGGGTTCTCCCGGGCTGTACGACAAACTTCCCCGGGTTGTACGACGAACTAACTACTCTGCCGGTACTAGTTTACATGTTGGGTGAACGTGTTCCCCTCATGAGCGCGCGTTTGTACGGCAGTTGTCTTTTGTATCTACTTGTCACTTTTATCAATGCATGGGCCGCGGGATGTTGTATCTGCTAACTGTCTTATCGTATACGCTGGCTGTTTAGTTAATTCATAATTAATACGCATTTCTCCTTGTCTTCTCCCTTTGGTCAATTCTGCATAGCAACAAGCTCTCTATGGTCTGATTGGTTGGGTTTTCCCGCCTTTACTACTCCTTTGTCTAACTCGATCCTTTTTGTTATCATATAACCCCTGCTGCTTCTGATCAAAAGTACCAACCTTCCTTCGACCTTCACTCTTGAATCGAGCTGGAATCATAGTGACTCTCAACCTTATTCGAATGACCAAGGTGAGCGTGTGTGACTGAATGGATACTTGGATCAACTATATTGGTTGATGACCTGGTGGGGTTACTACGGCAATGCGAATGTATATGTTGTAGCCTTGAGATCGGTATTGTGTATGTCCGGCATGACACATTGTCTGAACACTGCTGGCACGCATACTAGGCTGCACAATCATGGGGCTGGATTTCATTTGCTCGCTACTACATGTACTAGTACTCTGAGGTGAAATGAGCATGCACCAAGTGTGTTATATGTACATGGTACATGTACTATGTACCCCCAAAATAGGCTGCAACCAGGACTCGCTCATCTACTCCACCTCTAGAACACGGCCATGAAAGGGTACAGGTGGTGGGGTACCGGGTGCTCTCTTCTTATGGTATTGCTGTACAACGTAGAAAAACGCATTGCACCGAACTGTACTTACTCAAGCGGCTTACTAGATATCCATGCTGCCGGCAACGTATGCTACACAGCATCACACCGCACCGCACAGGAGAGAACCAAACAGAAGGAATCAAGCAAAGTCAAGGCAGCAATGCTACATATCCAATGGCAACGTACACAGAAGGAATCACAGCCGTGCAGTGACCAGCAGCTTACCTTTGACACGACATCACCGTTAGTTGCATGATAGGTAATAACCGTCAAATCCATGTCATTGCTGACTCCAATAGCCCGCAACTGACCCGCCGTTGCATGAATAAAATCACATTTCAAAGAGCTGCAGCACAAAAGTAGAACAAGTGAAACTTTTTTAAACATGTCATTGGAAATTTCAAAACAAAGATGTACAATATTCCTATGCACTGACCTTTCAGAGAGTGAAACTCCCCATAATCTTTGTCCAGATTTGCTAGAGTAGAGCTGAAGGTCGTCGCCAAGCAATACCGCAATAGCAGTACTCTTTCCTGTCAACAACAAAGAGAAAATGACACGGCCATGACAACAAGTTGGTGAAAGTTCAGACTCGGGGGCCATTGAACTCCCTCTGTTCTCCGTCACACCAACAATTCTGCATGGAGGTAGCCTTGAACAAAAGCAGGCAAGCACAGATTCAATCAAGACTCCTCCTTCCAGGTGGGAATTCACACAACGGGGCCCGCTGCCACCGGGAAGCAAGGTACATGATCCAGAGAGCATGCCAGCAGACTGGAAAATGAAAATCACATAACAAGCTTGGCAAGTAGGCACATGCCGTCGCAACAAACATCTTCTGAACATCTTTCTGATTTTCCCTATTTCGCTGCCGCGACTATTCGTGTGTCCACTACTGGCAAGTCTCCCAGACTCCATCAAACGCCAGCCATATAACGGGCACAAGACAGTTCTGAGAGCTCACATTGTACGATGCACAATCACCACCACTTTCCTACTGTGAGGCATTATGGAACAAATGCAGATGACGAAGACATTTAAAAGTACAAACATGTAGTGGTGCAGGAATCGCGATCATCAACAGCACTATGCTTCACCTGATTTACTCTCCACGAGAATGGCAGATGTCACATTATCTTCTTTCCTACAGACACAAAGGGATGAAGCAGCAGTTTGTACAGTCAAGCAAGCATAAACACCAGTCAGATACATGTGGTATTTACGAACAGAGCATAGTGGCAACGTGCTAGTGCAGCATGTCGCAGTCCAAGCTCGGCAGCGAGTTGACAAACGCCTTGACTTACCGTCTGCTTTCTGAGGCAACTGTCTCCCATGCCAAACTACCGGTGGCGACGTCCCAGCCACGCAGCAACTGACCACCAGATGACAATGTTGCAAGCACTAAAACACACACACACACACACACATACCATGGCATAGACGGAGATCAAAAGGAGCAATTACTAACAAATCCTGTTGACATGAATTGATACTTGTAAGAAGTTTCCCACTATGATATTCTCCACTCATCATTTATCATACTGCATCGCAGCTACACTCATACCTCATTCAGAAACTGAGGCTATGAGCGCTTTGGTCCACCAGGCAACTTTGGATGAGTTTTAGTGGATGCAATATGGAATCTTTTGATCACTTTATTGTCGAAGTGATGACATCAATATGCCATACTGCTGGCCCTCCCATGTCAAATGCCTGTGATTCGGAGTTACAAACATGCTTGAACTCATGGTCAGTGCCTGGTCCCGGACTGCCCAGATAAATGAGGTGTCGGTGCACTGACCATCGCTACGTTCACATGCAGAAAACTACCAACCTGTTCCACGATGCTGTAATGCATTGATGTCATCAGACTTTGCAAATACCTGGCGCCAGCCTGGAAAGAAAGGACATACATAAACACCATGCAAAACGCATTATTCGACACATTGTCATCGTATCTTACTGCAGATTTCAAAACACAATTCTACTTTGGCATACACACCCAGTAGCGAGGAAAATCAGCACAACCCAGTCAGTGCCGTAAGAGACCCAGGGTGGGACCGTTTCAGCAAACACACTGAAACTTTACGACAGAGATCTAAAAATGGGGGTACGACTTACAAAATTGGATGCGACGTATACTCAGGGAAATAGAGTGCTTTTTCAGTCCAAACTCTCCACCACATGCCCTCTCTGGCCGACTTCGCTCACCCCACCAGCAACACGACTCCAAGTTTTAGATACTGACATCCAGCCTGCCGACATAGTTGGAAGTCTATGCTTCTGCTTTTGATTCCCAAATTTATCCACAGCTCATTTCAATGGACGGAGAGGGTGATTTGCCTGTATCACGTGATTGAAACGAGAGAGCTGCCAGTTCTACCCTTGCCATGCTGCATGTACGATTGCAATGGCGTTTTTTTAATCATTTCACGATCCGGCCATGGCATAAGTAACGCTAAGAATAGGATCAGCTGCGGTCCATATGAATTCATGACTGTGCACCTTATTTCATTCATAGCGTTTATATCTATAAAATAAAATAAAATATTTCAATGTTCAAGAAGCATCGCAAAAAAATAAGATGCTGTGACAAAAAGTTTTCCACGTACCAAGTTGACCAGTTCTGGCATTGATGGAAGCCAAGACACCTGATTGCGTAGCCAGTACAACTCTCCTACTGCTGTGCGATGATTGGTCAAATCTAGCAAAGTTTGCTGCACCTATGAAACGTCGTCTCCTGCAGTAAACGTTGAACACGTTTGATATCAACTATCTACAACGCCAACAATATCATCGCTGAGAGAAACAGTTCTATCACCTACCAATCATAAAGTCCTGCTTGATCGGCGTGCATGCTAAACACGCACTCAGGGAGCCATATCACCAGAAGCACAATTAATCCGTGGAAGCGCATGGTGGTTGAAATGTGTGCTACTCAAATATCATTCTCTATCAACCACAGCTCGATTCGTTCCAGACCTCACACAAGCTTGAAGTACAAAATGATTCGAATTTGTGTATTTTGGTTCACTGATCAGCTTCAAAGATGAGATCAGATCTGCAGAGTCAGTGACAACGTTCCCAAGAAAATGGAAAGTTCAAAAGAAGCTGAAAATAATTAAATTTTTAATTGTAAAACATTATTTTTCTTCCGAGCTCACATGTACACTATTGAGTATTGTAGTGTGTACATAATTATGTGCGCGGCGTCACACCGCACATCGTTTCCAGGGCCACTGCCTTCGAATAAAAAAGCGAGCTTTTTATGCATCGAAAATGTGCGATGCATGTGCATGTGACAAAAATTAAACCCTTCAAAAATTCAATGGTAGGTTTTGAATTTTGTGGACAATAATATTGCAGTCATAATCATGTCGTGATTGAAAATGACTTCTAAACAAAAGGACAAGGATAGGAAGAAGACCTCATCCACCCCTGCTGTTGAAACACTCGTATCAGGGCGCACACCACGCGCCACAGCCGGAAATCGTCTCGGTAAACTTTTGAATGAAGAAACTGAGGATGATTTCTACAAAACTGCTCTTGGCGGATTCGAAGAGGAATCGGGCGATGAAGAGTATGAAACGGAGGACGATGCTGGAGACATAGTTGACTCTGACTTTGATAATGATGAAGGTGAAGATGCTGCTGCTCAAGATGGCTCAGATTTCGAAGAACCGGCCAAGAAACGAGCTAAAACTACTTACAAAGATCCACGTGCTAAGAAAGCTGCAGATACCACTAGTCGTAAGCGGATATCTACCCCTAAAAAGGCAACACAAACTACCAGTGAGACCAAATCAACGTCAACAGCAGTGGATTTAACTCCCATCAAATCTGAAAAGAATGATCAAGCCGAAGGTGCTCAAAGCACGCGGAAATCCTATCGTCTGGCCACTGTTGAGCAGCGGCGTGAGCATGAGAAGCGACAGCTGGAATCACAAAGTAAGCCAAAGAAGGCTGTGAAAGTTGTTCAGTTCCGTAAGCTTTCTCAAGAAGAGCTGCTTGCTGAAGCAGTGGAGACTGAACGGGAGAATTTGGCATCGCTAGCAGCTTACCGCCGGCTTGAGGAGGAACGGAAAAAGTCCAAGCACCCCAAGGCAAAGATTGTTGGTCCTAGCATACGCTTCATATCCACCACACTGCCCATGCTGGGTAAGGTGAAGATATCAGATAGGACCATCTCAGCTGCTGTAGACGGTGCAACACCGCCAACCACTGATGCGACTGCAAGCAGTGGAGATCAAACTGATGATACTGACACATGGCCTAGGAAATATGCAAGAAACTTCTTGTCATTCTCAGACAACGTGGCGACGCACTTTGATCATCAGCCGGTGTTGAAGGCACCGACACCTTTGATTTGCCCAGTGACTGGACTTCCAGCGAAGTATCGCGATCCTGTTACCGGGAAGGCTTATGCTACTGCTGAAGCATTTCATATTATTCGCACGCGTTATGCTCGTGATCAACATCGTTTGCAGCAGAGAGTACAAGAGAAAGGCTAATGAGATTGAGCATTGGCTGTGTTGTAAGTAGGCATAAACACACTGTGTTGTATATATTACTAAATAATCAACTTGTATTATATCACGCTCCTCGTCGTTCAGACTTGCACCACTGGAGGTCGTACAGCACCCGTGTGAGCTGTACTCCTCTCTGCTGTATATAGGCTGTATATAGGGATTTGTGCTCTTGTAATATCCATGCCAGAACGCTTGTGGCGTGAATTGACACATTCGTTCTGTTTAATTTGTGTAATCTTTCTGGCTAATGTGATTCAATGCTGCTGGCAGTGTAATTGTAAAAATATTGAAGCCATCATGTAGCGTCTTCTCTGGACTCTTGTTCAGGTTTTCTTGTTCAAGTACTCGAAGTAGCTTTCTTCAGGTTGGACGGGTTGAAGAGGTGTAGTAACAGGTCTCCTACAACCTGTGCATGCCAGTGTGTGTAGTGTGGTGGTTGCCTTGGAAGTCTAGTTTTCTTGGCAAGTTTATTCAATGTTGTTTTCTGCCATTAGCATGTTTTGCAGGAGTACATATACGTCAATTATGAACGTATACGGAATCAAATCACACCATTCCGGCCTTTGTTTGTAGAGAGCAGTGCTGATGGGGGCAGTCCTGTTTGTAGGGAGCAGTGCTGATGGGGGGCAGTCATGTTTGTAGGGAGCAGTGCTGATGGGGGCAGTCCTGGCTACTAGTAACTGGCAACTCTCATCCCAGATCGGGGATTGTCGAAACTTGACGACTCCCTAGCCCAGCTCCACACCGATGTGACCCTGGTCTTCAGCAGCTGGGTTTATATATGAGAAGTTTAGACCCTGGTCAAGTAATTAGTTCAAGCCGCCGTGTACAGTTCGGCAAAATTAACAGAATGTCCCATGTACCAGGGAGTTGTATAATCATGCAGAGTGAAAATAGCACTCCCTGGCCATGCCAAAAGTACGGGAACAGCTTATGCAATTTTCCCTTCTTTCCGCCCTGCTTTTTTTGCGTCTTGGCTTGCAGGGTCATTACCTATTGTACTCAAGTAGTCTTCTGCTCTTACTTTATCACTTCTCTCTGCTGCTTTGGCTGCATGGCTGTCACCCCACTACTTGCACATTTGCCACTATTTCCTTGCCATGCATGGGAAGGTGAAATAAAACAATTGTTTATGCGATTCCCGAATCAACCTACCCATGGGCCATGCCATGGACAATGTACACTCAGTAGCTGAACATGTAGTAGTGCGGTTGCGGGTGTATTCACTCTCGTACTGACGTGTGTCTCATACTGAGATACAATGTCATGGTTACTGCCCTGCCCCATATTGTTACTGGACTATGATTCGTATGAAGTGTTTGTGCTTTGCACCATGTCCTGTGTCATGTTTGCCCGTACCAGAAACCTTTCTTTCCAGTCGTGGCCAAAGAAGTCCAACCTGTGAGCCGAAAGCAGCGCCAAGGCTCGTGCTTCCCCTACGGCCCTCGGATGGGTTTTTGGATTGTGCATGATGTAATTGAAGTGGAACGATGGCGTTATTTTTGACTCGTGGCCCGTCGTGGGTCAGATTTCTTTGGCCATGGTTGTACAATGCTCACTCCGTGTGCTCCAGTACGCAGTCTTGCCTTGCAAGCTTAGCTTGATCATGCAGTGATCTGTCCACATATGGCTATTATAGCACTACCTGTGAATTAGTCTATGCCCCGCATGCAAGAGTATAATATGACCCTATACTCTTGGTAGCACACGTACTCAATCAATCTACAAAGCATACGTACATGTATGTAAAGAAATAGACAAATACCCTAACAAGGGCAGAGCTTTTTGGCCTCTGTTGTTCTGCCTTGTGTATGTACAGTCAACTTCGCTTATAACGACACTCGGCGGGGCATCAAAAAAGTGTCCTTATTCGAAAAGTGTCGTTATACCCGAAGTCTCAATATATGTATTACAGTGCAGTGGGATGGGACTTTGCTCTGGGCATGGAAATTATGTCGTTATTCGCGAATTGTCGTTATATCCGCAGTCGTTATTAGCGAAGTTGACTGTACTAAAGAGAAAAATGTACAAGAAAATAAAGATGTACGGACTACCAAATAATAATACTACCGTAATAATATCAAGAGTCCATGCACTCTTGATATTAATACCACGGCACGCGTACAAAGGCCAAAGTCTGACTCAAAATGAAAGAACAATATACATGTATCAGAATACACTGAAATTAATTAAGCCAAGTCCGCTTCTGTCTCCAGTCAACAAAAACTCATCCATAAACAATGTCTGATCTCCATTTCGACTTGTCTGCAGCAAATGCTCGTGCTACCAACTCAAGTAAACTAAAACAAGAGTATTATTATAACCCCCAGTGGGTGGATACTCTTGCTAAAAAGGGTAGCCACCAGGGAGTCGTAAAATACCGGTATTTTACGACTCCCTGGTAGCCACTGCACGCACGCAACTGGCGCACAAGCAGAACTGGAAGGTGTTCAGTTCGCCATGCGCCAGTAGCTTTGCCCGCAATGGCTATATACGACAAACATGGGTTACCGTATACGGTACGTGCGGTTTGTCGTACTTCTAGCGCTACAAATATAGAGTGAGTACGTGCACCCGTGGTGAGTGACCATGGCGATCACGCCACGCTCTTCGCTTCCGTGTTCATTGTGAGTACTCAAGTGTAGTGGGGACTTGCGTTGAGTTTGGGAAGCAGGAATCGTGGGCGAGATTTCATGACGAACTGAAGTGAAGAGGTCAAGTGCGAAGTCGTCACCAACGACAGCTTCTTGCAGCCCAAAGCCACAAAGTTCCTGGCATGTCTTCAGTTGTACGTAGTTTCATCTTGTAAACGAGTTTCTGTACTCCTACTAGTGGAGTTAGTTGGTCTTGTTTTTGGGTCTAACAGTTAGAGATTTACGGTAGTTCCGAAGTTCCGCTCATCTTCTGTTGTTTCCCGTCGAACCCGACCTCTTCGCGAATTCACTGCAGTCAGAGTCTGCTTGGATTTGAGTGCTGGTATTCTGGGCTTGCATGCTACACACCTATCCTGGAAAAAATGGGTAAGCATACCAGCACAAGTACACTCAATCTCTTTCCTCTGAAAGCCACTCTACTTGCACTGACACGAAATGTGTCACATGCTTCTTACAGCAAAGTCGTAAAAGTGCTACTATTAACATTAGTACTTTCAAGAACGCAGTTCTCATGCTCAAAGCTAGTCAAGCCGGGGCATTCTTACTTTCTTCATAAATTAGACTGGCTTTTAAAATCACATCCTTGGTGGAAGGGGAATTTCACATAATCTATCATCAAGCCTGAAGATTCTTATCTTCCTGGCTGGGTGCTCAAGGGCTCGGCAACTCTTTCTGCTTGTGGCATGCATTGACAATGCTTTGTCTGCTCTAATTCTTTTGCTTCCAGCCAAGTATTGCAAGTGCATGTATGACTATGATGCGGGGGATGATGACGAGCTGACATTTGTCGAAGGAGACATCATACAAGTCAGTGATGATAAGGAAGAAGGCTGGTGGACAGGTACACTCAAGGGCAAAAAGGGAACTTTCCCCAGCAATTTCGTTGAGAAGATCAGTGAAGAAGAAGGACGTTCTGCTCTTGGCCTGCCTACCCTTAGTAAGTCATTGTGTGTGTGTGTGTGTGTGTGTGTGTGTGTGTGTGTGTGTGTGTGTGTGTGTGTGTGTGTGTATGTGTATGTGTGTGTGTGTGTGTGTGTTAGTGTGTGTGTGTGTGTGTGTGTGTGTGTGTGCGTGCGTGTGTGTGTGTGTGGGAGTGTGTGCGCGTGTGTGCGCGTGTGTGTGTGTGTGTGTGGGAGTGTGTTCGCGTGTGTGCGTGTGTGTGTGGGGGGGGGGGGGGAGTGTGTGCGCGTGTGTGTGTGTGGGAGTGGGGGGGGGGGGGGGGGGGTGCAATATGTGTGCATCATGACTACACACGTACACACACACACACACACACACACACACACACACACACACACACACACACACAGCGGTATGCATTACCCCACTTCGCTGCTAAGCGGCTGGCGAGACGCTTCTGGTACGCACTGTACTCGCTGTGGAGGACAGCATCAGTGGAACACACCAAAGGAGTAAAGGAGCCTCGTAGCTCTTCAGCGGCATGCTTGTATTTCCGATTCTTCGCTGCAGCTGCTTTGTTGGCGGTGGCATTCCAGGACAGGTTGGCCTTGGCATAACTGGGTGCGTCAGCATCTACGATGCGGTTAGCTCGGGCCCGGTGCGCGAGTGAAACCGAACGAGACAAAGGCTTTCGCTCTTTAGTGCTATTGACTGGCTTTTCATACGATGCCTATTGATGTCTAGAGACATGCTGTCTAGCCTTCCCCTGGTACGCATTCACGGGGCTTTGTTGAAGTTCGTGCCGTGAACTGCCAAAGGGAATTGTTTGAATGGTGCTGGGGCAAGTGCGACATTACGGCGTCCCTGCAGCCGGCCTAATCGCGTTTGTTGCCACAACCGATTTTATCAAGATCATGGGCATGGGAAACAGTTACCCCCTATCCCATTTTCCACTTTCCAACATTGTCTTGCCATGCTAAATGCAATGCATGGGGAGAATCCCCGACTTCACCCGAACAAATGTGCCTTTTTGAACCATCCAATATAGTGACTTTCAACTGCATTTTCGTTGAATTGCATGAAAAAAAAAAAAATCGGAAAATGAGTAGGGGGCGGCACTTTCACAAACAGAGTAGGGGGGGGGGGGGGGCGCAGCTTGGCCTGATTATGTTCAGGATCTAACTTTGCGCTTGTGCCCGTGTGTGTGTGTGTATGTGTGTGTGTATATGGATGTGTGTGTGTGCACGCATGTGTGCGTGTGTGTTTGTGTGTGTGTGTGTGCGTGCGCATGCGCGTGCTCCATGCATGTGGTGTGTCATTTTGGACTGTGTTCTGCACACATATTTCATCGGTCCAACATCAGATCCACCCATTATCCGTAAGAAGGTATGTGAAACGTCTGGTTAACTACCCTCTGATAACAATGAGTGATCTACTGTCGTGGACATGGAAATCCGGTCGCACGTCTAGCGGCCCCAGGGCGCTGGCCATGCAGCCGTGGATAAGCGGAACATGCATTATGCGATGCAGCGCGCTGGTCGCATCGCGGATCAACATGACTTTGTGCACTGCACGCAGCGTTCTGTACGCGCTGAGGGCGCCGGCCCCTGTCAATCGACTGCATTTCCATGTCCGCTACAGTATGAGCAAAGGTTCTTCGGTGTGGACCATGAGCTTGTGTATGCTGACGTATACTGGTCAGCCTACTGTAAAAGCCATTATTCTAACGAGGCGCATATATAATAATAATAATAATAATAATACCACAGCACGCGTAATAATATAATTATGTGGGTATAATTATACGTTCCGCTTCTGTCCTATCTCCTATGATCAAATTCCATTATCAAGATAATTATTAACACGGCGCACTGATGACCTGTGACGCCAGATCATGGATTGTCGGCCAGATTTCTCCATGTAGGCTTGTCCAGAGCGATGGCCCTCACATTCCCCAGCTGACTGCTGCGCTTCAAGTCGATGTTCCTCCTCTGTAAGTCGCTTGTGATGCGCGTCACAATGGATGTCCTTGGACGTCCACGCCCAGCCTTGGCATCTCCCGCAAAATAGCCCGTCAGCGCGATCCATGGCGGCATAACGATTTCCCAAAATTGACTAGTTTACGTGTACGAAAGGTAACGATTCTCACTCATTCTCGAAGCTCAATAGGACAGTATACGTATCGATTTCTGTATAACGGTTTCTATTTTAACGACAGATTTCTCCTCGTTAACTCGTTAGAGTTAGCACATCGTTATATGGCTTTTACAGTTGTTCTCATTCAGCATAAAGCTGGCGGTACGGGACATAAAAGCTTGTCGGGAAGGCTGGAACGAGCTGTAATATATGGTACTATGCGTACGACATGACATAAAGTAGCTGTTGCGATGGTCAAAATTGATCGGCACCAGGGGTCTCGTAAATTTAGTTGGTCTTGCCTTTTGTCTGTCACATTAAATTTTGACAATGTTCAAACTTTTTTCGTCTTTTTCTTGTTCTCTCCCAGCCGGGATCAATACGTTCGCTCAGCCCAGGTGAGAGTTGAGGAGAGTTGAGAATGGTGTGGCATGATAACGGCACACCAACCACCCCCTGTGCACTGTCCTTTCAATCTCTTCAGCCGTGGGGAAACCGTGTGTTTGGAAGGAGTGATTTCATCTCTATCTTGCCATATTGCCAAGTTATTGAGTACCCCTTCTTTTGGGAGACTTTGAAGAAGAACATTACTTCACTGATGAAGCCCCGGAAATTTGATCTACACAGACTACAATGCGTCCACGTTCTGACCTATATCAGCAGACACTGTGCGCATGCAGATGGCCTGTAAGGCTGTAACCAATGCATCTGCTGCCCAGGCCTGGGCAGCGGTTACTCCATGCTCTTTGAACTTCACATTCTCAAGTGTAAAACGGACCGAGAGTGGTGTGTCGAGATTGCACAAGCGAAGCCTATCTTCTGTGCTTGCCAAGCGTGAGCACATACAACTATGATGGCATAACATGAACATTCTTATTCTACCATTTGCTGTTATCTTCCACTCTTCTTGTTTTCAGCCAAGGAAACGGCGACAGCTGAATATGACTATGAGGCCCAGGACGATGACGAAGTATCCTTCAGCGAGGGCGACAAGGTAGAAATCCTCGACAAGAAACCTGGCACCGAAGGTTGGTGGAAGGTGAAGCACAGCAATGGCAAGGTTGGACTTGTTCCCGATAACTTCTTCATCATCACACCATCATCAAGATCACCCAGGGTGAGGTTTAGTGGTAACCTAGTGTTATTTTTAAGTTATGTTTTTTTTAGTCCAAGCTTTCGTGTCCTTCAACCATCATGTTTAATGATAACCATACTGTAAAAATCGTGTGGCAACATATACTAGTACTGGAGTTCACAAGAAGGTAATCAAAGCCACCACTGGCCCTGCCATTCCCTACCCCAGTTTATGAGATCATTTGATCTGCCTAACCCTGAAACACAATTCCTAGGTGGCAAATCCAATACTCACTGTCTGCATTTCTCTTTAATCCACTCTTGTTGTTGTTGTTGTTGTTGTTGTTGTTGTTGTTGTTGTTGTTGTTGTTGTTGTTGTTGTTGTTGTTGTTGTTGTTGTTGTCGTTGCTGCTGCCACTGTCGCGGATGTGGATGTTGTTTCTGTTGCCATTGTAGCTCAGTGCTAGCGGGCCCTCTCAAACATCTCCAGCTAAATCCCCTCCCAGTGATGGCAATGCTCAGGCTACTATTACCAAAGCAGGTATGCGTACAGGCTGTTCATAGATTGAGCGGGTGTGCGTTTGTGCATGCGTGTGTGGGGGCATGTGTGTGTGTGTGTGTGTGTGTGTGTGTGTGTGTGTGTGTGTGTGTTCAGATGAATTGACTTACGTAGACATGTGCAAATATTGTGTTGTAATGGGAACTGTTTCAGGTTGCTAGTATCATCAGGGCTCCACCAGCTTTGAACTGCCGGTCGGATTTCACTAATAGTGCAAATGCAGTAGCCCTAGTCTTAGTTGTGCCATGTTCGCTTCTGTTTGGTTCATGTACTTGTAGACATTATCTTGAACATAAATATATCTCACAATACATTGTATTGTGAGATAGGCAACGATATGCCTAATAATATCATGTTGTGTCTTGTGTGCTGTGTGTGTGTGTACACATGTGGGTATGGATGTCTGTGTGGATGTCTGTGTGTGTGGGGGGGGGGGGGGGAGGGTACTTGTCTGTGTGCATGCATTTGTGTGTGTGTGTGCACGCGTGTGTGTTTGTGTGTGTTTGTGTGTGTGTGCGCGTGCGCGCATGCACAGCTGCCAATATTCGGAAAAACATGGCCAGCGGTGCTACACCTCTCTCTACAGGTACTCCACCTGCCTCCACTACAAGTGCTTCTCCAAGTGTGTCTGCCGGTGTCAAAGCGAGTAAGTTGATGCTGTCTGTTTCCTCTAGACTTGTCAAAAGCTCATAAACGTAAATGATACCCAATGCCGTAGACAGTACATGATGTAATGCTTGTCTCTGTTCCTACAATGGAACAACACTAAGTAACACCGCGACACAGTGCCAAAGAAAAGAAGAAGAAAAAAGAAAAGGAAGAAAGATGCAAAGCGGTCAGCATGTAGGCGTCACATCTGCAATACATCGAAGTCAATAGCTCTGTGCTACACAAGAAGTTGCATCTTCCCATGTATGTTCACATCGTCGCCGCTCAGCAAACTTTAGTCCACTTGGGCCTGTCAGTGGCTCAGTTCCAGAGAGTGTTGAGGTGCGGCGTCATGCCAGTTCATCTTCAGCGCCATGTCTTGTTGATGGGTCGAGACCAGACACAGGACCGGGTTATTCCTCGCCTGTGTTTCGTATTTGCGAAATGTGCCCAAGCAGACATCTCACTCGCTTCGCCATGGCAGAAATCGGTCTTGGTGTGAGTTAGCTGGTGCAGATTGTTGTTTGAGATGATAATTACACAAGTACATTAAGATACCAAACATATGCCGAGTTGCTTGTGGCGGGGTTTGTCCAGGGAACCTTCCAATGCATTTGATAGGCCTGCACAAGCAATGCTGAATGTGAGGATTGGAAGCACATGCATGTTGTAGAGCCTCACCCAGGTACATGTACTGTACTGTACTGTACTGGCTTGGAGATGCTGCCACCAAAATCGGATAGTACATGTACACAGCTAAGCAAGACACCCTGGTTTGAAGCTCAGAATCAACTTCAATCAGGAGCAGAGTTCCATGCACTCAATACCAAGCTTTACCAAAAAGAGTACCAGTATGTTGTCTACTGGATGTCAGACTAAGTGCCCATCGACCGTACCAACTTACTGGCATCTTGGCTTCTTCTTTTCTAGTGACTAAGCCTCTTGTATGGGCAAACCACAGCAAAGGTTGCCATAAGAAGCAGGAGAGCGCAAGACAAATACTTTTAAGAAACCGATGACATGACATTGTATTGAGTAATACTTCTTCTCCTGTGTGCACACAGCACTGCGTAGCGTTCTTGCCCATCGTGGTTTTGCTAGTGTGTGAGCATTTGGAATGAGCTTCGACAACCGCTTGAATCGCCCTGTGTGTATGTTATAACATGTGTGTGTGTTTGTGCATGTGTGTGTGTGTGTGTGTGTGTATGTGTGTGTGTGTGTGTGTGTGTGTGTGTGTGTGTGTGTGTGTGTGTGTGTGTGTGTGTGTGTGTGTGACTTTGGTGTGACTTTGGTGTGTCTGCAGAGCCAGCTGAGTCTCCAGCAACAGTAAGTACGATATTCCACTATTCTAATTTGGCGAGTTTGAATATATTGCTTCATTTATTTACGGCTCGCATGAGAGGCCATTTTATAGACTGATATCTCTGCATCTGTAAGAACACCGGTGCACTCAAGGATCAAGGTCCAGTTTTAGTTTCTAGAGCGATGGGAGTGAGGTAATATGACCTAGCACATTGGTCAATAATTGAAGCTGTCACGTCATAGCGCCTATTCGCGTAAGGCTCTTCTTGATCAACTTCAAAACAAAATAACCCCGACTAGTTAGGGTATTGTGTTTTCTACACTGCATAACATTGATGCTTTCAGACTTGAAAATGGCTGTTCCATTCGTTTTTGTGATTTTCCTAGCAGACACCAGCTCAATCTGCCCCAACAACTGATTGGAGAGCGAACCTCAAGAAGAGAACAGGCAACAAGCCGGTAAGAGCAAACATCAGCTTGCAGAATGCAGACATGGCCATGTGGCGGACTTATCTGAAGCACGCACGTTATACTTCTTAAGTACTCACCAGCTGTAACGTCGAAGGCAACACACGCACACACACACACACACACACACACACCACACACACACACACACACACACACACACACACACACACACACACACATTTTGAATATCGTTTTTTACTTTTACATCTCTCAAGCATATTATTTGCCAAGTGTGACGTATGTGAATCAGCTGGCAATATACAGCATTCCTTCTGTCTGTCCTATGCAGGTTGGAGGAACACAACCAGCTGAGAAGCCAGAGGACACCGTAAGTACAACACAGACGCAATTTGCAGCATTTCACTTTTTGGAGGATCAGTCTCCAGAGACAAAATGGATCATTACCTATGAAGTATTTTCCCGGGAATTTTTCCGAAGTATAAGCTGCCCCCCCCCCTCTTTTGCCACAATATACAGACATCTATCCCATCCTATCCCATGTTATCACCGTTAATTTGATCATGGGAGGATAAGCCCCCCCCCCCCCCCCCTTCGGTGAATTTTGAATGTTCAAAGTGCAGCTTATACTCCAGAAAATACGGTAAAGCCGGTGTCCAGACCCTGCTCAAGTTTATTCCAAGCCATCATCCATTCAAGCTGCAGTGTATGCACTACCGGTGCAGAATTGCATGTGTCCGTGCCAGTGCACTCTTCAATTGTCATGTTTCTACTCCAGTCATACTGCTGTAGAGGATATTCTTCTGCACAAGACTCTGTGGTGGTCATCAGTGTATGTACAAGCATTTTCTGTTGTTGCCAGGCTCTACTGCTGATGCTGGTGCTTCATGTAGCTGTGGATCGTTTGAGTTCAATGCCATGCATTATTATAGTAATGCTTTCTTTTGCCTCATTGCAGACACCTTCCTGGATGAAAAGGAAGAGAGAACTTGAGGTAAGATATTGGAGAAGCCTGCACATCTGTGCTTGCACACATACATAATCTTACACTCTCACACACACTCTCTCTCTCTCTTTCTCACACACACACACACACACACACACACAACACACACACACACACACACAACACACACACACACACACAACACACACACACACACACAACACACACACACACACACAACACAAAAACACAAAAACACATACTTACTCGTTCATTTGGACATATCATGAGAAGAACCACTGACTCTTCCGGTGAAACTTGGTATGACTGATAACCTTGGCTCCCCGTCCCCAGAAACAAGAATAGTTTCATAATTGTAGGCGCGGCAGGATGCATGGAACTGTTATCTTCACGGCTAATTCTAATTCCACGGAGTATTTTTCCATGAACCTATCACAGTTTATGTTAGTATTACGCAGACAGCTTTCTGACAAGAGCTCAATACAATCATGTCGATTGGGTTAGCCTACATCCAGTATGTTCGCGCAAAGCAATCTAACATACCACAACTACCACCATCACCGCCACCATCATTTACCATAGTTTGTGCATCCACAAACCAGGTATGCAACTGTGGTTATGGGTCAGTGCGCGGCATGCTGGCTTCATTACGTAACTAACTTGCCTGCATCACGCACTGACAGTCTGTACCCATGCACCAAAATCCACGCTCTCTTGTATCGGCATGCCTGGTTTTGCTGGATTCGTACAGACACAAACTCTAAATTTTGGATGCATGAACTTCATTCAGTTGCATACAAAAGTTAGTTTCAAACCACCAATGGAAAGGGTGGTGTTTGATTTTCGGCAATGTGTGGACGTAGCTGCATGTAATGAAGGCAACTTGCTGCACATCTGGTCCATAGAAAGGAGATCACAATTGCATACTCTTGTTTGTGGACCCTTGATGTACTTTAAAGGAACTTGTTTCTTGTTTTTGAACCTGTTTCCTCTTTTTTTTACTTGATTGTATGGCTGGTAGGACGAACATGAGAAGGAGAAGGAAAAGGAAGATGAAAAGGAAAAGGACGGGCGACAATTCCCGGTAAGTATCTAATACTATCTACCTAATGTCTAATGAATACACTCGATCTCCGGACAGCTAGCTATTCGACCTTGTTAGGTCTCTTCAACGAAGCTCAGCGATACTGGCCAAACCGATTGCAACACAGTCTAAGAGCAAGCTTGGCAAGAGGGCAGGTAGCCTTTGACGCTAACCGGAAAGAGTGTTCCACGAAGCCAAGGCAAGGAAGCATAATGCCTACATGTACTTTGTTGTCACTCAGAGTTTCGTGGGGAAAACACCCTAATGTTCCAATGGCCTTGATGTGAAGGCAGGCTAGTCTTGATTTAGCACCTTTACGTACATGTACTACACTGTGAAGCCTGTCCAAAGCCTGCTCAAGTGACCAGTAAAAAGTGGTCGCCTTGGCCAGGTGGTCGCCTTGGCCAGGTGGTCCTCATATCCCGGCTAGTAGGTCAGGTGACCACATTCACTGTATACGTTTGGTTTGTCATTCTGATCAGTACCTCACACTGCACATACCTATGCTAACAGCTAGGTGCAGTGTGTAAGTAGCACAGGTGCGGGTGGGTGTCTGCATCACTGTTGAGCATGGTGGTGATCAAGCATGACCACCGGCCGTGTTTCATGCGCACCTGGAGCTGTTTGTGCCATGCAGCCTTTGCTACACTTCTTGCACTGTGTGAACAGTGAATTGTGTACACACAAGGTACACTTTAGTCGCAGAAGGGTGCTTGGTGGTCACGGAAGGGAATGGTGGCCTTGCCCTGCAGGCTACTTTAGCTCGGAACGTGTCCATGACAAGGGGAAGTGGTCATCTTGGTCGAGTGGTCGCCATATCCGACGGGTCGCATTAACAGGTTTTACTGTAGGACATATAATTTTATTCGTAGTGCGTTTATATTTGATGCATCGGGGCTCCCCGCGTACTAGTTTGCATGTGTAGTGTGCGGGTAGTACGGTACCGGTGAGGGCTGTGTCCTACTAGCCTGTGTAGTTTCACAGGAAGTGTGGGGTTCGAAGTCTGAAGAAAATGTTGAACGGTCTTTGTTTGGATGACGACTACACCATAGCTCAACAGTAAGAGCAATGCTGGCAAAGGTCCCTGGTTCGAATCCGGGTGGTGATAACATATGTTTTGCTCTTTAGATTTCCCCCTTTCAATCCCAGAAAACTGATGAATACTCCTGTGTTCACTATCATTTCTCTGGTGCTGTTATGCTTAGGGTCCATCTGTGCTTAGTCGCACTCGTATGGGTGCTGGTGGTGTTGGTACCGGTGCTGGTGTTGGTACTGTTGGTGCCGGTGCTGGTGCCGGTGCTGGTGGTGCTGGTGGTGCCGGTGCCGGTGCCGGTGCTGGTGGTGCCGGTGCTGGTGGTGCCTCTGTCAATAAACCAGCCAAGGTCAGTGACCATACTACTGCATGATAGGTTACTGTCAGTGAACATTTCATTAACTTTCTCGGAACATTTAATTCTAACGTCGTAATGATTTAACGAATTAAAAAAAAAAACGTTAGTTTTGAAGCCATTATGTGCAGAAACGATGTACATGTACAGTCATTTACCGGTTTTTACAGCCAGAATTCGTTAACATTGCGCCTCTCTAACCAACGAAAATCCGGAGACCGTTAACTTCAATAGACTTTTTAAAGATATGTGGTCTTACAGTATGCCGATTGCGTTCCACAATCATTTTTCTATCATTTATTTCACATTAACCCGAGCTTCCTCCGGGCAGGGGGGTCATGGGTTAAGGATCCGGTTGAGTGAGAGAATTAAAAAACTGCATGGAAGAAGCTGTGCCTGAGAAAGAGAAAAACAAGCGGAAGTTCAATAATAATTCCTTTTCTCCCAATTCCCAGATTCCAGCATTCCGAGAATCAAAACACGATACGAGCACTGGATGCGGAAGGAGCTGGGTGATCATTTCCACTAAGAATGATGTGTAGCCGCTTGATCTGGGGCTGATGATGACAGAATGTATGAAAGGCATCACACTCCACCATACTCTCTGCCTGCGTAGGACAGCATCTGCAAGCCTGATCATTTTCGATAAAAAGGAGGTGTCACATTCGGCTGCTCCAGCCCAGTGCCTGCAACACAGAATCCACTAGGCGTAACCCGATTGTCCAGAAGATCAGAGCAGAACAGAGCCAAGACACCAAAAACAGGACTGATAACATTGCATTATTATTATTACTAAAAGCATGTCCGCGTAGGTGGCGGGGGTGCCACTTTCGCTTATGCCATTCAGGATTGATGTCTGAAGAGTAATACGATACAATGAAATGACAGAAGTGACGTCAACAAAAGCCGTTAGCACCAACACCAATATGACTAATGGAAAACTTCATCCAAAGTATAAAATAAAATAGAATATGCATACAACATGTCTGGTCAGTCCTGTTAGGTGGGGCGGGCTCCACGCCATGCCTGTCGGTCCGCTGCCATTGTGCGGACTGTGTCAACATCTAGCGGCTGGTGGAGGGTAAGTCCATGCCATGATAACAGTTCCGTCTGCAAGACCGTTACCAAAGTCGTCCGAGGTCGACCCCTGAAGCGTTCAGTGCCCTCGTCGTTGGCCAGGCGAAGAAACATATCCACTGCCAACTGTGGAGGAGCAGTTGGGGCCAAACGAAAGATATGGCCAGCGAGACTGTAGCGCTGCCTTGTGATCATCTCGCTGATGGGGACAGCTCCGCAGCGCTTATACAGAGTGTCATTGCTAATTCGTTTAGGGTACCGCATGTCGATGATGCTTGGGGCCTACCGATGTCGGAGCTCGCGCGAATGGATTCGTTCCACAGGACCCAGCTAACATTGCATAAGCTAAAAAAAGCCCTAAATGCAACAAAGCTGTTCCATGTTGCAAAATTATTGAAGAAAACGAACTAGCATCCAATTGCTGTTGAGTCCGCAGCTGGAACAACGCCTACCTGAGATATTGACAAGGCAAGGTTTGTGAAGTAGCACTTCTATAGCTTGTTTGCAGCCACTTTGTCAGATGCCATGTCTTCTCCCACTCCCGCTCCCTAGTAATACCGCTGGCGGCAACTAAAGTCGAAACCGCCCAGAAATGCGCATGTGTTTGTGTGGGGGGGGGGGGGGGGAGGTAAGAAAATCTGCATTCAGTGCCCACATGTGCTGTGGCATTCTAATAGCAGGCAACGCAGGAATTCTGCTGTTTGTGTGGTTGTGTATTCTCTTGTTCTGGAGATTTGAAGATTTACCGTACTAGTTTTATGTCTGTTTCTGCGCTGTCTGCTACTACAACCATCCTGATTCTGGATGGGTGTTGAAGGTTGAAAAGGTGTGTGTGTGTGGGCGTGTGTGGACGTGTGTTTTGCAGCCGGGTCCGTCAAGGGGGGTCTCGCCCGGGCCCGGACCAGCCTTTTCCTTCATCCCACCCCCTCCAGCAGGAACACAGGCAGCAGCTAAACCAGCGCCAGTTGAGGGCACAAAGGTAGTCGTGACACCAAGATTTGGAGCCTCTCCACCATGCCGTGTAAGTACATGTACAGTGCAGTCACTATGCAGAATGAACAGTATCCATTTCCAGTTTATTCATGGTGGGGTCACATGGTGGGGTCGCTTTGTACGAGCAACTAATACAGTAAGTTCACGTTGGTCTTCTGTTAGGTATGTGAAAAAGGAGGACAAAACCTTTTTCACCATAATTTATTAGGCTCAACATCCGAGTGTTAGGTATGTGTTCACAATTTTACAAAAGTCCCTTCTGTCTTGTGGATTTCTCTTGGTTTAGGACAGGGATGTAACGGGTATTTGGTTCGAGACACAGATGTGCTGCCAACACTAGGAAGCTCAGTCTGATTCTTGTGAAAGATAGAGAAATCACTTGAAAAACAGATTACGTCCCGATGTATACCGGTGTGCTAGTACATGGAGATGAGGATCTCTCCACTGTGGCACACGCAATGAAAACGTATACAGATCTGGTGCATATCACCCACATTTGGCGGCAGACCTTCAGAAAAATGCAGCATTTGGAACAGGAAATTCGCAGTTCACATTTCGTGTGATTTCTTTGCTTGAACATAGAGCAGAATATCTTCTCTGTGACGACTTGTGTGGAGCCCAAAGCGTGTTGGCGCGAGTATTGGAACTCAAATAATTTCTTTGGAGCAGAACTTCACTGATGAAAGGCCATCATTGGTCTTTTCAGTGTGCTTTGCAGAGAGTAAACTTCGTAGATGAATAGAGGAAAAGAAAAAGACGTGCAAGTAACTGTAGTATTGAAGCAAGGTCTAATCTGGTCTTACACGTTCTGACACAGTCAGTGAATTCGTACTGGAGCAAGTCTGTAGGGGCAGTCTGCAAGGAGTAGAATCATGTACGCGGGGAGAAGCATGTAACACGCCACCGTAGAGAAATGATGATGGAAGTATTGAACTTTTAAGGTTAAACACTTATTGCAGTGAGGTGGAGAGATGGGATGGCAAAGAGGCGACAAGTGACCGCTTGGTGATACTGTGGAACGTGTGCTATACATTGCAGGTTGGAAGAGGGTTGATCAGTACATACTGCGAGGCACTGTACGCCTGGTGTGCCCTGCATGCCTGGAGTACACCATCTTCCGCACACTATTCATGATAATGTAGTACAGTTGCTCTACCAAGTATATGTAAATCCAATACCGCCATCCATAGCAGTTATGTACACAAACACATGGAATATGGACAGCTCTGCATGCAAGCCGTCTTTGCTTCTCACAAAAGAGACGAGGCCGACAGACAGGCAGGCAAGTATATAACCGTACCACACAACAGGAGCAAGACTGACCTGCTTGATACTGATATAATTATATATTTCAACGATTTGACGATTGTTTTCTTCATAATGATAATGATAAATACTGCTCCATACTATGAATTCCTTGTCTGGTCCTGTGATGGTGTCTCATCGTATGGATGTCAAGTTTTTACGGAACTAGACAGACAGACAGAGGGAGGGAGACAGCCGTTGAGCAAGAACAGAGCATTGTTCTCTTCTTTCTTTTTTCCTTTTTCTTGTTTCCTGTGGGATACCGTTGCCTGTTCACTGGCCCCTTGACAACCACCATTAACAGAAAGATAGCGCTGGTGCCGGCAGTATCAACGCTGGTGTGAATAGTGCGGGCACTAGTCCTACAGGTATCAGTGTTCCGATCACGGGCGCTTCGGATGCCGAAACTGACAAGCAGGTGAAGAAGCTCATGGATCAAGTTGCTGACCTGCAAAAGCAGGTTGCAGTTGTCGGTGACTTGCAGAAGCAAGTCAACGCTCTTTCAGTCCAGCAAGGTCAGGTGGCTGACATGTCAGAGGTTCAGAAGCAAGTCGCAGGAATAGCAGATCTGCAGAAACAAGTCACTACGATGGCCACAGCAATGAAGAGCATGCAAAGCACCATCCATGGCCTGGAGAGTGAAGTGGATAGTGAGAAGAAGCTACGCAGCTCGTGCGAAGTGGAGCTGCAGCGCATCCGCAAGAAGCTCAACAGCAAAGAGCTGGATGATGTTTGCTAACCTAGGCTTCTGCCGGATACAAAGCTGTATGCGACTTGATGCATGCAGTTTCATTGGTGCAACGCTAGGTGATTAGAGAGCCAGGTAGGCTTGTTACACGCAGTGATCCATGCCTTGATTGCTATCCATTGCTGACATATTGGAATGATATTTTTTAATTTATGCTTCTAGTATTTTAACCACATTTTCCGTGTGTGTGTTGTCTGCATTGACGTGCGTGTCTCTGATACTTCTCAATCCTCATGCAGTTTTGTTGGTCTCTCCCGTGTAAAGTTGTTTGTGTATGTCCAGTACTTTCATCTTCTTTACCATCTGAATATTTACCTGTGCTTTTTGGGGCGCAAAAAATGCAAAGCGCAGCTCTATGTACACACACCCCAGTGGTTGTTGGACTTGAGTGCATTTACCCAATACTCAAAAATACTGATTATTTATCTTTTCCGGGATTACCAATATGTATCACTATTAACGATTACTTCCATTTCTAGTCGACCAACTGTCCCAATTTGACTTTACTGTTTACAATGCTGCAGTGTGATCCCGCACCTGCTGTTCTGTTTGCTTTCCACATACAGCACTCGTGCAGCTAGCGCGTTACTCTTGTTTTTGTGTCATGCTCGAATGCTCTGGGAATAGTCACCACTCGCATACTTTTCTTTTCCATGTCACCCCTGGGTGCAGCTTTCATTTTCTCTGTGATGGCACCCCTACATCCTGAAAGAAAACAAGTGATAGCGTCTTGTTCAGTAATGAAATAAAGCTAATCGTGCCCCATATCGTGTACCTCCCTTTAGACTCCCATAAGTGGTATGGGTCCTTGTCCTGCCTGGTGGTTTCTCCGCCTCTGCACGCTCCATGCATAGTTCGCGCCTACTGCGCATGCCCATCCAGTGATGTAATTCTTATCACTCGCTCTTCCCATGCATGCCCTGCATTGATAACTCACACCTCCTCTACATGCCCATGCGTATCCCCCACAATAAGAACAAGCTATCCCGCGACAAAAGCATTAGTTGTCTGATGATTGCCTTAGCATTTAGGTACGTGCATGAAACGCAGCGTTACAACGTATGTTTATACAATTGGTGAAACCATTCTTTTTGACCTTTGTCCCTTTAGACTCCTGTAAGGTGGCCAGTGGCCTGCTACTGTTAAGTGTTGTCTTGTAAATCCACGGATGAGTTGAATTTTTTAAAGCCTCGTGCAAGAAATGGATGGGCAAACCTGTAGAAAAGTTCTCTTTGGACCCCCAACGTTGCAACGTACTGGTACTCCTAAGTCGATATTAGAATCAGGGAGTCGGAAAATAACGGTATTTTGCGACTCCCTGATAGAATTCCCCCTCTAAAGCTCACATGCTTGCCGAACATGGCATCCAAGAAACAGGCGTCAGCGCCAATGATGCCACATATCAGTTCAAAACTAACAGTTACCTGGAGACAACCAGAATCTTACTTACTGGATGCAAACCCTGGCTAGAACTAAAACACAGACTAATGTGTTAATGCAATGAATATAACTAAATGCGCACTCATATCACAACCATGGGGACGAGTAATGTATTCCAGAACGTTTTCTTGTCACAATTATCAATGGAATTTGTGACCAAGAGAATGATGAAACTACAATAGGATTTATACACTTCTTGGTTGCATTCTTGGTTCAGTGTTGTTCGTTCTGCAAGTAGTTTCAAGCAGTTGAAAGTTCTAGAAGCAGTCTACATTCGCAGTCGTGATTCAAATCTTTGTAAACAAAAAGAAAATGTCACTGCACTTACACTATTCCAGTAATTAATTCGCACTCACACACACTTGCACATGCATGTCCATTGTCACACTGCACTTGCTGAATTTGCTATCATTTTCACCTGTATGGTTTTTATTACCTGTGCAAATTTTTCCTAAGTTTGTGCTATTTGTCTTACTATTCTTGTATCCTCGTTGTTTCACTCCAAGTGTATAAATCCTATTGTAGTTTCATCATTCTCTTTAGTCACGAATTCCATTGATAATTGTGACAAGAAAACGTTCTGGAATACATTATTCGTCCTCATGGTTGTGATATGAGTGCGCATTTAGTTATATTCATTGCATTATTAAGAGTATTGTCTCCACTTCGCCTGTTTACTATTATAATGTGTTAATTCATTAATTTTGTAGAGAACAAGTACTAGTACTAGTGCTAGTATGTGCTTTAGCCAGAACATGCTGTTACAGATGCATCATTGCCACAGCTGTACTAGTGACTAAGTCTGTGCGTGTAATCGCATCTACACAACAACCAGCAACAGATTTCATTTTCAACAAACTTTCAACAAGGGGGACGGACGCTCCTCGTCATCACTTTTAGCGATATCTATTTTTCACTGTTCGAATCATATTTCACAGCTTTTATTGCGAGTACGTGTAACATTACTGGTATAATTAATTATTATAGAAGCCTTGCTTGGTAGTTTAACATGTTTTTTCGATTTTGACAGCATGTATTGTTACAAGACGAGGATGCATAGTGCTCCTGACTACAACCATCGAGTCCCGGTCGCAAGACCGGGACTCTGCCAACCCGGTTTGGGTTGTAGTCAGGAGCACTATGCATCCTCGCCTTGTAACATGCTGTCAACATCGAAAGACATGTAACATTACTCTTTTCAAGTCCTCACCTTTGGAGTACATGTGGTGTTTTTCTTACCAGTACTACAATAGTCCTAACACACAAGACACCATGTTTTACAGAAAAGCAACTGTGGCTTTTCTCGGACTCCATCACACAAAGAAGTCAATGATAATTATAACAAAATGTATGTGTACAGGTGGTAGTGCAGTATGGCCTGGGCCCGAGCGTAGTCTGGGGTGGGTGCTGGCGAGGCGCCACAGTGCCCTGGGCATGGTGCGGTGGGCATGGTGCGGTGGGCATGCGCATGCTCACACCGGTGTGCAGTACTGTGTGTGTGTGCCTACTTGTAAGCAGCTCAATCCGCGCGCACGCGTCAAAACATAGCAACATACATGTAGATATCGTGAGGTGCTCTGAAACATACGGCGCTCACCAGGAGCGGCACTACAAGGTCACACATGAGTCGATGACAACAAGTAAACAAACACACAACATAAACAATAGCGGTTCTCCGATGGAAGAGAGTGCCCGAAAAAAATAGACAATCGTGTGCTTCTGCTAAAAAAATTGCCACCAATGCACCCACGGACGTGCACGGCAGTTAGCAGTGTGGTAAATCACGAAAAAAAAAACTGGCGAGATGGAATGCTGAATACGGCAAGAAAGTACCAATGCCAATCATGCCCAGTGCATGGAAACATGGCTAGTGTCCATTTCACTGCACAGGCAATGACAGGAGGCGCCACAGAAGCCAATTGACAGCAACACCAGTACTAGAAGCCAGGTAGAGGCTCAACAATAAAACAAATTAAGCGGGACAGGGTCAATAAAAATCAGTCACTAGTCCTTGTTTTTCCGCTTAAGCCGATCTATCTCAACCTGCATCGTCACTCGTGATTTCTTCTCGTCGTCTATTTCCGATTCTAACTTCTCAATCTCAGAAACAAAGTTAGTTTCCATATCAGCCATTTTCTTTTGCATCTTGGCAATCTCCTCTCTAAGTGCCGATAGTTCTGCCGAACTAACACCGCTGGCTGCGGGAGCTGGTTCTTTCTTCGTTTCGTCGGGCTTCGTCTCAGCAACAGCTGCAGATGGTGGAGGCTTGGCAGGGGTGATTTTCGGCGCTGGCTTGTTGACAACAGGTGCCGGCGCAGGGGTTGGTGCTGGTGCTGATGCGGCTGGTGGTGGCGGTTCCTTTACGGGATCCTACCATTAAACAAGTCAAAAACAGTTCACATACATACTGCGTGTATCAGGCTATCAGCGCAACAGCCCATAACCAGTACAGTGTGTGTTTCTGGAGTATAAGCAGCCGCACTTTAAACACCCACACCTCCTCTTGGCGGGGCCTCGTTGACATTGAGACGACGTACATGTACTACAAGAAAATTCAGAGGCGGACTAAAGGCAAGTCTCTTGCTTTTCACTGGTTGAGTGATGCACAGGAAAACGTTCCGACCGACCCAACAGAATACCGTAAAAGTCCGTAAAAAGTACCTGATTGACACACCGCCTGAAATAAGTACCGGTATGGTTCGCACATGCATCGTATACTGTAGTGTTGAAACGAGCGTATCTATAACAAACGAGCGATCAGTTTCACTAACGAGCAAGCTATCGAGCGAGCTAACGAGTTTCATTGATGTGGCAAATAATGATTTTTTAAATAATATTAACTTTTTCCTAAGTTCGATTTTTTTAATTCAGCTGGTCCAAATATCGCCGCCGGCATTTGGGGTTGCTGCTGCTTCACTTCGGACTGCTGTTTCGTGTCGAGATGTCTTTTCAGCGCCGCCGTTGAGCAGCCTTTGTAAGAATAGACCGTTTCGCAAAGACTGTAGCCCTGTTCTTCGCTGCATCGCGGGAGAAAACTTCCAAACGACTGAGCATAACTTTCACTCGAATGGAGAGTTGACAGAAGTTTGTCCTGCAGCAGGTCAGCAGATGCGGAACAAGACATCAGTGGAGTCCACCAAAGCTGCAACGCCAACTGAAACAACGCAGTGTCGTGCAGGCGGCATACAGTCACTGTAACTGCGAGTGATTTTCACTTTGCGTGGGATTGGAATCTTGATCGACCAGAGGGAATCGTAAAAATATTTCCGACTCCCCGGTCGGCATGTACTGCCATGTGTACGGATTACGGTGTACGGTGTTCGCTAGTGCAAACGAGCTGGCCGCACAAACGAGCCGAGTTTCTGGCGAGCGAGCTAACGAGTACCCGGTGAGATGGTTTCAACACTACTGTACAGCATGTACATGTACATGCAAAATGACCTCTCCATTACACTACACAAGTCAGGTCGGAAAGTTAGTACATACCCGAAAACCAGTACCCACCCGAAAGATCAAAAAAGATCATGGGCCTCTTGCACAGATTTCATGCCAGATGAAGCCATAATTATGGTGATTGCTTACCGGCTTAGAGACGGCAGGGGGCGGTGGACCAGATTCACCAGTGTTCTTTCGCTTCTGCTGCAGCTCCTTTTTCCATGGAGGAATGTTCTGAAGGCACAACACAGTACAGGCAAACAAAGAAAACACGGTCTGTATTGCAGCACAGTCTTTCAGCAGAACCATCAATGGCTGCAAGGGGTTCTCGCCTAGTCGAGCTTCCTACAGGAATGGATAGTCTGCTACACCCAGGAAGAAACACATCCTAACACATCCTAACGTGTACATGTGTACATGTATTCTGCAAGACTTGTAAAGCAGTATGAATGGAGGTCGAAACACTTGAAGAATTCCTTGACACATCAGTATTCCTCTTTGATCATCGGCTGTGCAAAAAGTAGCAGCTTGAATAGACAATAGCGACCTGAATAGACAATAGCGACCTGAATAGACAATAGCGACCTGAATAGACAATAGCGACCTGAATAGACAATAGCGACCTGAATAGACAATAGCGACCTGAATAGACAATAGCGACCTGAATAGACAATAGCGACCTGAATAGACAATAGCGACCTGAATAGACAATAGCGACCTGAATAGACAATAGCGACCTGAATAGACAATAGCGACCTGAATAGACAATAGCGACCTGAATAGACAATAGCGACCTGAATAGACAATAGCCGGACCTGAATAGACAATAGCGACCTGAATAGACAATAGCGACCTGAATAGACAATAGCGACCTGAATAGACAATAGCGACCTGAATAGACAATAGCGACCTGAATAGACAATAGCGACCTGAATAGACAATAGCGACCTGAATAGACAATAGCGACCTGAATAGACAATAGCGACCTGAATAGACAATAGCGACCTGAATAGGTGAGTTTGAATATACCTCTTCCGTGGATGCAGGTTTTGCTGGCTCAGGCACGTGTCGTTTTGCGGGCTGGCTTGGCTTAACTATGCAGTACAGTCAGCACACACACACACACACACACACACACACACGCACACGCACACACACACGCACACGCACACACACACACACGCACACACACACACACACACACACACGCACACGCCCACGCACACGCACACACACACACACACGCATACACACACACACACACACACACACACACACACACACACAGTACTACATAACATGCCACCATACATAAGAAACTTCCTGGGAACACTTCTCATAGTGGCATCACAACCACACTTTGGGAAGGAGCACCAAGGACCACATGTACATTCTGTCCCCAGAGAAAATCCCAATTCCATGGATGCAATTTTTTCCGCAATCTTAACGATTTCTTGGAAATCTGCGATTTTTAATGTTTTAGCAGCATAAAAACGTTGAACTTGTGTGTTCATCACATGCATGGGTCACTTAGTTCTTGTCAATCCAAGTCTGCATATGTGCGTGGCACGCATCACACTCGAGGGCTGAAGTCATTAACCCCGGTCTTACAATGGTGTAGGCTGCAGACATGCGCTGCATACTGCACATTGTATTTCTACAAGGGCAGCAAGAGAAATCCATTAGATGCACGTATCTTACAGCAGCATAATCCAAGCATCCGTGCAGGCATGTAAAGCATTATAAGGAGTACGTGACAGGTTTACCATGATTTCATCAGCAGCAGCAGCAGCTTCAGCTTCAGCTTCCCTAAGCACAGACCACCATGATGACATTGGTCACAATCACACCATGGAGCGTGGAGAACAACCTACCTGCTGGTTCTGCCTCTACATCCTCCTTTGCTGAAGACACATCAGCGGAACGTCGAGAGCCTGCAACAGGTCGCAAAGCCGGTTTCTTTGGTTCTAAGTAGTCAAGCATGCAGTGGAATGTCGCAGTTTACATGCACACAATACAGCATGCAGCATGCAGCATGCAGTCTACAAGGTTGCTGATTCTAGCAGCTCAAATCAGGTGAAAAGGGTACACGATTTACTGAACTGAGAGCGATCAGCATACCACCAGATTCAAATACACAAACTCAGCAGATGGGAAAAGTACCTCTCTGCTTGGAAGGTGCACGCACATTTTAAAAAACCCTCCCAATTGCTCTTGGGGTAAACCATAACGGGTGTGCAGAGACAGGTACCCAGTATCATAGTAGCTCCGAGTGCTTATTGTACATCAACAGCAGCCACACGTCGTCCACACCACTTGTCAGAGGCCGGTATTAACACAAGCTAAACACAGACTAACCTTCTGGCTCTGGTTTCTTGGCAGGAACTCCAGGAACTCCAGGCGTCTGCCTCTTTGCAGCTGGTGGTGCAGGCTTCCCAGGTATTTTCGGGGCTGTTGCAAGACACGGACATTGTGTACCAGAACACACTATGATCAAGGTGTGGGAGCAAAGAAACTGTCATAAGATGCTTCCCTGCTCCAGCGAGAGTCAGGCGGCCGTTACCTGCATCTGAAGAAACACCGCCCTCAAAGATAAAGGTGCCATGTGCAGCTGGGACGCGGAAACGGGATGGAAGGGGCAGGGGGAGAGTAGATCATACCTTCCAAATCAGAGTATGACATAATGGGAGGGAAGGGGCAGGGGGAGAGTAGATCATACCTTCCAAATCAGAGTATGACATAACGGGAGGGAAGGGGCAGGGGGAGAGTAGATCATACCTTCCAAATCAGAGTATGACACAGCATTCAAACGGTCACTGAACCCGATCTTCGAAAAGGATTCCTGTACTCTGAGATTAGGTAACGGACTGTGTGTCTTCGTCGTTAAACTCACTATGCCGTTACATGCAAGGTCGCCATACCCAGTATCAACTATAGCTTAGCGCAGTCGTTTCTGAACATTCCATCGCGAATAACTAGAGTTCTGCTGATGAACTCAGTGTGTAGTACATGATTACTGCAGGCATGTTCTTCAAGCAAGAATGCGCACGTGGCGATGCATACACAGTACAAACAATCGCACCAGGAACCACTTGACAGGGAAACCCTACCGCTAGCTGGTTGTTTGCTTCCTGGCGGAGGTGGTCCAGGCTTGTGGGGCCGAGATGGCGCATCTTCTTTCTTTGCTGCTTCTGCTTTCTTGGCAGCCGAATCACCTGTTTTCTTCAGGTTCAAGTCACCTGGTGTGATGCCTGGGACCATAGCCATCTTGGGAATTGGCTTTCTAGGACCGGGTGCTTGCACAGGGGCTGGTGCAGGCTAATACAACAACAAACACCATAACAAACAGGAAAGCAAGTTCACAAGCCAGACATCGAGACGTCTGTAACGCTCTCCAACTGCAATTGAAGGTACACGGTTTGCCCAAATTTCCAAACACGATCGCCAAAGTGAAAATTGAGTGCATACATGCCAAGGTGATGATAACAGTTATTCAGTAGCACGATTGATGCCAGCTATACGTTGGATGCCGTGTACAATCACATGCTGTATGTTCGCATGGCAAGCACAGTCTCTACAAGACAAAGGCACACTGTGCATATCCAATGAATATAAGGGTGACCGTTTTCCTAAAAAAAGAGACTTGCCAACAAGATTTTGTACCAGAAATGTACAATGCGCATAACTCAAAAAGGGACAATTTGATGGGACAAACCATCTTGAAAGCACAGCGCTGAGTTATTTCATGATTGGAGTTCACTACAAATGATGACCAGTTGGTGAAGCATTTCAGATTTCTTTATCTGTTTTCTTGTGCGGTGTCGCCGGGTTGGGTATGACAAGAAGAGTCAGTTATCAGAACAGCGGCCCGTAAGTGTCGATGTCAACAGATCTACACCAATGTTTGTAATTCAATAGTTCAAATGAAACCTGTTGCCAACACGCCGCACTGCTTCACTCACCTCCTCTGGTAGAAGTTCCACGAAGTTGTTGGGAAAGACGCCGACTTTGCCGCCACACTTTCCTTCCCACCAACCCTCTGAAATTTCCTGCGATGTGATCTCTATAACATCTCCTTTGCGCAGCGACAACTCATCCTCCGCTTCCGCTTGATAGTCAAACGACACTGTGGCACGGGTTATCTTTCCACCTGGTTGGAGGGAATGTGATAACAAACAGATGGAGTCTAAGATGGTAAAGCAATGTCAGCGCTGGTTTTCACGTCCAATTACAATATACATCCCCCAGCCAAAATACACGTAAGTGAAGATCACTCAGTTCTCACGATAGCTGTCTATGTGGAGCTACTAGGACGTACATGTAGTAAGCAACATACTTCCCGGCCATTCTGCAACCAAAACTTACTGCATGCTGTAGGATTTGCATGTACATACGTCAAATTTGAACTCGAACAGCCATCAGTGGCCTCAGAGTCTCCTCATAACCATAAAGACAAGCGTACCTGACTCTCGCAAACGACGAAGTTATTTATACAAAGAAGTTATTAACACCAGAACACATTCACAGTCGTCATGACTACATCAGTAAGTGGCAGTAGGATTCAGTGACAAATGAGCCAGCAGACAACACCCTCCCGACACCAGCAAACCAGGCTTCAACGATCGGTGCATCACAGGCCAGCTTACCCTACACTCATGGGTGTCAATGTTGTTTAGTTGATGGAGTAGGACAGTGGTGGAGAGCATGCCAGCAGAAACAAGTACACGTCAGAGACAAATGCAATCAGCACAGCGGAACACTGACACATTTTCAGTAATACATGTACTCGTTAGTGATAGCAACCACACACTGACACATTTTGAGAAAATTACAAGTGCTCGTTAATGATAGCAACTACCTGCGTCCACTGTATCAACAGAGTAGTTTGATGCCAGTCCCGCAACCTGTAATCCACTGTGCATGTGTTCCACTAGGGCATCAAACTCCTACACGACTGAAACAGTCACAGTACGAGCCAACCACAGCACGAGTACATGTATTCCTTATTTTCCAAACTGAAAACATAACATGAAAGGAAATTCATGTCTGCAGTACACAAACAGTAGCGCACTATGATCTGTAGCACACATGTTTCACAATACTTACGGAAGGCTTTGCAGAATCTGTGGTATTGTCTGGTTCACTGGCTACTGGTGCTGCTGGAGGTGGGGGACCTGTTTTTGCTCCGCCTGGTGGCATCATGAAGGGAAGCTTGACACCTCCAGAGAGGCCGGGCCTCATCGCTGGGGGCTTTTCCGTTGCTGGAGGATCACAAGAGAGCAGTTCAAGGCAACACATTGGCACATTACAATGGCTGGGGATGAAATCAGATGCAGCTGCGCTGATTACTTGTGACATGCATTATAAACATGTACCGATATGTACAGTAACCTGACTGATAACTATAAACATGTACGAATATGTACAGCAACCTGACTGATAACGGTGCATGTCTACTGCAGATTACACCAATTGACTGCAGCAAATAATGTTGGCTTATGCGAAAAGTAAAACCTTACTTCAACAAATTCATTGGCCTAACCTGGAGGAACGTCGGGCTTTGCTGGCTCGGAAATCTTCTTGCGATGTGCCTCATTATCCTGCTCGCTCAGTTTCTCGACAAAATTCTCTGGAAAGACACCCTCGCGGGAACCTATCTTTCCCTTCCACCATCCATCCTCCACTTCTCCCAATACTTCAACAGTCTGGCCAACTTCCAGAGTCAGCTCGTCCTCGTTGTCAGCGTCATACGCAAAGGTCACTTTGGCATACACTATCTTCCGTCCACTCGACTTGCTCCCACCTGAATTCAGCCACAGCACACATAGTACACATGCAGTACAGGTATCATTGAAACAGCCTGGCAGTGCAGTACACTGTGTACTACTGCAATAATGCACCAATGCGGCTTGAATAATAATCGGGTGGTAAAGACACAGTTGGCGATACGGCAGCTTCAATGGAGGTTCATAATACAATGATGCATATACATCAATGATGCATATACATCAATGATGCATATACATCAATGATGCATGACTTTTGTACAGCATGCATTTACAACAAGTCAGGACCGGGCATGGTAAATGCACCACATGCGGCAGCACCATGGATATTCAGATCAAATAGAATTTGGAAAGGACGCGTTTGCATTAGGAAGCGCCAGCCGTCGTCTGATCTCATCAAAATTACGTCTCCAACAGCCAAATATGCACATAATATATGGGTACGAGTATGGAAAGAGAACAATTCATGCCCAGCTGCTAAATATCTGCATCCGGGCGTTGAGCTTGGAGTCTTGGACACATTGTCACATCACAAAACCTACGCCATTCTACTGTGAATGTCTTTCGGAACAGTCATATTGAATAACAGTCAAATTGAATAAATGTATTTGCCTATTTGCTGCTTCTGGAAGATGCAGTACCCTCACGTGGGGGTGCCTGGAGTACTCAGGACAAATCCGAAATACATGGACACACCCAAACACTGCAATACCATGCAGGTCAGCCATGCACATGTACATGCAGATCTACACGACTGTAGTACACGATGTCGCTTGCGTGCAATACTAAAATTAATACTAAAAGTTAAAACAAGATTGCACAGCCCAGCAAAGTGTTAGTTGGACTCCGAAAGTGGACAAGAGTCAAGAGCAGCAGGGTGCGTGTGCGCTTTACGATAGCTCTGAACGCTGCCACAACGGACTTCGCCAGATCGCCATGCATTCCGTGCCGTTCACTGTTTACTAGTAGTAGTACGTTTCGCTACGACTAGTAGATACGAGCGTCCGGCGCCCCCACATAGATTTACAAGGATGTATCTACATGATTGTATGCCGAAATACTTGACGATAGAATGCTCGATTTTCGAAACAAAATCCCCTTTCATCGAGGAAAGCACCGAGTCGGTATGTAGCGAACACCCTCCGCGCTTTGAACTAATTCACAGCGGAGCCGCGGAGCTGCAGACTACTGTGGGCTTGACTTACCGTCTGTGACTACAGCTGGTGGCGCTTCATCTGGAAGGACCTTGACAAAATTGTCTGGAAATACACCGCTCTTGCCGTTGGCCGTTCCTTCCATCCAACCCTCCTCAGCTTGAATGACATTGTGGATGATGGTGCCCACCTCTAGCGGCAGCTCATCCTCGTTTTCAGGAACGTACTCGAAAAGAACTTCAGCTCCTGTTGTAACAACAGACAATCCGATCTTCATGGATTATGACCATTTCACGGTCTTTCAACTCGTGCACAACACGCAACCACACATCACACACGAACACGTATGGCCGGTGAAATCCGTTCCTGAACAGAGCCCCCAATTCATGTTACTCATGTAGCAACGACCTGGGTCGTTCAGGAGATCTTCTACACAACAACTTACGCTTCCCACTCATCGTGCCGTTCGGAATGCGAGCTGCACTTGGCTACCCTGGTAGGAAGATGTAAAAATGAGGACTTTCCCGACAAAACTATAGGACAGCAGCAACTAGCGGGTGAAGCGCACAAGGCTGTACTGTTCAGCTCGAGCTCAAGGCATAAACACAACTTCCTCCGTGGAGCATGGAGACCAGCTCCTCCGTGCAAACACCACACGACACCAAAAGGACAGGAAAGGCTACGGCCCAAGAGAGGGTAAAGAAGTAGCGTACATTTATCGAAACAAGCCAACTACAAACTAAAACTTTCCGGCTAGATCTACTGCACTGTAAGTGTAAGTCTGTAGGCTGTGTAGCTGTGCCTGTGGTCCGTGTGGAGACTCGAGTGTGGCACAAACCATGCAAAAACCACCACACTACAGTCGCGCGATCTGTACATGTGCTAGATCCTGTACCTCGACGTCAGATCAGTACACGGCATGATTCATGATGTGTGGCTATTTTTTCTTCTAAAACTGGACCAAATCCATTGCCCAGGCCCAGGGCCAGGACGGCAAGATCGGCAAGACTTCGCTCAGTGGCAGGATACCATAAAAATCTACACAGACTGAGTGACTCTGACAGAGTTTGGTCCTCTGTGATCATGTGACTCAGATCTTCTGCGCATATCGATCGTCGACCTGGTCCACGGTCGGTGGCACGTGCACCTGGGCTAATAAGTCCTTGCACTGTTGCAGCCTTGGCTGCCAGGGCACTAGTGCCAGGCAGTAGTCATGGTAGTGGAAGCTCCCCAAAAACGATACTCAGTATACGTGTGTGAAAGTACCGGTACGGCGGTAGCCACAAGGCCAAATACCAGTACATGACCATTTATGTACACGACATCCGAGCTGCAACTGCAAGTGTTGCACTTCGGTCCGTTCGGAATGGGTGAATGGGTCAGACGGATACCATGGGCATGGATGCATGGACACTTCTTGTATCTGGCCAGACCCCAGATCATCGGGCGTGTGTGTATGTGCGGCGGTGTGTGCGTGTGTAGTGTGTAACAGCAAGCGGGGCTCATCGGGTGGCAGCTCCCCCCCCCCCACCAGCTCCTGAGGGGTGGTATGGCCCCCTACCCATCCCAGGTCGGCAACAGGACCGCCCTATGCCCAATTGCAGCATCAGACTTCTCTCTCTCTCTCTCTCTCTCTCTCTCTCTCTCTCTCTCTCTCTCTCTCTCTCTCTCTCTCTCTCGGTTGGGAGAGGGGGTACTTGAGCCCATTTGGAAAAAGAACACGGGTCCAGTTGGGAATACATGTGTACGTGTATAGTGATATATATGTATACATCAGGGAGACCTAAAAATTAATAATAACGGCTGTGTACATGTGTGTATGTGTGTGTATGTGTGTGTATGTGTGTGTATGTGTGTGTATTTACGGCTCCCTGATGTATATGTACATGTACGTGTACATTCAGCAGCCGCACTTGAACGTACTCAGCTCTGACCCGGTTGCAAGAGTTGTGCCAGGTACTGTACATGTGTACAGTGCTGGTTTTGAAATCCTAGAGCAGACACTGCTTCCACCGTGTGTGTGTCTTGCACACTGGACATTTCAAGAGCGCTGGATTTGTTGCTTCTCTGGCCCAGCCAGGACGTACCCACTGAACCAGCAGTGGCAGCACAGGATGGAGAATATCAGTATAGGGTAACTAAACAATCAAAGTGGAGCCCATAATTCTACATGTAGGAGAGCAAGAAGAGAACTACGTTGCAAACATTGTCAGACAATGTAACAATGGAAATGTGAATGAAAGCCGATAGCGAGGAAAATTGCGTCCGCCGAATTACGTTATCCTGTGAGGACAGCCTACCCCCAATGACCCAAACGCCAGCAGAAACAGACATGTGCCAGCATGAACACAGTCGCAAATGATCTACCAGTGCATGTACACTCATACCTCGGTTTTGCGGACCCCAAAGTTACGGGCACTTCGGTCTACCGCGCACCCTTTGGGCGAGTTTCAGTGGAAAGAATAGGGACGCTAAAAGCAACGCGAAAGTTCGAACTTTTGGTTGCGGTGATATTTCACGAAAAAAATTTCGAAAAAGAAAACCTTGTGACGTTGAGCAATACGAAACGACTTTTTCTCAAAGTTATTTGAATTCTATAGTACCGTACCATACAAAGAGCTCAGTCTCAAGCAGGGGCTGTAAATTTACTACTTCCTGCTATCAAGTGCGTACCGAGGAAAGAGAAAGAAATTTTCGCGAATCACTACAATTTCGTGTTTTCAAAGTTTCGAGCTTTGGTTCTGTACTCATTGCCAGACTCGAATTTTCTTTCGAACTTTTGCGTTGCTTAACGTCCCCAATACTATTCTTTTGTCACTTTTAGAGTTTTAGTGGAAATAGTGACATCATTATGTCATGCCTATGGCCTTCCCCCAAAACATGTATGTGATTCCGGACCACTAAGATAAAGGAGGTATGAGTGTATGTGCATTTTATGCCCACTACCCCACCCTGATTCTTGTGATGCGATTCACAGTTGGGATGTGGGCACCTTGCGTCCAACCTCGCTTTTTGCCTATCGTTCCTTCACCCATACGCCACCAATGTATTCGGGGACTACATTGTATTCATCCCCCCCCCCCAATAGGTTCGGACTTCCGGCAGGCTCCAACCGTTTCGGACTTCACGTGTAAAGTACTGAAGTAACTGTTATGTTGAGTCAGTAAGTGATCTCAAGAATTGAAAACCTTGTCATGCATAGTGTGTACCTACGGTGCACAATGCTACCTCAGCTTACAAGGAAATAAATATTAACAACAAGCTTAAGCTTGGTGAGGTTGCATCCTAGAATCTCAGGTGTCGAATCCACCATCTGCCGGCATCTAGTTCTTCTTTTTCTTCTTCTTCTTCTTGTCGTCCTCATCCTCATCTGGTTCCGGTGCTGGTTCACGCGGATCGCTGTGTTCATAAAAGGCGTGAGTCATTAGCTTGTGAGTCAAATCAGGCTTGTCCATCACCCACACGTGGTCATCATCTAACAGAAACAGGAAACGGCAAAATGCGAAAGCAGCAGCATTGAGATGCACATAGAGCAGTAAAGCCTGTAGCTAAGGCTACGGTGACGGTGACTATAATGACCAACCTACCACTACCAACCAAATCACCAGCCGCACGGACGGCCTCAAAATCAAAAAAATTCAAAATGCACTGTAACTAACGACTGCCAGCTCATCGTGACCAGTGACAGTCATTTGGTATATTTACTGAAGCATTTATTTCGTTTGTTTTAGACCTGTAGCTAGTGACCGCGATATAGTAAATCAAAGGTCGTTCGAAGCGCCTTTAAAAAAAAAGAGCTGGATGGCTTTTCCATCGTCCTGAAGGAAGACTCTTTCGATACTGGAACTGAACAAAAAAGAACGAAGTTTCATTGGCTTCAAGTGTTTTCAAGTGAGAGCATAATAGCAAATATCTTTAAGAGGGCATTGAAGCGCTTCCTGATCAACGGCATGGCTCGAACGAGATCGAACAGTGAGCGGCAAATTCAGCGAACCCAAGGTGTTTCAAAGGAGTCAAAAAGGCAGCTCATGGATGCAGGCGTAATCCAAACAATAAAGCTAAGGTACAAAAGGCACAGCAGGCGCACCGTACAACACCTGTCGGCTCGGATAGATCAAGCAACACCAGCGTCAGAACTGGCCCAACAAGTCAACATTCTGGATGCCACCAAGCGGCTGACAGCATCAAGGAGTAAGGTGCAGCCCATGTCAATCCAGAAGCGATTCAGCCATCGTCTTTTTGCAAAGGAAGCAGAGCCGTCAGAATTTCACGAACCAGAAATTGATCAGCATCCTGCTGCAGAGAGTGTCAATACTTTCGAGAGCAGACATTGTCAGATTATGCAGCCATGGGCGAAGAGCTTGAAACAAACAACACACTGTCCAATGATTGGAAGCATAGAACCCTCATAGCGGCACGGGGTAATGCTGATGATGCGGTCATAGATAGCAGTAGAGGATGAATGTGATGATAGAGTCTACTTCAGGAGAAGTTGAAGAGGTGTCCGGCAGAGAAGTGCTGTCATCTATTGCAGCAGTTTGCGATGCAACGTGGCTTGGCTAATGTGGCAATGAATGTTGAGAAACTTGGTGATTTCATCAACAGATTTGAAGCCTAGCGCCAAGCAAAACTTCCACAGGAAGCGCTCGACTCCTGGCTTCAGACGTGGCAACTGAGGTTGATATCAACAATAAAAATCCCCCTCCTCTATCGCTCTCTGTCTCTCTCTAAATATTGTGTGTTGCGTGAACTAAAATAAGAATAGCAGTGTGCAAATAATGAGTAATTGTATAAGCTCTATTATGACAAACACATACATACAAGTATCCCATATGGGATCCATGTATGGTCGTGCAGCACCAAACATCCAACTAAAGACCACCACCTGCGACTAACGACCGCTTTTTCGGACCAAGGAGTAGTTATCATATAGGGGCGGTCCGTAATTATCGATCTCTTTCACGAAACGAAAAATTTCGTTTATGCGTGGGTGGATTTAATATGGAAGAGTTTTGTTTTGAAAAATATTGATCAATCCATTCCAGCTGTCAAGTCAATATATTTTTCGTTCAAGGTGGTGGGTGGGTGGGAGAGGGTTATAACTAAACTTTTTCGTCCCGTGAAGATTATTGATAATGCCGGATGGCCTCTTACAGGTTATTAATTTTTAAAGCATAACACACTTTTATGTAGTGGTGGTGGCGGTGAGCTGACGTAATTTTCACTTTCAACTAGTGGTGAAACGAATATACCGAATATTCGAATATATAACATTCGAACGAATATTTCTCATGGCGAATATTCAAACCCGGTATGCAGAGTTGGGCGACTTCAAACTTTCGTAACTTCGTGAATACTTGACCGAATCGCTTCATCCAAAGGTCTATCGGCATTAGCAAACTCTCAGCTGTCGCCGAGAAGCAACCCGAGGTCCTGGAGTGGAGTTATGGCGCTCGAACGAAAAATCACGTCTCACGCTGTTTTTTTCTTGAGCCTGTGAAATGCACTTCAGCTGTGGATTTTGTGAAAATTGACCTAGAAATGATGGAGAAATATGTGCCTTTGTTTGTCATGCCTACAATAGGGACAATATCCAATAAAATGACTGAGAGGAGGACATGTGATGTCATCCGTGTTAACGAAAGAATATTTGTTCGTTCGCTCGTTAAGCCAAAGAATATTCGGCTACTGGGTTTTAATATTCGTTTCACCACTACTTTCAATACGCTTTGACAACGAAAAAGCAGGTTTAGAGTAGATGATACTGTGCAAGGCGTGTTGTTCTTGCGGCTTTTTTGACCTATGTGATACACGTAAACCAAGTACATTGTACACTAATACAGTCATGAAGTGTTGCTTCTATGGTGTAGTGCAGTTCTGTGATGAAGAACTTCGCCTGTACAAAACTAATTCTCCTGCACAATGGTGGTTCGTTATATCAGGAGTCGACAGTAACTTGTTACTAGTAAGCACATAAGGTGGCGTGTTCGAAGGATTTTGAGACACCTCTGTACTGAGAAACCTCTCGTCCAGCACTCTCCTGTGAGATTATGTAATGATGCACTCCAGCAACATTTCCTAAGAGCAACCTTGCACCCATTGTGTAACAGACACATGCACACACACGGGTGCGTGTATGCATGCACGTGTACACACACACGTACACACACTGGTGCATGCATGCATGTGCACACACACACACCATTGGACGCCCATCGCCGGAGGCGATGATAGCGATGCTACAGCAGAAGCCATAGCAGCTTGTGCTGGGATTGCACCATTCAACAGCTTGCAAGGCTGAAGAATTGACCGCCACTATTCAGCCTGGTCTACACCACACAGCTATGAAGTGGCTTTTTCTGGCCAGTGAATCCCTACTTTTTGGTCTTTTTTATTTATTTTTTCCCGCACACACATCACACCACATACTCCGGCATGCACTGGCTGTTGGTAACCACCCAGGAGAATGAAAGAAAAGTCAGGATGAGTCTGAGAAAGAGAAGAACACACACACACACACACACACACACACACACACACACACACACACACACACACACACACACACACACACATGTACACAATCATACACATAATACACGCACATGCACACACATGTACACACACGCACATGCACACAGAACAGACACACAAACACAGACAGGCACACAAGGGCAAGTGCACACACACACACACACACACACACACACACACACACACACACACACACACACACACATGAGCACACACACACGTGAGCACACATACACACACACACACACACACGCGCGCGCGCGCGCGCGCGCACATACACACATGGCTTGCACACTACACATATACTTCCTCCGGAAACAAAAAAAGTTATGACTTCGATCAGCCTCTCAGTTCTTGTGAATTATTTAGCTCTGAGGAATCGAGCAATGGTGATTCCGATAGAGAGACTCAAACGGTGCTAATTTCTTTTGTATAGTCGTGTACACACTTCAAACAATTATGTCCACATTGCTTTGAAGTGTTTTTAACGTTTCGTTCCACTGAACCAAATTTCTTGAGCACAATTTTTTTAGAATGCGAATGAAAAAGTCACAAAGATGTTGTTTCCGGAGGAAGCACACACAATACAATACACACACAGCTTGTATAAGCTATGCAGAAATACGTACGGAATGTTATTTTTATCGTGCTTGGACTTCCGTTATTAACAACGTTGGTCTTGAATATTGCGTTCGGATTAGTCTTTCGTCCTCCAGTGATTCTGTTGAAGAACATCCTGTGAAATCAAAGGAGTAGCAAGACTTCGCAATCAAGATCTTGAAGAAAAAGACAGCTCTATGCTGGAGGAATGCTGTCTTACAGTGTGTTGAAGTTATCACGTCCAAGCCATGGGTCGAAAGTCATTTCAACCTCTTTTACAGCACGAAGGGACATTCCATGTCCTGGCAATCTGTTCGCGTTTCTCATGGCACGCGTGAGGTAAGGCACTGCCGTTGGATGAAAGTAGGGCGGCATGTTGGCCTGCCTTGAAGATCCCAAGTGAGTTACTTGCAATTATTTACTTCATCATTCGACATTCAAATACACTGTATTATATCCAGAACTCATGACTCAGGAGACAAACCACAGCTAGCTTTTGGAAATGTGGCCTTTTCTTTTCTTTTTCTCGTTTTTGATTTTTACCATGCTGTTTGCACGCGCGAGATCTATGCCGCATGCACAGCATGCATGCAGACAGCAGCTAGCTAGCTAGCTAGCTAGCTACAATGACTATGTAGCAGGGAGTCGTAAAATACCGGTATTTTACGACTCCCTGCTATGTAGCTCTCACACTCACAGTCTCAGCAATGTCAGCATGCGCCAGTGCAGTAGCCGTGCACTTGGGGCTTTCCCTATCAGTAACGGCAGGATTTTCATAGTGGCAGTTGAAAAAGAGATGATTGAATGATTGAATGAAGGATTGTTGCTTTCCACCTGCAGAAGTAGATCTGTTACTTTCAGTGTTTCTGTTGAAGAGTAGATGAGGTTGTTCCGTTCAAGTTGTGTTGTGTCGAGGTGTGTGTCTGGCTTATGTCAGAGCTTTGAGCCTGCAATTTCTCGGCAGGCAGTGGCCTGTGCTCTCCCTATTTCGTCCATGGCCCAATACACGCCACTGTCGAACAAATCATGGTAAAGTATATCTTGAAGGAGTGTTCAAACATTCATATTGCGCATTCACGGTTGATTCCGTGTTTGTACGCTTGTATGTTCATCTTCCGACGTAGTGATTACATCACGAATGAACAGGGATCAACTCACTTGGTCTGGAAGACAAAACCGTCAAATGTTCTAATAATTAAGAAAATACGTGCTGCTGAGGTTCAGAAAGCGTTCAAGCAACTTGTCCTGTACCTATGTCAGGTAAGCAGCTAGAACCAATAGTGCTCATATCCTGTACCTAGTTTATCTCCTTTCACGAGGCAAGTGGAGTGCCCCCCCCCCCCCCCCCCCCAGACACACACCTCTGTGAAACCACCAAGCTGTTTGCCATCTTAGGCACCCCGCCACATCACACTGTACATGTACCACCAACAATCCCAAGATGATTGGTGGTGAATGTACTATCAGGTAAATAGCCGGCACTTGTCCATTGTCCTACAGATAAACGGATGGTTGGGTTTGACTGTCTTCATTTAATTTTTGAACCGAAATACATGATCCAGAAGTCTGAGCCTTGGTAGAAATCCACATCCTGGACACGGTGACTATTTGAATTAATCCGCTTACAAGTAGGTTTTTGTTTTTAACAATCTGCGCCGACTTTGGCCGGGAAATCTTTCTTGTCTTCGCGTGATGCCCCTGATCGGTACAAGTAGCAAATTAGTTCTACATGTTGGCCGAGCCACGTCTCCTCTCAGCAGTAATCAAAGAAAATGGTGAGAGTAGCCATTGCGGCATTTGGTCGAGCTAGTGTTGAAGCAAGCGATCGTTTGCGTAACAGCAGCAGGGCAAGCGTGCATGATGTTAGTGGAGTAGCTTCTGTTTTGCGAATGAGGCAACGCGCAGCTATTTTGGTTACCCGTGCTGAGGACAGTTTTCATGAAGTATTTATTACTCGAATCGACTCATGATTGCTCTCATTGCACATGTACATGGGTCACTGAACTGTGTTGTGTTGGTTTTTATGCGGCAGGAGAAGCAGCTTTGTGTGACAGTAGAGCCATGCGTCTTTGAGGAATTCACGGGCGACGACGAGTTTTCTTTGGTCTCCAAGGACCTGAAGAAGCTAGACTTTGGTAAGACTTTGATCTGTAACGTACATATTATGTTTGCGTTGTCCTCATGTGTTGATATTGTGCTTTTAGAATACGTCTTTTCAATAGTTGCATATTTTAGAATAACTGGTCAATACTGGGAATTTTCCTTGCTGTTATTTTGCCAATGCTATTTTATAGATTCTCCAAGTTGCATTGACGACATTGACTTCATAGTTTGCCTTGGTGGTGACGGCACTCTTCTTTATCTCTCCTCGTTATTTCAGGTAGGGTGCACACAGTGCATACGCAGTACAACCGTGGTCCATTATCTTTACATTTGTACTGGTGTAGGCGTTCATGACAAGAAAGTTTGTGAAGTGTTCATCCGTATGAGTGCCTAACGATGATCTTCTCAGCACTGGCAGGCCTGCAGTAGCTAACCGTGTGAGTGCCTAACGATGATCTTCTCAGCACTGGCAGGCCTGCAGTAGCTCATTCAATGTTCTAGGAAACACTTTGCATTTTAGTACATGTACTTGGTAATTGTACCTTGGAGCATGTTTTTGTGATCAAATACTTCTTGTGGTGAAGTTCTTGAAGTACATGTGTAGTATACTAGTACAACATATTGATACATGTTGTTAGTTATTATTATTATTATTATTATTATTATTATTATTATTATACGCATTCCCGCGTTGAAGTGTAGCAGCAGTATGCTGCGTCCACAGCTTCGCTTAAGCAGAATGGCTTGGGTGAGAGGAGAGGGGAGAGAAAACAACAAGGCAACCAACATCTATGCATGTATGTGAAATTCAAATTTCAACATATTATTCCCCTGCTCCCCCCCCCCCCCCCCCCCGCCTCTCTCTCTCTTTCTCCTCTCTCTCTCTCTCTCTCTCTCTCTCTCTCTCTCTCTCTCTCTCTCTCTCTCTCTCTCTCTCTCTCTCCCGTATTCTTCTTTTGATGCGCGCAGGAGTATGTTCCACCTATTATTCCATTCCATCTTGGCTCACTTGGGTTTCTCATGACGCACGCATTTGCTGATTTCGAAGAAACTCTGGAGCGTACATTGTCCGCATCAGGTAGGCCGCGCACTGGTTCTCTCCATTCCTTGGCCATCAGTATGCTCTTTTTGATATCATCTTCTCCTTACCAGGGAATTATTCAGCCAGCTTTGTAGCTCCTTGTTTTCATCTTGTGTTCTAACATGTTTTGGCTACAGCTCAAGTACAACGGGGTCGTCGCAAAAGTCTTGTCGTCCGTGAAGCGAATATTGTTCATTTCGTACTCGGCCTCCCCCCCCCCCCCCCCAAATGAATGCAGCTTGATACTGGACAACGCAAATTGCAGGCATGTACAGTACATTAACATGTACAGTGTCGGTCAACTTACGATTTTGGTTCACACTCCCCCCCCCCCCCTCCCCATGAACAATACTCGTTTCAAGGACAACCAAATAACTTTGCAACAACCCCTGAACTGTTGTTGTTGCTGGGAAATTGATGGTATCTTGACATATCATCATCTACTGTTATTTTATGCTCTGTAGCTGACTCTCCTCTGGGTGTCACTGTGCGGGTTCGCTTGAACTGCGAATTGCAGCTGGCAAGCGAAAGTGAACAGCTACCCACATCAACAGAATGCCGCCGGGTGTCCCCAAGCGGCTACACGATAGTGGGACCACAGACGAGGGTAGCTCGAATGGCAGTAAGTACGAGTATATATTGTGCTTGGTGTTGGCTTGTTGTGATGTTTAGCTGTTAACATGGCTGCTGTTTTGGCTGAAATGTGTAGGCAGACTGATGTCGGCACGGTACTATTCACCAGTGAAGTGTGGGCCTTCAGCTCGTGCTTTTTCTGCTTTCTGAATGTTCTACAAACACACCCTGCAGGCATTAAACGAGGTTGTTATTGATCGCGGATCATCGCCGTACCTGACTGGCTTGGAGCTGGCATGCAATGGCAAATATGTAGCCGACGTGCAAGGCGATGGTAAGTAGTTGCTGACATTTAATCCGTTGTTTGTGATGTGCTAGTATTGAGTATCCTTGGTATGTGACCATCTGCTCATCTTTCCAGCTTTGCTGCAGTTCTGCAACAAGTTTAAACTCCTTGTTGAGATTCTGAAATCCTTCTGTTTGACTGTTCCTGGAGACAGTACGCTATGACTATGCATACTAAGTCAGGCCACCCTCCCATGACATGCACTGCCCTGTCACATGGTCAAGTTGAATTTATTATGCGGACATCGTTATGGTGTATAGAGCACACACACAATGTCATTTTGATGTCATGCATGCCTTTTTTGCTGGTCAAACAAGCGCTGTCTGTATGTAAAAGCAGTTCAACCACCCGTGACATTCCGTCCTATGGCTTTGTACGCATTTCTCCATTGTGCATGCAGCGTCATGTAGTCATCCTGTGCTGTGCTGTGCTAGCTGACAACATGGGTAGCCGGCTTACTTTTGTGGTGTGTGTGTGTGTGTGCAGACATATGGGAACTTTTCTGTCTTTCAAATGTTTGTACTGTATGTGCAGGCGTGATCATAGCTACTCCAACGGGAAGTACAGCATACGCCGCAGCAGCTGGTGGTCCTATGGTAGAGCCTGGAGTGCCTGGCATCACCATTGCGCCAATCTGTCCACATTCTCTCTCGTTTCGTCCCGTTGTTGTTAGCTTACAACGCAACGTTCAGGTTGGTTAGCCAGCAGGGTGGCATTCATGTACATGTTGTGTGTTTGTTTGTTCTCCTCTAGTTCTCCTCTAGTTCTCTTATGTTCGCGGAGAAGGCGGAGAGCCGGAACACAGTACCTCTTATTTTTAATTTTTTTTAATTACTTACTTTTTTTACCAGGCGTGGGCCATCCCCTGATTATAGGTGCCAAACATTTTTAGTATAAAAAAATAAAAATAAAGATGATGCACACCACAAAAAAAAAAAAAATCATGTACATGTACCACCTAGTGCTGTAAAGTACAGTAAAACCTGGTTTAAGCGACCACCCCATGGTGCAAGCAAAAGTGGTCGTTAAGCCAGGTGGTCTTTAGAACCCGGTTCTATACATTCGTGGCATATCGGAGTGTGTACATACATGTGCATGATTGTACTTCCATGTACTCATATTGACAGTTTCCCATTTCGCTAGTAATGGTACATTGTGACGGGAAGTGGGAGTTGTGCTAGGAGCTGAGAGCGAGATATAACAGTGTGGTGGTTGCCGGTTGAGCCTGGCCAAACTCTTCAATGGCCCATAGCCGCGCAATACTTTCCCGAACGTCGTGTGGCGCAGCCCGTGTAAGACAGGTTACCGGGTCTGCCTTGACCTTGCCAATCCTGCCGACGCAGGTCCATCCAAGGGGGGTCAGGCGAGCAATCGGCTCTCCAGGTTGCCCATGGACTTCTCGTATGGCTGCTTGAAGCTGTACTGCATCAAGGCCGAGTAACACATCTACCTGTCGACGGTTCGGCAGTGCTGGGAATGGAATGTTGCGGAGGTGTGCCCAATCACGGCGCTTGTGCACCCAATCCACTGCATTGTCACTGCCGAGGATTGAGTCGGTTGTGAATGCGTCCAGCGTCGCCGATGTCTCTCCGTCCACACTGCAGAGCTGAACCGTCACATGTGTTGTTGAGAACACCTCAGTACGACCGCTGAGCACTTTCACCGGCAGGTGTTGTCTTTCTCCCGTTAGACCAAGCTCACATGCCACATGCGAACTTACGTATGAGTCCGTGCTTGCGTCGTCCAGCAGTGCATTAACAAGCACTTCTTTCCCACCAGACCTGAGTTTCACTGGCACCGTTCTCATGGACACGGCGATGAGCTTGGACGCTTTGGAAGCTGTTGATAATGCCTTGCTGTCATCTGTAGTCTGACACGTGACTAGGGACATCGCTGGTTCCGACTGCCTGCTGTTGCTTGTTGTTCGTGAACGCTGCTGTTTGCCCTCTGCTGATGTTGCGAGCGCCTGGCGTACCGTAGGCTTGCTGTCTTCGGATGCTGTGTCAGTGCCCGAGGCTGACGACGTCTTCTCCGCGTTATGCAGCAGCCGATGGTGACTTTTGCTGCAACCACTTATGCCACACGCGTCCCCCCAAGTGCATTCTTGCCCACGGTGTCCAGCGCCCAGGCACCGAAAGCACAGGTTGCTGGCCTTGGCAATGCGCCATCGTTCATCTAGCGTGGCCGACTTAAATACCAGGCACCTCCAGACTGGGTGTTGGCTTTGGCAGGCTGGGCACTTGCTTGGAGATGACTTGTTGCGAGTACCGGTAAGCAGCGTTCTTGCACGATGATCCTGCGAGCTGCGGGGCTGGTCTGCTTTTGCCGCTGTGTTGAAACCTGATACCGTCTCTGCCGCCGTCACCAGGAGCTCGGCTTCCAGGGTAACAAATTCCAACAGGCACTCTACACTCTCTGATCTATTATGGTCATATCGCCAGCGATGATAGCGCGCTATGATCCGTTCATCCAGCTTCTTCATCAGGGAGTGATAGAGCGTGCCGACCAACAGCTCCGCATGTCGTCCTGCCTCCTTGAGCTGGACAGTTGCTACCATCAGCAACTCAGCGAACTGCTGCAGCTCCCGTGGCTTTCCTTCTCGGATTGGCCGCATTTCCTCAATCTCCTCAAGCTGGATTGCCAGACGACGACGCTCGCCGCCATACTTCCTTGTGAGCATGTCCTTGGCAGCTTCATAGGACGCAGCAGTGTACCCGAGACTCTTGATAGTCCGCAGTGGCTCGCCACTCAGATATTGCCGCAGCCTGAGCATCTTGCACTCTGGTGACACTGGCGATTTGTCCACGCACGCTGAGAACGCAGCCCACCAGGCCTCGAAACTACGTTTATCGCCTGCAAATGTGGGGATCTCAATGCGCTGCATGTGTGTCCAAGGACTGGTTGCGCCACCTGGCCAGGCTTTACTGGCAGCAGGCAGTGCAGATGGTGCAGATGGCACATACACACTTGCCCCTGCATTCAGTCTGCTGCTACTGAATGCAGGCTGGCTGCTGGCCACAGCTTGACTGGTGGATGGCTGCCTGGTAGTACCACTCCTGGGTGCAGCCAGTGAGGCAAGTGGTCTAGTCATGCTAGTGCCAGTGGTCAAGGTAGTGGCTGCAGTGAGGCTGCTGCTACCTGTGATCATGGTGATGCCATTGATGGTTGTCACTGGTGCTGAGGTAGGCAGTACAGTGTCATGTACAGACTGAACAGGGCTGGCGCTCACACTTGACAGTGACAGATCACTGATGCTGGTGTACGACATTGCACTAGCTCTACCTGTCGCGTCAAGTGTCCTAGTACCGACCTGAGTGCTTGTACTTACAGGAACAATGGTCTTGCCGCCGACAGTCTCTGTCGGGTTCCCACGCTGACTCCCAGACAGTGTGTATACTGTGTCCTCATGAGGAGACGAGATGATGTCCGTTCGGCCTTGTGACGGTGACTGCGGATGGGCTTCGCTCAGTTTACTGACATCGATCTTGGCCTGCGCTCGGTCCATGGCCGCCGAAAATTGAGTCTCCAGTGCTTCCAACTCACTTGCCAGTTTATTCCGCTGGCGAACGTCTTGGCAGCTGCCGATCATGTCTGCCAACAAACCAGTAGCTCCATCGTACAGTGCCGTCAGGCCTTCCAGATGTTGCGAGATCCCTTCGATGTCGCATGGACCATCGGCATTTAGCTGCACTAGCAAGCCTCGTCTCGCTCTCGTGAACTGCCCTTTGATGGCGGCCTTTCTCACTCTCAGTTCGCTCTCCACTTGCGCTGAGTTTAGGCCCACTCCACGATCCCCAGCTGCTTCCTCTCGCTCTGGAGTTGAGGAGCGACGGCGGCCCGAATTTGGCCTTTCTTCATAGTCGTCCTCCAATTCTCCCTGAGCACTCGGCTCCGCAGCATACTCCAAGGTCGTGGGTTCCGACGATGCCATTATCCGCACCCTATTCCAGGTTCGAGACGCACTGCTACAAATCGCAACGCGAACACTATCACAATCAATCTGCTGAGCTAATTCCTTTTAGTAACCATCCTCTGCTACCAATTTTCTGTTACTAAGAAAAGCTCACTAAAGGGAACGCACACTCACACAGTGACACATTCCACATTCGTGCACAACGGAAAGCGATTCGAAGAAACAATAACCTTGAACTTTCTACATGAACTCCGAAAAGCAACTCTTCACACCAACTAGTCTAAAACACTACTAAAAGTCCAACAACCAGGAACTAAACAAAAGCAGCGCAGCACAGCGCAGCACAGCGCGGCGCAAGCTCCGGTGCATGCATCCGGGAACTCGCGAGACAGAAACATGCACGTGACCGCTCAGGTCTACAGTCAATGCTACCATGAATGCAAGCATACTAGAAGCCGATGCGTAGCAGTACAGCACAACCATGCATGTGACATATAGTCGTTGGTTCAGACCTCGGGATCTTCTGAACAGGATGTGTGCGGTTATGCGAGGTCTGACTGTACTTTCGTGCAGGAGAAGCACACCTCACTCAACTTTGTCTCATGTGCATGCAGTGTGTCCTGCACTGTCACTTGTCACTTCTGTTCACTGTCTGCACTTGGTTCAGAGCGCACTTGAACCGTGTTGCAGTCGACCAAGATGACACTTTTGGTTAGTTTTGGTCACTCTGTTCAGGTCCAATACGGCACTTGGTACACTAAAAGTCGGGCGCTGGTCGCGTGAGGCAGGTAGTCGCTGTATCCGGTGCAGTTTCTGTGTAGAACGTTCGCTTACACCAGGTTTTACTGTACCGCAAGAGCATCCTGTCTCGTGAGAGCGCTCCACCTTGATTTTATAGACGGGGAAAGGAGAATCGTATGGCAGAATGCATCTAAGTTTGTACTTCTGAAGTACAGTGTGAGAAACTTAGTGTACTATGGTCACACTTAGCATTTTCTTGTGGAGAGCTCGCATCCGCTTGAAGGCGAACTGAGTACGGATTGACTGCACAGCGTGCAATGTGTGTACACGGTGGTATGTGTTGTATGGCCTAGATACAGGACTCCCAAAACACACAACCACAAAAGGGTAGCGGTCGTGGGGCGCTCTCGCGGTACAGTACTTCGCCAGTAACGCACTGTTAGGATCAGGGGTAACTGTAACTGTACAGGACAGATGGTATTGGAGGAAGGTGTATATTCTATTTGACAGCAGGGTACCTCTATTCTATACTTAAAATACACAAGTACTTGAGGTAGCATGATTCTAAGCAAAACCCTTGTTTCTATCTTTGCACATGCATGTGGTTGTATCAGGTTCGTATCCCAGAATCAAGTCGCATGTCGGCATGGGTGTCCTGTGATGGGAGAAATCGGCAGCAGCTTCAACCTGGTGATGGGTAAGCGCTGGAATGTTTAAGAGTATGTTCTGATTGTTCCATTGTATTTATTTATTTTTTATTTCGCCGTCCAATGGCCGAAGCCAATGCAAAGGAGGGAGCATTAGCCAGCCATGGCAAGAGAAGGAAAAAGAAAGAAAAAAAAGAAAAAAACTTTTATAATAATCGGAAGAAAGGAACGCATCAGCGGGGTGAAATGTATCACTATGTTGACTATGGTGAATAGTGGTGAGATAAGCTAGCAAAAGAGGCAAGTGAATACTGGGTTGCTCAACTCAATCTTTTCTTGTTTCGCACAGTTTTAGCCTCTTTAGCGCGCATGCATTTGACACTAACCCCACGCAGTCAAAACGGTCAAAATTGAGATTTTTGACATTTCAGTTTATTGACTTCGCTCCTGATCCCACAGGACTATGCGGTTCAGAAAGATGAAAACAATGATATTGACTGGATTTAGAAAGATATGTACAATGTACATATAGGGAGCAATTGAGTACATCGCTAAGGTATTTGTTGTGCTGGGCATGCACTGTGTATGTGTCTGTCTGTCTGTCCATCTGTATGTCTGTGATTGTGTGTGTGTGTGTGTGTGTGTGTGTGTGTGTGTGTGTGTGCATGTGTGTGTGTGTGCATGTGTGTATATGTGTGTGTGTGGATGTGTGTGTGTGTGTGTGGATGTGTGTGTGTGTGGATGTGTGTGTGTGTGTGTGTGTGTGTGTGTGTGTGTGTGTGTGTGTGTGTGTGTGTGTGTGTGTGTGTGTGGATGTGTGTGTGTGTGTGTGTGTGTGTGTGTTGGTGTGTGGATGTGTGTGTGTGTGTGTGTGTGTGTGTGGATGTGTGTGTTGGTGTGTGGATGTGTGTGTGTGTGTGGATGTGGATGTGTGTGTTGGTGTGTGGATGTGTGTGTGTGTGTGTGTGTGTGTGTGTGTGTGTGTGTGTGTGTGTGTGTGTGTGTGTGTGTGTGTGTGAGTGTGTGTGTGTGTGTGTGGATGTGTGTGTGTATGTGTGTTGGTGTGTGGATGTGTGTGTGTGTGTGGATGTGGATGTGTGTGTTGGTGTGTGGATGTGTGTGTGTGTGTGTGTGGATGTGGATGTGTGTGTTGGTGTGTGGATGTGTGTGTGTGTGTGTGTGTGTGTGTGTGTGTGTGTGTGTGTGTGTGTGTGTGTGTGTGGATGTGGATGTGTGTGTTGGTGTGTGGATGTGTGTGTGTGTGTGTGTGTGTGTGTGTGTGTGTGTGTGTGTGTGTGTGTGTGTGTGTGTGTATGTGGATGTGGATGTGGATGTGTGTGTGTGTGTGTGTGTGTGGATGTGTGTGTGTGTGTGTGTGGATGTGGATGTGTGTGTTGGTGTGTGGATGTGTGTGTGTGTGTGTGTGTGTGTGTGTGTGTGTGTGTGTGTTGGTGTGTGTATGTGTGTGTGTGTGTGTGTGTGTGTGTGTGTGTGTGTGTGTGTGTGTGTGTGTGTGTGTGTGTGTGTGTGTGTGTGTGTGTGTGTGTGTGTGTGTGTGTGTATGTGTATGTGTATCTTGTTACTGTTACTGTTATACAACATGCAGTGTTCAGATTACATCTCACCTCTGGCCTATGGCATGCATCAACAAGAAGGAGACCACAGCAGACTGGTTCACTGGGCTGGCCGAATGTCTGCAATGGAACGCTCGGCTGAAACAAAAGCCACTGATGTAGGCGTCCAGTGAGACTGGGCCTTCTTGCTGTCTTGTTAGTGTCTTGTTAGTGTCTTGTTCTGGCTTAGGGTAGTAGAATTAGTTGTCCCCAGCACTATCTGTGTTCGTCATTGTAACTGTTCTGTTGGTGTCTTTTTCGACTTTTTGTATCTCTTCTTCAAGACTGAACTTATCTCTGCACGAAGCAGCAGAGCTGCTCACAGTGATGGTGTGCCAGTATTTTTCTGTTTGTCATTGTCCTTGTCTTCCCTTTGTTGCGACGGTTCCCTGTTCTCTTGTTGGACTCGGTGGCTGGACGTGAGTGTGTGTGTCTGTATCTACATGTCACATCTTGTGCGTGTAGCATGGAGATTTGCTTAACTGGTTGCCATTTTCTCTATTTTTCTGCCCAACCAGTTGCCATTTTCTCAATATTTTTTAACTTATGTTTTTCTATTGGATACTGGAGTTGATCTCTGATAGTCCATCCCCCCTAGTGGCTGGTTCATGCAAGTCTGGTTCATGCTGTTATATTTCAGTGTCAGCCTTTTTAAGTATTGAATGCTGTCTTATTTACAAATTTGTGCATAGGTTTGGTAGCCGGATCAACAATTCTTCATTTTTTTAAACGCATTATCACTAGCACATGTTTGCACTTGCATTCAATACCTGCAATGCAATTTTCCGCAAGTCCTAGAAATCAGGTTCACAGTTTGCAGGTTTGAAAGGATATCGAGTACCAGATTCAAACTTTGCAGTTTTGTGAGGACAATGTCTGCAGATTTTTATGTGGTGGTGGTGGTGTGTGTGTGTGGGGGGGGGGGGGGGGGGGCTCCTGTGACATTCTTGTATGAAAGGTGTTGTCTGTGAATAGGCTGTGTTGTCTGGTTGCTGCAGGTGTTTGTGTGGCAAGTAAAATGCAGCTGACTTACATTGTAATCCTGTTCTACTGGATAGAGTTCTTAGCTAGTGCCCAAGTCCAGGTTGCAGCACGTACCAGTATCCACTTGGCCCCATGTTTGCAGGATGCCAGCAAGACCAACAGCCAGAAGAGGTAACCATTATATGGATGTGTTTTTCCTAGCTCATTGGTTGTTCGGCCTTCATTTTTACCCTTTCCCAACACTATTTTGTCAGTCGTTTTCCTGTTTTTATTGGCCCCCTGGAACTGCACACAACAACAGAGACGAAACCCAAGTTCTGTAACTCTGAGTTTCAGGCTCCGAAACATCCACCAGACAGCGAGAAGATACCCTACATCTGTAGACACATAGTGTCACGATTCCAGCGTTTGTTTTTCCTGTATACATGTACTTCAAGTAGATACAAAACCACCCAAGAGTACTGGAAGTCTTCGGCTTGGTACTGCCGCTGAGATTATTAAACATTCGTACATATACCTCGGTTTTGCGGACCCCGCAGCTACGGGCACTTCGGTCTACCGGGCACCCTTCGAGGGAGTGGAAATATTACTATTCTTTTGTCGTGTGGAAATAGTGACATCATATGCCATATCAGAACCAGCTGAAGCGTCGTTCACGAAGTTTTTATTGCCAGAGTAGAGATGTCACGAACAAATTCAAGCGAAAGTGGTGATGGACAAAGAAATATCTGTGATGGAAATGTAATGTGAAGAACAATAAAATTTATATATTTAATATAAAAAACTAAACATGAACTGGTTTATTCGCAACACCAATCGCGTGAAACCATGAAGTAAGAACCAAAGCAAAAAGACAACCTAAATTCGGAAATAAATAGAACCGTGACTCTGAAATGTAAGATTGGACCAGGGAGACCGAGTCGTATAAACGTTTACATGATTTATACGACTCCCTGGCCTGGATCATGGATTGAACACAAAAGCGTGACAAGAAATTGCCGCCTTCAAGTCAAGCGCTTTGCAACACATTCTTGCCTGCTTTTAGCTTTACGCCCAATGTTTCTGTGGCTGTGCTGGAACTGCTCTATTTCGCCGCCACTATTTACCATTAGCCATGTCTCCTCCACCCTACACAGTGGGTCCATTGTTATTTAGCAAGAGTACATAACCCCCAGAGTGTGCAACGCCTGATCCAGCTCTGCATAGGGTCTTGGTCGAGCGGAATCGGACCTTCTGATGTCATACGTACACTCCACACCAGCGCAAGGCCGGTCTCGAGGCAGGGCACCAGTGTTTTTGATCCGAGAGTACCCGCGACTCCCCGGGTTCCCCTCAGATGTGTACGGTATTATGACACAAAGATCCGATTCCGCTCGACCAAGACCGGTCGACCCTATGCAGAGCTGGATCAGGTGTTGCACACTCTGGGGGTTTTTGTACTCTTGTTATTAGGCATCTGCCTGTTTTGGTTTTCTCCAGACCACTAATAGTAGTGGAATGAATACATACATAAGAAATCGCTGCCTAATACGTAGTAATAGTAATAAAAAACAGACATGTGCTGATATCAGTACTACATGGCTGTGTAGTTGTAGAGGGGACGGTTTCAAATAGGACATAGGTTGCAAACCGGAACGGACTCAATATTCACTTTCTCTCTTGGTATTTTGATTAGAAGACATATGTCACAGTGAGACTACTATGTGTTATACTCCGAGACAAAATTTCATGGCTCTGCGATGACCAGAAGCGCCATATCAAGCAGGTGAGTTTTTGACGTGTTGCTTCGCACTGCGACTTGAGTTTTACGACTTTCGAAAAATCAACTTCTTGTCGCAGGTAAACAGCGGCTTGCCTCTCGCCAATAAAGCACCGCATACCAATCAAAACTAATGGAAGCACACACAAGGCTTATTGTTACTCTGTACTGGCCGTCGTGGAGCGATAGCAATTACCTAATTTCAGACCCAGAGTGAATTTGACGTGCACTCTAAAACGTGTCCGGTTTGGAGCCACCTCTGATTTGAACTTTTTTGAAGCGAAAAATTGGGCAACTTGGAGGCAATGGGTCAACACAAAGGAGTGGCTCAGTTCGATTGACTCTGGCCCCAGAGCAAACTTCAACATGCCAGTTTCCTTCCACAAACATATTTCGAGTGAAAAATCAACGCTGATGATCGGTTTGGGTCTATACAAATTTGGCTGTCAAAGCGTCCCAGTATCGAGCCGTCTCCTCTACCGGGCAAGACGATGCTGACGGTACTGACTGTCGTTTGGTTGCTCTGACGTCCCCATGGTGATCCGTGTTTGAACCGAACGCGACATCAATGATCATCATGTTCTGTGCAACATCAGTCATCTGGTCATCATTCAAGACTCTAGTCTAGACTAGTCTGAAATGAGATCGAGACACTCACTCGTACTCGAACTCGGAGTCGTAGATCTACGAGTCGTAGTCAGTCGTATCCAGCTTGGATTTGTTTATGACACTGTACTGACGTGAAGGCAACAAAAATGCCACTACAATCTTCGTCATTGGAGGCAGGGTTGGGAATGATGTAGCGGTAGAGTTTGAAACACTCTGTTTTGACGGATCGATACACAGAGCTAGTCGACAGCACGGACATGTCAGTGCACCGGTGGAACACACATTACCGCCGCGTTCCGATGTTTTGTACTACCAGTCAGCAACGGTGAAGTTACTCTTATATCCCGGCGCTTGTATTGATCGTGGTTTGGAGGAGCTCCTTCGTCCATCTTGTACTCGGAGCGTATCGTGATAGTGTCGGGAGCGGTGCTTAGAGACCCATCGCCCCACCCGTGTCAATCAAACGCCCCGTTTGTTGCATCAGCCTGCAACTGCAACGGGTTCAGGGGAAGAAGGGCTGGACTTGTATGTGTGGAACTACTTCCTTAGTTACCCTACTCCCTAGGCATAGGCACAGGTAGGAGTGTGCAAGCAGGCAGCCTTAGCGTTTTGCAGTTTACTCCTTGGATCTTGGAGAACAGGACGGTAAGGCTTGTGTGTTTAGGACGTGGATCAATCTTGTTGAACTACAAAACTAGAATAGTGTACAAATCAATGGAATTAGCCATCGTAGTATTATCAGAGATTTCAAGTACTGTACAATCATGTACATGTAGACATGTATATGTATCAAATACAAAACTTTTCATTTTGTTGATTTTGTAAACTGCATGTGACAGTACTCTATCTCCGGTCAGCTAGCGTTGCGAATAAACTTACTTTACTTTGTGACAGTGAGCATATGTAACCCAGACTCCCAGACTTGCGGTAAGAAAATCCCGACCCATGCAGCCCCTTGTTCGTAACACTGCTGCACAGCCCCAGCAGGACCAGACCAGGGTTGATATTCATGTGCTATCAAAGTTGCCACGACTGCACACACTATTACGGTATACATGTGTAGCAAGAAGGAGCCACGGGTGCGTGTGACCCCCGGTAGCCTAATCAGTAGGGCACTGTCCCGGAAGGACAGGGGTGCTGGGTTCGAATCCCGCTCGTGGATCCTTCTTTTGCAACATTGGCGCCTGGCAATAGGCCTGGGCGGATAATGCTAGCATTATAAGTGGCATTATAGTGTGTGATTTGCAACGAGCATTATAACACTACATTTCCACCAAAGTGGCATTATACTCAAATATGGAAGTTTTGGCCACTACAAGTCAAATGTGGGGTCACCGGGGAGCAGCTGATGTTTGTGCAGCATTAGTGCATTGGCTTTGGCGGGAGGGCGGCCAAACTAAGCCATTTCCCATGCATACTATTGCGGTTTTGCTGGCATTATGGAGCAATAGCAGCATGAAATTAGCATTATGATCATGATTTTCTATTTTCCATGCCGTCTACGTAGAACTACGAAACGTGCACAATACTGCCCAAACCAAGCCATTTTCCATACTTACTACTGGTGAATTGCTGGCATTACAGAGGAACAGCGGCTTTATAAGTAGCATTATGATACAGTTTTTCTGGCATTGCCATTAGCATTATCCCGCAAAGTCCGCCCAGGCCTACCTGGCAATAGCTCGAACCCATGACCCGTTGTACCCCCCCCCCCCCCCCCGTGAGTAGGTACGGCGCGAGGACACATCCTGTTGAGGTGGGGAGCAGTGTAGCAAGAAGGAGCCACGGGTGTGTGTGATCCCGGTAGCCTAATCGGTAGAGCACTGTCCCGGAAAGACGGGTGCTGGGTTCGAATCCCTCTTATGGATCCTTTTTTTGCAACACATGTACATCACATGTACATGTACATGTCGTTGTTGTTGTCCAGTCATCTGTCATCAGTACTGGTGGTGCATACGGTACACAATGGCGATATTGCTGTAGATGTGATGGAACACCATGCTGTATTGATGTGATGGAACACCATGCTGTATTGATGTGATGGAACACCATGCTGCCAATGTTCCTACACCTCATGTCACTACTGGTGATCTGATCGACGCCGTCGGCTCTGAACTGTAAGTGAGGGAGGGTTGTTGAACTGAGTAACGGGAAGTGCCACCTTCATTCGCTGCCTGCTGCCATGTTTTAGTGAAGGTTCTGAAGTAATTGATCTCACAAAGAAGGAATGGAAAAGAACAATAACAGCAGCAGCAGGAACACCATCAACAGCAACGACGATGACAACAACAACAACAACAATGAATACCGCATGTTACCGGTTATATGTCCCCCCCCCCCGTATCCGAAGGTCTTAATTATGTTTTTAAAATTGTCAACCAACCAAGCACTGCTAACCACTCCCTGCTACTAAAACATCAACAACCCATATAAACACTCCTCATTGGAGGGTGAAACGTCCAAATCCTGGAAAAAGGCAAATAAACTGGCAAAGATGCATACACACGGCGCACTCATACATGCAGTACAGGTCATTTTTGGAAGTTGCCGGTAGTTCCCGGTTATAAGTAGAATCCCGCTTGTAAGTCGACCCCCCAACTTTTCTCCTTCGATTTTTAGTCGTAAAGGTCGTTATCTGGTTTGGTGGATCATATCATGCTTGTTGTGTGCTTTGAATGGCCAGGAGGCACTATCTAACTACAGGCAAGAGAGAGGAGAACTTTGACTGTACTCCTGGCCGGAAGCCCGAGCGCAAGAAAACAGTAAGTCCATCTGACATGTCTCATCTAGCGTGCAATAGAGTTTCAGACATGGAGCCGGGGAGACCTAATTGAACCATGCTTGTACACACTACATCACCGTGAATGCTAAATGTTGGCAGAGTCAGTTCACCAATGCACTCTCCTACCAGTGCATGACAAACCATGCTTGTCATACACTCTTCTGACATTATACTCTGGTAAATTAGTTTAGTAGCTGTCGTACTTCAGTCGTACTTCAGTCCGATCATGTGGTGTGAATGCTTGCATGCGTGAGTTTGGTTTCCTAAATCGTACTGTAGCATCATGGCATCTTGTTTTTTTGGCAAGTTGTTTCTTCTCCTTGTTTTGTTTCACACTCCCACTAGCATATAGCCATGTCAAGGCCTAGGTCAGCGGCAGGAACATCTGCGTCCAGTAGCAAATCTCTGGCAAGATCTTCCTCCACACAGGTAAGCAGGGAGGAAATGGCTTGCATATACAATACTCACACTTACGAAAAGACTCGTGACAAACTTCAAGCTCCTCACAATCAACTTTTTCAGAAATTTTTCCACAAGAATACTTTCAGTATCTTCTCATCAGGTGGAATACAGGCAAAAAGAAATAAACCAGAACAATGAGTTTAGTACAGCAGAAAGGCGATAGAGCGGTGCAAAGAAGGTTAGCTAGAAGTAGATTGAATTCACATTCCATCTGATGAGAAAGCACTGAAAGAAAACTTGTGGATGTTTTTTCGAAAATGTTGCTTGCGAGGAGCTTGAAGTTTGTCCTTTTCATAGGTGTAATACAAGTAACTGTAATTGCATTTCTGTCTCCAAGAAAACTCAATGCAACACATGTACCCACTAGTTGAGGGAATGGAAAAGGGAAAAGTCTGAAGAAAAAATTGACTGTCGCCACCAGGACTCGAACCAGGGACTATCCTGTCCTATCCTATCCTGCCCTATTCTATCCTGTCCTATCCTGTCCTGTTGATGTTTCAAGTTCATCTGTTTGGCATGGCGTGTGTTCTGTTTGCTGGTTGTTGTTTTGTGTCGTTGCAGTCTTTATCAAGCACATCCTCCTATGCAAGCGATGCGGCTGAGTCCAAACATGCTCGTGATGTTAGGTAAGGAAAGTGGGTTATCACTTCCCAGCCACTGACTGCATGCACTTGACAGCCACTGACTGGATGTACTCAAGTTCTTACACCACTTTCAATGATTGCTCTGCTGTGTTGCACAGGCCGCCAAAGCTGCATTCGACTTTGCTGAAATGTTTGTGCAATGTGACACTGATCTGCTTATACATGCTCTATAACTTTGATACTGAACCTTCTAAGGTTCTATGCCAAACTTACATAGTACAGTGTTATATTGGCTATTGGTACCAGTATCACAGTACCAGTGCCTACCTGTGTGTGTGTGTGTGTGTGTGTGTGTGTGTGTGTGTGTGTGTGTGTGTGTGTGTGTGTGTGTGTGTGTGTGTGTGTGTGTGTGCGTGTGTGTGTGTTACTGGCAGGTTGTTTTGAGCATTGTACATGTCCATGTGTGAATGTGTGCTAGTAGATATGGTTGAAGTTGGTTATGAGGATGGGAGGGTTATTGCCAGGTACGGCTGTCTGGTGTACCGTGCTAGAAGCACACATTGATCAAAATGTCGATGTCCATTCTTGCCTAGGAGGAGACTGGAGGATCAAGTTGTCGGAGGTGGAAGCAAGGTGAGCCGATGGCTGACAGGGCGTATACTGCTGCCCCTGAAGCCTGCTGAAGGCATGTAATGGCCAGCATTGTCGTCCAGGTGTATGTGTGCTGGTGGTGGCCACTATGGTGTTATTGACCACTATGGCGTTATTGACCACTATGGTTCCCACCTTCCAACCCGGCAAATATTTAGATTTTGATAAAAACGATTCAAAGCCTCTCAATTATTTTGTAATACTTGAAGTATAGATTATAAGAATATCTATGGTGCTACTGACCACTACGGTGTTATTGACCACTATGGTGTTATTGACCACTATGGTGTTATTGATCACTATGGTGTTATTGACCACTATGGTGTTATTGACCACTATGGTGTTATTGACCACTATGGTGTTATTGACCACTATGGTGTTAGTGACCACTATGGTGTTATTGATCACTATGGTGTTATTGACCACTATGGTGTTATTGATCACTATGGTGCTACTGACCACTATGGTGTTATTGATCACTATGGTGTTATTGACCACTACGGTGTTAGTGACCACTATGGTGTTTGTGATCAGATATCGCTGGCCGGAAGTGCAGCTACTGTTTGGCATTTGGGAGTATTTGATTTCTCGGGGGGGGGGGGGGGGGGGGGGGTCAATGATTCAACATGACAACAAGCAGAATTGAATGCTGTGCATGTATTGTTGATTACTGATGGTGATGTTCACATGGTGATCACGATTTCGGACTGCACCTGGCCCGGGGGACTTTAGAATGCAACTGTATATTTTACACTGCTGTCAGTACAGCATACGACAAGCTCATGATTCGTTACTGGTATCATAGTATAGTTCTTACACATTCATGACCTGTAGCTTCTGCTTTGGACATGTACCTACTATATCTATATATGGACATGTACCTACTATATCTATATATGGACATGTACCTACTATATCTATATATGGACATGTACCTACTATATCACGGCATACTTTAAACAGAGTCAATCAAACTTCTCCACATCTACACCGAGATCAAGGTCATCCCAATCAATGGCATCTTCTCAAAGACAATCCGGTCGCTCAGCTATTTCATCTACCAGCTCACACCGGTCCACGTCCACAAGACAGAGTTCGTCACAGTCTTCACAGCACCGGAGGTATGAAGTATGTGTCACATCCACACCAATATACCCACTCATATACATACGCCGCATACCCACTTATATACATACGCCACATACCCACTCATATACATACGCCACATACCCACTTATATACATACGCCGCATACCCACTTATGTACATACGCCACATACCCACTCATATACATACGCCACATACCCACTTATATACATACGCCGCATACCCACTTATATACATACGCCACATACCCACTTATATACATACGCCACATACCCACTTATATACATACGCCGCATACCCACTTATATACATACGCCACATACCCACTTATATACATACGCCGCATACCCACTTATATACATACGCCGCATACCCACTTATATACATACGCCACATACCCACTTATATACATACGCCACATACCCACTTATATACATACGCCACATACCCACACCTATATACGTATAGATTATAGACCGGTTAGGAGGTCTATACAGGATATATAGACCGAGTAAAAGACCGAGGTCCCCCGAGGTCTTTTACGAGGCCTATATATCCTGTATAGACCAACTATGAGGTCTATAATCTATTTATCGTGTTCTCCACGCAATCGTTTCTCTTCATATACGACATACCCTTGTAATTCTAGTACTGTAAATCATGAATATGTAACGAACAAGTAAATCTAACGAGTTAACGAGCAAAGATTTATCGTTATTTTAAAATTCGCTAGCAAAAGTCGTATGATTTGGACCTCGCACGATTGAAATCGATCATTTCACATTATGGTATGCAGCGCGTGTTCAACGGATCGTAACTCAGTCAATTCTCAATGGAATTCAATAATCAAAAGATCTAGATGATAGCAGAGACGCTCAGCAGTCGGCTCAAACAATTCCGAAGTCTCTCAGATGATTTTTGACGAAGCCGCAGGAGATCGTTAATATGAATATTTTACTCTCTTATGCTGGATAAATTTCATTTTCTTTATTCTCCTGACATCGAGGTATACTGTGATGGACAACAATGAATGTTCTTGATGAGCATTTCTAGTATTATTGCATCTGTCTGAGAAAATCGTTAACTTTTCAAACCGTTAACCTTCGAAAATCAGAAAATCGTTAACTTTGCGGGTCGTTAAAATAATATGATTTACAGTATTATACTATAGCCTATACCGCATTGTACAGCATTGCAGGATCAAGGTCATTGTTTAAACTAGGTTCAGCATCTGTAGCACAGTGGCTGGGTGGCAAGGAAGAGTAACTGAGATTCACATGGTTGTGGGTTCAAATCCCATCTTGTGTATTTCTGCTTTCTTCAAAAATTTCTTTTTCTAAGTTGGAGAGAAAATTTCTAAGTCCAAGAAATTCTAAGGAGTCAAATATAAGTAGTCAAATATATTGTGTATTAATACGCAATATATTTGACCGCTTAGGTATCAGGGAAATTAGTGGGGTCAAATACTGAGGTTGCGTTTGGTTGGGCATTTTCAGAATGTAAATGACAACCATTGTATTTTGTATTGTATTTATTTAAAAGGATTCTCCAAAAGCAAATGGATGCTTATCACGGAAGTCTCCCACATAAATATCGCAAGAAAAATGGGGAAATGGGGAGAGGAGAGTGGAAGATGAAGCATGGGAAGAAGGGAAACAAGTACCTAAATATCGAGGTATAAAAGCAGGAAAGAAATCGACGAGGGAAGAAATCACCTCTGCAGATAATAGCGGGACATTTAGATGAAAAAACCCAGCAAGGATTAATTTCAAGGAAAAAAAATTCTCAAACGGAAAAGTTCGGAATTCCAGTCAGAGAATATCTATGCTGAGAGTAATGAGCCTTTAGAGCAATGCGAAAATTGACAGAGGACTGAACGCAGCGGATGTGTTCTGGAAGTTTGTTCCATTCCACAGATAAACTGAAGAGAGGGGATTTAAGGAAATGGGCGCCAGAACGAGGTAAAACTATAGAGGACGGGTGACGACAACTAAGGGATACATTGAATTTGAAACGAATTAGCAAAGATGGAAACTGGTAAAAGACATGATGAAAATACAGCAAGGACAGAATCTGACGACGCCACTTCAGGGATGACCAGTCACAAGTACGATTAAGAATCTGCTTCGGGGTTTCCCACTCAGGAGGGTGCCGGGTCTTACAAAACAGATATGAACGAGCAGCAACGGCTTGCAGTCGGTCTAACGTAAGCGAATCTGAATGGGATACGGCGAATGACCAGACAGGGACTGCGTATTCTAACAGTGGTCGTACGTAACACTTGTAGAGCAAATTCACGGTTGAAGCAGAAAGGAAATGGGCCATATGGCGCAACAGAAAAACACGACTGCGAAACTTATGGGTGATAGATTTTATATGGTCAGAAAAATTTAGTGAAGGAGTGATAGTCACGCCGAGATGACAGTGGCTTTCACCTTTCTGAATAGGCACACCGTTCATTGTCAAGGGGGATGACGGGCCGGGGGCTAATGCATATTTTTGAAAGGGTAGGTGGACGCATTTACTGGTGTTAAACGTCATGGCAGTAGCTGATGACCATTGACAACACTTATCAATGTCAGTCTGGAGCAATGCATGATGGATAGAAAGTGAGGTGTTTGCTGGAGAAACAAGAATTAAATTAGAGTCATCAGCAAAAAGGGATAGGGTACTAGAAGCAGGGGCATCAGGAAAGGAGTTGATGCACAGGTTAAAAAGAAGCGGGCCGAGATGGGAACCTTGGGGTACGCCAGCGGTGATGGGCAAAGGGTCAGAAAGAGTTTGGCCAATGCGAACGCAAATACTACGATCACTGATGAAGTCCTTCACCCAAGAACAGGCAGAAAGAGAACACCAACCTGAAACAGATTGAATAACTAAATGATGACTAACTCTGTCAAAGGCCTTAGAAAAATCAAGGAACAGCTGGTCACAAGAAGACTTAGAGTCAAATGCACGCGAAACAATTGAGGTAAGCTGTACCAATTGGTCAACTGTTGACCTCTTTCGACAAAAGCCAAACTGGCTGGAACTGATAATTTTATGGCTCTCAACAAACGAGTAAAACTGACGGCTAATCATAGACTCATACAATTTGGCAACTGCATTTAACAGCGATATAGGACGGTAATTGACTGGGTGAGAAGGATTACCTTTTCCCTTGAACACAGGTACAACAACGGCAGATTTCCACTCCCTGGGCTGAGTACTGGACAGCAAGCAGCGGTTGAAAAGGGCGGAAAGAGACTGTGACGTGACCTCAGCTGTTTCACGGAGGATGCGATTGTTCAGCAGTCCAGCGGTTTTACGTTGAATGGGAAGTCTGGATAGCGTGTCAAATACGGACTGTACAGAGAATGGTTGTATGGAGAACTTCACAGTGGACGTGGGTGTTAAAATACCAGCTGAGTGCAGGTCAGGTGTTAGCAGTGGCGCCTGGCTGTAGCTCGCAAACACTTTGGCTAGGAGATTCGTCTTTTCCGTATTACTCGTGGCTGGGTAGGCTTGGTTGTCATGGTAGAGGTCAGGGATAACCGGAGACGGGCGATTCACATTACAAAGGATCTTTGCTTTGCGCCACCATGTACGGGTTCCATGATGCTGAGCCATGTCTCTCGCCATCCTCTCGTGATAATGGCGTTTCGCCTTCCGGAGCAAGGAAGTAAGACAGTTACGTGAGAGTCTATACGCTATCCAACTATCTGTAGATCCGAGACGTTTGGCCTTGGCGAAGAGGCGATCCCGAAGCCGCCTCTGACGATGGTGAACAGCAGAGTACCAAGGCTTGTTCGATGGAAATGTGCTTCTCCGGACAACGGGAACAAACAACGATACAGAGTCTTCCAGCGCTGTGCGCCACAATGACCAGGCCTCATCAACTGTTTGCGCATTTTGGACGGCATCTAGCAAGGGTAGTTGCCACACGTGGTTGTTAAATGCTTGCCAGTCCGTGTGGGCAAAGTCGAGCCAGGTGTTTTGTGCAGAAGATATTTGGGCTGTGGAGCCTGCTGATCGGTTGTGGACGACATCGAAAACTACAGGACAGTGATCAGATACCGGTGGGAGGATGGTGAGATGGGAGACTGCTATTGGAGCATTAGTGATAACTAGGTCGAGTAGTGATGAACTCTTACCACTTGCGGAGTAGCGGGTAGGCTGTTGATCCACAAGTTGCGATAAGCCCAGATCATCCAGGGTGTCATACATGCATGTACCAGCAGGTGTATCAGGATCGGATGCTAGCCATTTCGAGAGGCGAGCGTTAAAATCGCCAATGACAAATATGGAAGCTTGAGGACAAGATATTGATTGAATGCAGGTCCGGAGTGCGCTGCAGAACTGATCAGGTGGCTGCCAAGGAGGACGGTAACAACAGAACACAAACGTGGAGTTGGGGCGATGCTCTAGTTCTATGCACACAATTTCAATGGTTGGATCAGCAGGCTGAAGATCTGGACGATGTTTGGTAGCATGGGAAATGGAACGGTGGAGGAGGAATGCCACTCCACCTCCACGTCGCACGGTATTGTTGTGACGGTCATGCCGGATAATTTTGTATTCAGCTGACGGTGTTAATATTGAACTTGTGATATCAGGAGTCAACCAGGTTTCAGTTATGCCCAAGATATCTAGTTGAGATGTGCAGAATAAGTTTTTAATCTCATCAGCCCGCTTCAGCCAGCTGCATGCGTTAACTGTGCAGATCCTGATACTCGACGGAGACTTCATATCAGGAATACAAGGTGAAAAGTTGAAAGTCAAAGGGGGCGGTTGGAATGGTGGAGCAAGAGGGTTCAGTGCGCTCACTTGCGATTGTCGGCCGGGAGAGAACGGGGCTGCATTTGGGTTAAGAGTAAAAGCGTGTGGTGATGTGGGAAAAAAGATGGGTGCGTGTGGATTCAACATCACAGTTCTGGAATGGGAATCGGCAAGAATCACCTGACCAAACTAACGCGCCAGAATCAATTAGGAATCACTTGACATAACAATTTCATGATATCGTTGAGGAACGGCTGCTGTCTTTTCTTTTATCCGACTCTAGTTTCCTTGAGAGAGTCATGGTACTTCTGAGTGCATGATTTGAGGCACTTGAACCTGTTGCTACATTGTTTGGCTCGTGGCAGCCATTATCATTTTTGATTCCGGAATGAGAATGCTCATTCCAGCATGTGAGGTGGAATGATCATTCTCCAAAAAGAATCATTCTCAGCGATTCCCATTCTGGAATCATGTGGAATGTGACCAACCTAACGCACTTTTTTGACCAACCAAACGGGCGAGAATGATTCCAAGTGATTCCAAGTGATTCCCATTTGGGAATGTGACCAACCAAACGTAACCTAAGAAGGCGATAACTACCCATACATACCCACTCGTATATACACACTACACACCCATGCCTATATTCCCACTCGTATATACACACACTACACACCCATGCCTATATTCCCACTCGTATATACACACTACACACCCATGCCTATATTCCCACTCGTATACACACACTACACACCCATGCCTATATTCCCACTCGTATATACACACTACACACCCATGCCTATATTCCCACTCGTATGTACACACACTACACGCCCATGCCTATATTCCCACTCGTATGTACACACACTACACACCCATGCCTATATTCCCACTCGTATATACACACTACACACCCATGCCTATATTCCCACTCGTATACACACACACTACTTGGACATACCCACGCGTTTATTCCCACTCGTGTACACGCTACACATACTACACACCGCATACATACCCTCTCATAGACTTGTGCACATACAAACGCTTGCGGGCATTGCCATCGATGGGTAAATAGCTGGTGTTACCTGTGGAATGTGGGAAAAGAACAAAACCAAGTGTGGAAACATAGCAGACCCAGTACATTTATACAACATCAGTGTATGACCGGCTGAGAACTTCCAGGCCTGTTTTGCAAAGCAATTGACTTGAATGTGGCCAGCTTGGTGGCACCTCGGCAGTCAGCATTCAGATCATTTAGATACTTGTAATTGCGGGTCAAAGTGAATTGTGTGTGTGTGTGGGGGGGGGGGGGGGGAACTTGTGATGTCCAGTGCATACGAGTCACAGTAGACCGAGATGTGACAAATACGTCCTATGATCTGATTTGTGCTTTTGCAATTCATTCTTGCACACTGTTTGATAGAACTGGATCAACACCAAGCCATAAGCTGACAGGAGGTGAAGCTCACCGCCTCATGTCACTTGCTACAAAGCTGATTGTGGCTACAGTACGTAATGGGTCACGGATCAACACCGGCACACTGGTGTACTGTACTTGTTTTGTGTATGATGAGCGGTGGCATTGACCAGAATGTGTGGTCTGGTTGGTCTCAAGCATACCCTAACTGGAACAATGTGTGGGTTGAAATCATGTGGTGCAAATTGATGATGCAGTTTGCAGGTTGATATTTCCCAGCTACTGTAAGTAGATGTGTACTACAAACTTTGCTTAGCAATCATTGGTAAGACGCGGGATAATGCAAACATTGGTAAGACACGGGATAATGCAATCATTGGTAAGACACGGGATAATGCAATCATTGGTAAGACACGGGATAATGCTGATGCTACCAGCTAAGTTGGTTTTGTGTTTCATTTCCCTTCATTTCTTAAGTGACGGTCACGTGGCATGCTACACACACACACACACACACACACACACACACACACACACACACACACACCACACACACACACACACACACACACACACACACACACACACACACACACACACACACACACACACACACACATACACACGCATGCACGCACACTACCCTAGGCAGTGATGTGTTCTGTGTAATGTTGATCTTGTGTCAATGATAGGAAACAGTTGCCATGGTCCCCACACCGGAGAAGAGCACCAAGCTTCGGCACAGCAGTGTACCATCCTCTATACAACAGGTACACACATGTAGTAGCACTAACGTTAACCAACCAAGCAACCACAACTTAGTTTAAAAACACTTCACTTTTTTGTCTCCCATAGGTCATTGGCTTACAAACTTACAAACTTGCTTCCTACTCTTCTTTTGTTGTTGTCATCTTAGGCTCCTCCTTCTACTCCTCCTCTTCTTCTATTCTCCTAACGTTCCATTGACCTAGTAGTTGTTATCATCCTAGGCTCCTCATTCTACTCCTTCTCCTCTTCTTCCATTCTCCTAACATTCCATTGACTTAAAAGTACCATACCACAACGGAGTGCATAGAGTATTACCACTACTCCCTGCACGGTTGAAAACCGAAGTGTTCGCATGCTATCATGCTGTGTCGTGCAGCTACGCAGAGGCACGGAAAAACTGGAGCAGAAGTTGAAACGCCACCGCCAGCTCTCTGCCAGGGATATGGATAGGTCATCATCTTCCCTTGCTCTTGATGACCTGCAAGCCAGTGGCTCAGGTATGGTTGCTGGGGGTTAGGGCTGACACCCCCCCCCCCCCCCCCCCCCACACACACACACCCGACAGTGGTGAATGCAGGGTCACCCCAAAGAGGGGCTCCGTCATGCCAAAACCTTTTTCAAGTTAAGGGTGTGAGAATGGCACTGTATCAATACTATCATAGTGTATGAAGTAAAGTAAACCCAATGAGTCATGACCGTGCTGTACAATCACTGGGATTTACTGTGCAATTACTGGGATTTACTGTGCAATTACTGGGATTTACTGTGCAATTACTGGGATTTACTGTGCAATTACTGGGATTTACTGTACAATTACTGGGATTTACTGTGCAATTACTGGGATTTACTGTGCAATTACTGGGATTTACTGTGCAATTACTGGGATTTACTGTGCAATTACTGGGATTTAGTGTGCAATTACTGGGATTTAGTGTGCAATTACTGGGATTTACTGTGCAATTACTGGGATTTAGTGTGCAATTACTGGGATTTACTGTGCAATTACTGGGATTTAGTGTGCAATTACTGGGATTTACTGTATTGTTCCCGCTGGGATTGATAATACTGCACAGTCACTTCTACTGGGGCAAATCATAATCTACAGTTTGAAAAAAGGAGCCCAGGCCTCTGGGTCTCTCGCCGAATCTCCGAATCCGTCTTTGGTTCACCACCACCGCCGCTGCCGCCACCACCACAACCACCGCCCTACTTTTGTGTCATTTTCTTGTATATAATCTCCGAACACATAGGCCTTTGCCGAGTCGTAGATGTGCGTCTGTAGTATTTTCTCAGCACTTCTCGGAATTGTATCTGCATTGTCAAAACATTCACGTATGTGGTGATGAGTATTCACCTCCCCCAGTTTTCTTGTTTCTTGTTCCTTTTCCTACCTGCTAACTGCTAGAGATCTCAGTAGCTGAAAGCGTGGACCTGATGCATACTCAGAGGGTAAGTCAGTCGGTGGTCTAGCCACTATAGTGTGTTTCAAAAGTATAGACCTCGAGGCTTTTTCAAATAATTCAATTTTGGTTTGAGCCTTTTGAGAAATTTCTACAGGATATTGCTCAGGCAGTTCCCGGCCCCAATTTTTGCCGTATAGATTTCTAGGCCGATTGGATAACGAACACCCAATTTCGGAAATTTTATGCACGAATTGATCACAGATTTTATCAGGCATAGATGCTGACCTAACGGTTTTCTGAAACCGTCCAGAGGTCTATACTTTTGAAATGCACTATACACTTCTACCTGGATAAGTTAGATAGGCCATGCACGTGTAGAACATAATCACGCCGGACTGGTTAGTTCTTAGGGCTGATGTTCTGCTGTGCAAGTTAATCACACCATAGTTATCACACAGGCTGTGGTACCCTGACCATGGTTAGTGGTCATCATACAAGAATGCTTGCTTGCATTGATGATGTCATTATGTATCCGAATCCAGTCTCTTCTCCTCTGGGTACAATTACTTGCTGTAGGAAACTCCAAGAAGTAGCAAACACAAGCAGCGTCCACACACAGCAAAGCAGTCCAGTGGCGGAAAGTCCTACCCCACAGTAAACGTATCACCGCCATCATCAACTGTAAGCCCTGCCAGCCTGCAATTAGTTGTAGAGATTCTGTGATTACCCCGATCATTTGGGATTCTGTGTATGGTGTGGCAAAGCGGTGGCACAAGCACCGGTTTGCAACTCAAAATCTCCCTACAAGCTTTCACTGTTGGCTTGGTTGGCCTTTTCATACAAACTAGCACTGATTCACGCTCTATGCGGTGCGTACGCGATGATCTCGATCGCATAACGTAAAATTAATAGTTAGAGAGCTCTATAACTAGTGCCAGTGCACATTCCAGCTCAGTTGTTATACTTGGTTTCAGTGTATCAGGAAAGCCGCTAATTAGATCCTTGCCACCAGTCACCGTCTCGAGTTCTTTGCAAAGTTTGTGGCATGATCTGTTATTGCCGAGGATCTTACCGGTATTGCAACTTGCACAGTCCACAGGACCAATGTTGCTCCTAGTTTTGAGGTGAACAAAGTCATGGAACAACAAACCACGTATCTCCAGTTCCGTATCATTTTTATAAAATTGTACGTCATGTGTGAGTGTTTGCACCGAATTCCCATAAAATTGAAAAGCTGACAGAATTGCTTTTGTCAATGTCGCAGGTTTCTCTTGACCAGCGCCAAGCATCAGCATCTCAGTCTTCGCTGAAACAGCGCAAGGGAGGTAGTGATCTGGTGAGTAGGTCAGATACAACATTGGTGTACTCCAGGAACCGTGCAACCAGGCAGGACGATTCTCAATTGCACGCCCGCCTGAAAGACAGTCCCTACAAGGCAAGGATGAACTTGTCCTCTGGCTACGGTGTGTCATCCACATCCTCACTTCGAGCAGGACCCGGCACGGTAAATCGCAGTCGTCAAAGCATGGCAGGTGATGGGTCATATGCCCTACCCCCGTCTACGCACGGCAGCGGTCAGCCTCGCTACATGGTTGATATGGCAACTCAAACAGTGGAAGACAAAGGTGAGTGCAAAACGAATATTATTAAAAACGTTATAGTGTTTCAGGTGCTCATCTCGCCGTTAAGACTGCTGGTGTGGTAAATGGGATACATGTGTTGCACTTCCTTGTGAGGTAGTGACTGTCCTGTTGTCCTTTCACCACTGTTATCATGATCATATGATTGCTGTGTACTTCCCTGTCATTGTGTTTCTTGTTTGAATCGTGCCATTCAGCCACTCAAACGGACAGCCTCGCCGATGCATCGTCACCGCAAAGTCCAGAGTTGACGTATACGGATTTGTCAGGCACTAGAAGAGAAGTCGAAAGTCGCAGTCGTCCACTGTCCACAGCGGATGTGTCGACACAAGCAGTGCACTTCACAAGTTCCAGCAGTCAGCTTGCAAATGAGGACGGACAGGCCCATTCAACATCTTCTACCAGTGTGGAAATGTCTACGAAGGTAAGGTGCTATTGGTGGGTGAGAGAGAGAGAGAGAGAGAGAGAGAGAGAGAGAGAGAGAGAGAGAGAGAGAGAGAGAGAGAGAGAGAGAGAGAGAGAGAGAGAGAGAGGAGAGGGAGGGAGACAGAGAGGGAAAGGGGGAGGCATAGAGGTCACATACCTCCTCTTCATCACTGGTGAACTTCAGTGCCTATGAAGTATCCTAGTTCTCTTTATGGTCGACCGGGGTTGGGAGCAGTTTGCAACGGTCCTACTCCATTCGGACTACTGCTTCACCAAGGTGAGTTCAGTGGCTCCTCTTCATCAAAATTCATCACAAATTACGATATACGGTGCACAGTATTTTTTTGCTGTGTCAGAACCACATTTTTTACCTGTGTGTGTGTGTGTGGTCTGTCTGTCTGTCTGTCTGTCTGTGTATGTGTGTTTGCACGTGTGTATGTGTATGTGTGTGCGCACACATATTATCTGATATCACAGGCGCCGAAGAAATCTCACGCGTTACTGATGAAAGAAGCTGAGGCTATGCTGGAGAAGTTGCAAGGTGAGACTGAGAATTAATACAGTGGCCAGGCACCAGCAGACCAGCAGGGCAGTGAATGCTGGAGCATTCCACCATCCCATGCACTGATGATGTCTTATTAACAAAACACCCAAAAGTAAATTAGGGATCCTTCAATGAATTGCGACGAACATTTGCGAGGAGAATGTGCATCTTGAGGGTGCGCTTCCCTGCTAACTGCCCAGGCTATAATGTCACTATATTAATTTTGTAGGGCATACTTGAACACAGAACCATTGCCCTTGTGTACGTGTAAGAAACAAGGAATACATCATCTCTGTGTCGAAAGGGAGAAGAGTGGCATTTTAGTAGCTCTAAAATGCTATTGCAATTTGGGCTGCTCTGTTCCTTCAAGTACTGCATGCAGCCAACTTGAACTTTAAGTCATTCCATTTGGTGTGAAGGTATGATGGTGCAATTGATACAGATGGCAATGGAGTGCTTATTCAGGTGTCTGTTGTGCTGCCTTGTCCAGCTGTGGTCCAATGTCGTGATATGGTGCTATCTCTCTCTCTGCCTTGTCCAGCTGTGATCCAATGTCATGATATGGTGCTGTCTCTCTCTGCCTTGTCCAGCTGTGATCCAATGTCGTGATATGGTGCTGTCTCTCTCTCTGCCTTGTCCAGCTGTGATCCAATGTCGTGATATGGTGCTGTCTCTCTCTCTGCCTTGTAGCTCTTGTACAGTATGAAGTAGAAGTGTACACAGGATCGTTTGTACCGCTCTTCGCTGCTGACAATCAACTGCTAATCACACTGTGCGGGACTGAGCATGAGAGTGAAGAACAGCCGTTGGAGACGGATGACGATGGAGCACCTGAGCTAGAAACTAATACAGTGAGTTCTTCCCATCCTCTCTCTCTCCCCCCCCCCCCTCACGTACACATCATGGTCACAACTGTACCACCCTTGGAGAATATGACTGTATGCATGCAATGCCGTCGGTGGTGATGTGTGTGTGGGGGGGGGGGGGGGGGGGGGTAGTATCATCGGATGCAGATTTAGTTGGTAAGCGGAGAAGAAGGTTATGCCCTGTTAACACTTAGCACAGGATATAGCCTCCCGGCCATGCTAGTATAAAGCTACTCTTGACACTTATACTAGCCTTGTCTATATGATTGTATATGTGTCTGTGTGTCTGTGTGTCTTTGTGTGTGTGTGTGCATGCGCCTGTGCATCCGTGCGTGCATGTACATGTGTGTATGCATGTGTGTATGTGTTTGTAGAAGCACACGTTTCGTCTGCACTGTGAGGATGTGGGCAGTGTCAAGAGTATACGATTCAAACACACGTCAGGTGAGCAGCCTCGCTGCTGCAGTGTGGCAGTGTGGCAGCATGGGCACACTCAGTTTGTTGGGTGTTTTCATTTCCAACAATATCTCTGTCTAATAATTATAGAACCATTATGTACATTTCAATGAAACGCTCCAACTAAGCACAGTGTTACTCCTCGGAACTATTCCTTAGCACGATGATGAAAGCCATGCAGATTCTATTGTACCGGCTGGAAATAGTCACAGCGGTGCCGCGTAGTTTTGTCGATCCTACTGTAGTCCAAACCTGGTCCTACAGTAGCCCAAGCCGACACTAGACCTTTTATCAGGGGTGTCACTGGCCAGTGGGGAGTGGTGCCACCGGGGTGCGGTGTGTCCCTCCGAAAGAAAAATTCAGATTTTTCAGCCAACAGGGCACGTTTTAGCGCTCTTTTATTGCTTTTTGAATGAATTTGGTGGATCGTCGATGCATCCTGGACGAAAAGTGGTACGACCATGGTCGCACTGGTCGTGCCGTGTGTGACGCCCCTGCCTCTTATAGATGTGAGCATTATAGCATTGTTGAAATACTGAGGTAGTTCTCTGTGCTGCATGTTGTTGCAGGTGATGGTTGGCTGCCGGAAAAAGTAGTGGTGCGTCGACAACCTGACCAAGTTAGCTTCATCTTCAACTTTAGTGGGTAAGTTGAGAAAATACTCCTCTGTCAAGGTACTACCGTGTTGCTCAATGCATCATCGTTTATGTCAATGCACCATCATTTGCGCTAATACACCAACATGTGGATCGGTGTACCAACATATTGTGCAATATTTTGTTAACTCTACCTTCATTCACAAATCTTCGCCATACGAGTAGAGACAACATAGCAACACTGATGGTTTTGACCCTTAGACAAGTAGACAGGCATCGTTCATGTGCACATGGAGGATGTATCTAAACTGTGTGTCCTTGTATTGTTGCCTGTCTTTCCACTCATTGCTACCAGTGAGTCTGGGACGAGTGCAAGAAACTTCACAGCGGCATTAGCATCTGCTGAAGTTGCAGGTGAGTTGTCATGATTCCCTGCATGCCGGATCAACGTTAGTGATACAGTAGTGGATTGAACGTGCATGTCAGTGACCTGTAGTGAACTGCTCCACCCGGGTACATGCACTCTCACGGGTGTGTTCCTTGCCTCTACATAATCCTACCAAAGCTGAATGTTTGGTTTTTGTCTTGATGTAGAATCTCGTGGTGTGTTCGAGGTTAATCAACAACAACATCATCATCATCAGCAGCAGCAGCAGCAGCAACAGCAGCATTACAGCGCTATGCCTAACCACCAACAGCTCTATGCTCCGCAGCAGCCGGTAGCAGGACCAGGCAACCAGCATCCAGCCTACATGCCAGTTTTGCAGCAAGTGGGAGCTCAGCAGCCCTACCTGTACCCTCACCCACCATTTCCTAACCAACCGTTTGTGCTGCCCTCTGGCCCAGCTGCACCCATGCATGCACCCGGTCAGTACATGCCACAATCTGGCCAGGTTGTCATGACTCCCAGTGGACCAATGACTTGGCTGCCCACAGCAGAGCAGCCGCAACAGGCAGTGGCGAACATCGGCCTCTCCCCACAATCCGTTGCCGGCAGCACCGGTGCAAGTCCTTTGGCCGGCACAGCTCTGCAACAACACGGTCAGATTCCACGGCAGATGTCCATCGGGTTGGAAAGTCTGGTCAGCGGCCAAACCGGGCAGGATGCAGGTAACAGCGAGGACAAACAGAGCATTGACAAGTTTCTGGATGGATTTCGGGTTGGCGTGGAGGCTGGAAAGAGGAAAAGTAGCGGTGGTAGTGTTGCTGTGGATGACCAAGTGAGTGAACTGCTGGGGAGTGTCACGGCCATTGATAATGTCAGTGGTGGTTGCAGCTTTGCAAATACATGTATGACATTAGCAAGCTTTAGATGCCATTCTGTAGCGAACTATGTGCATGATCGGCCGGTGGCTAGTGCAGGTTTCCTGTATGTTTATACCTGTGTAACTGACCATGAATGGACATAAGTACCGTACATTGCTGCAAACTGTGAGCTGGGTACGATTCGTCCATACGATACAACAACAACGTGGGTTGATATCTGTTCCTCTTCTTCTCATTTGCCGTTAACTGTTCTTTTCTTTCTGGAATTTCCAAGGAGGCATCTATGACCCAGCGACAACTGGCTAGCCCTGAGGGTAAGACACGTCTTCACACTGTACTGTAGCATACATGTATGTAGTCAATTACTAGTACAAGTAATGTTTGCATTCACAGCCGGGGCCGCGATACTGCCTTGTGAGCACATAGTCATGCACAGCCGGGGCCGCGATACTGCCTTGTGAGCACATAGTCATGCACAGCCGGGGCCGCGATACTGCCTTGTGAGCACATAGTCATGCCGCACTGATGAACTCCTCATGATTGTGTGTAGGAAGAACTGCAAGACATTGCAAGACCCCTGTCGTTCATTGGAGTATATCTCGCTGGTGTGTACCTATTGTGCGGCGGGTAGCCCGACAGTACCATTGTGCGGCGGGTAGCCCGACAGTACGGCATAACGGATGCAATAGTACTGTAGGGTATACCGGTATTTGACCTCCTAAAAGCTAGGACCAGGCTAGTAGCAAATGACACCATGATAGCTCAGTGACTGTTGGCTGCACTTAACACAGTTAGAAAGCTTAACTGGCTAAGCTGGCTATGCACACAATCGGTGAACTGCATGCATGCTCTTCACAACATAATCAGACTCTTTAAAACACTACAGTGCCATCGGGTGTCGAAGAACATCAGGGTCGTAGCCTAGGATTTTCGTATGTTTCATGCATGCCAATCTATGAGTGTGTGGTCGGGTCACCATGTACATACCCACCTGTGGACATACCCAACATACCCAACATACCCGTGTGTACATATCCGTGTACTATGCTTGGGGACATCCTAGCCCATTCCTTCTTCGGCGCACCATTATTCAGTGCCACACAGCTGTGTACCTTTAAAAGGGCGTTCGAAGGGTGACTTGCATGCTCATGATGTTTCCCATCTATTGAAGGGGCTGAAAGTTCGGAATGCTATTTTCTTTTTTGTTGTTCTGACGTGTCCTGTGTACTTTCATTATTTGCTCCAGGAGATTCTATTCATGAGGCGGCGAACGAGTCAAACGTTTCAAGACTTCGGGACCTACTGGACAAAAGCACCCATTGGCTAAGGTGTGTCTGCAGTTCAGAATGTACTAATATATAGCAGAATGCTTCTTTTGTCATTTGAGACTCCGAGCAGTAGAAAGCGCCCACTGCTATTGTCAAGAACCGGGACTGCGTTCACTTCAGAGCATGTTTGTATTTCGTATGTGTCAGCTAAGGCTTGCATGACATGACTGCATTCCATGGCCTCATGGGTGATCTACAGTAGTGACTAGTGCTGTGTGAGCATGTATGTGCATTGTGCATGTATTCGTGTGTGTGTGTGTATGCATTCGTGTGTGTGTGTGTGTGTGTGTGTGTGTGTGTGTGCATGTGCAATCGTGTGTGTGTGTGTGTGTGTGTGTGTGTGTGTGTGTGTGTACATGTGCGTGTGCATACGTCTGTGCATGTTGCTGTTATGCAGTGTGGCTGATGAGAATGGACTACTACCAATCCACTGTGCTGCTTCACATGGTCAGCTTGATAGTCTCAAGGTATATCCACAAGTTACTCATAAGCCAGCATACTGTTGTACTACTTGGTTCAATGTTTTGTTGAACTTCCTTGTGTCACAGTGATATTTGAGGATCTAACCCCTGCTCTTCCCCTAAATACTAATAGCTGGAAGCCTTTTTCAGAAACCATAGTTTCCGGAGTATAAGCTGCACTTTGAACACTCAAAATTCTCTCAAGAAAGGGGGGGGGGGGGGCGGTGCGGCTTATACTCCGATGATCAAATTAACGGTGATAAATAGGAAATATGTCTGTATTTCGTGGCAAAAAGGGGGGGGGGGTACGGCGTATACTCAGGAAAATAAGGCTATCTCTCGACTTGTGACTCGGCTATGTGCATCAACCTAATCAACAGCCTGCCGGGATGGCCGCTACAGGTTTAGCAGTGATACAGTGTGTATCGGCTATAGCGTGGTCGTGTAAAAGAATATACTGCCTACAAGAATGAACTCTCTTGTTTTCATAATCATAACATGGGTTTCAAGTGCACATTTCTTCTTAAAAGCAATCTTATCGTACAGTAGAATATATCGGTCCTAAGAATGGACTTTGTGTAGCAAAACATACCAGATTACTTGTAGTATAAAGTATATCGCCTGTAGTATCTGTCCAATGCAGTTCTGATCTAACTCGCGTTGGGTTGTCGACTACGTAGTGCTGCAGGTTCAACTGTTGTGGTCATGTAACTCCTGTTGCATAGCCACATGGTAAGCCTATGTGACTATGACCAGCCGCATGCACAGTAACACTACATTGCATGTACGATGATCTTCCTGCCTCCGCGCACATGCACATGATATGTCACACTTTATTTATCGTGTGTAAGAAATATCGGAAATATGAATAGAAAGTTGTTCTTCAAACACCCACGCTATAACCGATACCAAGAGTCCATAACCCAAGAGTAGGCAACTGTGATTATGGGTGCATGCGTGGCGCGCTGCCTTCATTAAGTAACTTGCCTTCATCACGCTCTGAAAGCATGCATTCAAACTCTCAATTTCTCGCACGAGCCCATCCGTTTTTGCTCGATTCGTTCCAGTACCTACACAATCTCTGAATTCTGGCGCGTGAACTCCAGTTCCGTACGAAAGTTCATTTCAAACTAGAGGGAAAGTGCGGTGTTTGATTTTCCGGAGTGCGTGGACTGCAGCTGAATGATGTAATGAAGGCAGCGCGCCGCGCGGTTGGCCCATAGAAAAGAGATCACAGTTGCATACTCTTGGGTTATGGACTCTTGCCGATACCTACTGTACTTATCGTATGCGTGTAGGGGGGGGGGGGGGTAGCTTTCACCGATGTGTGGCACAGAACACTGATTGTTTTAAAAGTACGTTTCCATACGTATGGCACATCTGCCGGTACACACATTTGTACACATGTTCTGTACCCCATACACTGCACCATGCACTACTTTGCTGTGCTGTGTAGATTCTGTCAAGCTATGAGGTTGATCTTGAAGCTACAACATCCACTGGATACACTGCATTGCACTGCGCTGCCATGCATGGTCATGTCAGGTGTATGAAGGTTAGTCAGTTCAGTTGGTGTCAGGCTATACAGTACATGCACCCGTGACTGTATACGCAGCACTGTGGGTCACATCACTATGTGTGTATTGCTATCATCTCTGATGAAGACTGTGACCCTCATGCAGTGGCTACCTGTATGGGCTCCTAGGCTTTCTATCAATAAACCGTGGTACAGCGTATGCAGGTCAGGGTTGGTTTATACGGGCTACAGTAGCTAACTACAGCACTGGCAGTGAAGGATTGAAATTGCCCTTGGGTATAATAACATCAAGGTGTTGTGTTGGCACTATCACTATTGTACACACACCTGCACTAGACCTTAGTCAGTGCTCCGGGTGATGCGCTGATTCCGTGTTTCATTTGTCCTGACTGTTGTTACATCACCAATGTGTGGGTCTTGCTGGTGAAGTAACTTCCATGCGGTGATCGGCAACAATCGAAACCTGCTGTTCATCACATGGTGGTCATCTGCGCATACCATGTCATGCATGATTCTGACTCTTTCCTTACCAATTGTTTCTATGTCCTCGATGTGTGTCAAGCATCTGCTGCAAGTAACGGATTGTTTGTGAGATAGTAACGCAGTGTGTTTTGGTATGTGACTTTGCAACACACTGCAGCTGTTAGGAGCGCTTGGATGTAGCATCAACAGTCGATCAATTGACCGTCAAACACCCTTACACCTGGCAGCTGCCAAGTAAGAGAGAAAACAGAAAGAATGTTGCTTCAGTCTTGTAGATACTTGAAGCAGATGAATCTAGACTACAGGTAGTAGTATATTTACGGACTGTGCCAAGTGCAAGCAGAGTTTTGATCCAGCAATATGATGTAAGGTTCCCTCAATGTCTACACACACTATACCAATACCCTTCTGACAAGCATGCCCTCTGTACTGGATGATGCTCAAGGTACACACACACACACACACACACACACACACACACACACACACACACACACACACACACACACACACACACACACACGCATGCCATCACGCACGCACACACACAGCGACACACACCTTTGACCTTTGACGCCCCATCTCCAGTGGAGATGATAGGCTACTGAGTTGGACGGTACTTGATGTGATGCTTCAAATCGCCACTTCTCCTAAACGCTCTGCCGCATGCGCAGTGAAAGTTCCTCGGTGCCGGGGGAGGAAGACGATGTTGATGGACCCGCCTGCGCCATTCCGGGCGATCTTGCGCGAGCCGATACCACTCGGACTTCGGAATATCCAGTGAGCGCAGATCACCGACAATCGTGTCTCGCCAACGCTTCTTTGGCCCATGCCGTGGTCTGGTTGCGACACACACACACACACACACACACACACACACACACAAATGTACGCACACACACAAATGTACGCACACACACACACATGTACGCACACACACACACACACACACACACACACACACACACACACACACACACACATGTACGCACACACACACACAAGCACACACGCTTACACATGTCTATCACTGTGTGTCCTAACGCGTGTGTGCACAGTGGGCACCTGGAATGCTGCAAGTGGCTGATTGCAAACCGTGCCAAGCTGAAGATGAAGGATTCCAATGGACGCAAACCCAAGAAAATTGCAAGGGTGAGGAAGTATTAGCAAAGAGAACGGAGGACAATGCACCACAGTGAAAATAAGTATTGTTCCACTCGCATGCAGTGTGAGACACTTCATTTAGATCCGGCATTGACAATAGCAGTTGATATGTGAGTGCCAGGAGATATGTGAGTGCCAGGAGATATGTGAGTGCCAGGAGTAATATTTTCTGCCCTGGAGGCACGGTGGTCTTGGTTTGTGCGATTGTGTGTTAGGTCGACCTTGACAATAACAAACCGTAATAGGTATAGTTCAACTACTAGTACCTTACTGTCAGTGTAACTGTTGTTGTGTTGTGGCGTGTCTTGTTGACAAACCAGGAGAATGGCCATGCTGTGGTTGCGGATTTCTTGGAAAGTTGCCGTGAGTCCCCATACTGTCTATCTGTGTATGTTTGCGTGTGTGTATGTTGGGGGCGCAGGGGTTGAGAGACCCAGAGAGAGCCTTCTTTGTTAGCGCATGTGCATGGCATGTCACATGCACTGCGAATAGAATGAACCAAGTTCCTTTTTGGGATCCGAAACTTCATGCTAAGGTGACAATCACTATTAATCAGTGTATCTTGCTATTTTCTGTGGTTGGATTCACCCTCCCTTTCTTGTATTGGCTATGTATTATTATGTGCCATGAAGTGGAGACGATAAATAAAAATAAAAATAAATCTGTGTGTGTGTATTGTGTGATGTGTAGAAGAGGAGGCAGCAAGGGCCGGTAGTGCACTGAGTTTACTGAGGACTCCTAATAGGTGAGTGGGTGGGACCAGTGCCAATGCTGTACTGCTGGTACGCCCGGGCTCGCATTGTATCTTATCATATGTGTGCCTGTTGTCGGGGGAGGGAGGTGGGGGGGGGGGGGGGGAGGCGGGGGGGGGGGGGGTACTTGTTCATGAACCTGGTAAACACCGTTCTTGAACTCATAATCAATGTGATAATTTGATTGTGGAGTCCTTTAAGGTCTCTCTTCCGTAGTGCATGTACGATGACAATGTGCACTATAGTTTGAATGATGTGAACTGATTCCTTTTCGACAGCCTGTGAATGTTGAATGAGATTGCTGCCGCCCAAAGCTTGATGATGTTTGCGCTGATCCTAGCACCCCACCCGTCTACTTACTAGTATTCCACTCCGTTGTGTTGCTAGTGTTGCTGCTAGTATCACCAATGGTGGAAAGTTGTCCAAGCGACAAAGCGTGTCTTACTGGCAAAGTGACAACGATTCAGTGGCCGAATCCGATCGAATCGAAACCTCCCCAACGGTAAGAGTGTATTTGTATGCAGCACCCACTGGGTATTTTACTACTCCCTGATACCGAATGCATGGGTGTCATCATCTTCATCCCACAGATCTAAATGTACGGGTGTCATACGATTCCCGCATTGTGATCCTAGTTTAGCACAAGACTGAGGGTGCTATGTAGTTGCAAACAGTTAAGGAACACGGTTCATCATGATCGCCATCACCAAGTGGTCATCGTCGGATTCTGTGACTTGGAATTGTTTGCTTGCGTTTCTTTCGCAATGATCAATATGTTGTGATAGATTGTGACGCAGTATTGTGATGTGTAGTAGTACTTGTAGTACGTGTGAGGCATTCAAGTTGTTGTGCTCATTATACTACATGTGTACTTCATTCAGGAAAATAGCCGACAGCGTCGAAAAGGTCACCACCATCTAGGCAAGCACACCGAGGAGGTATGTAAACCAATCCAATCCATGTTGCCGTATGCATGACATCATCCTGTGTGCAGTGGACCAGTGGTACTGTGTATGCTGCCCGTAATCATGACGTCATCTTGTGTGCAGTCACTGCAGTGGTGTATGTTGCCCGTATGCATGACATCATCAGGTATGCAGTGCACCAGTGGTGTGTGTTGCTGGTTACTTGCACACCACTTACATTGGAATGATACATTTTGCACGGTATGTTGTTATAAACAGATAGTCACGCGGAAGCTCGTGAATTCCATTACAATGAGCGTGCATGCTGCATGTGCATCTGATGAAGTGGAGCTAGAACCCCACTGTGCACAGGCCGTTCTGATCCTACCCATTCAACATCTGGTCCGTTTGTTTTGCATCGTACCTTGTTCTCTTACTTAGCAACAACAGCAGCAACACTACGAGAAGCATCAGGAAAGGATGACTGCCTCCAACCAGAGTTTCTTGGATGCCGTTCGACAGGAAGCCGAAGAAGCCCAGTAGAGAAATGAGTAGAGTGAGTGAGTGAGTGGTGGATGTCTGCGATGCTCTTTTGCACGGCAGCGTCCAGACTAGCAGTATAGCCATGCCTAGTATGATAGCATGCTTCAGCGGCAAACACTACAAGCATCCAGCTGCATACGAATACAACAATGCCAAACAGCATCTCAAGTTGGTGATGAGTGGGGCTGTGTGTATATGCTCCTACTTCCAGTGACTGCATGAACATAGTACAGCCATGTCCCCCTGGTTTTAGTGCCACCGGTTGAACTGTGTTTCTGTGATGCAATCACTCTGACCTGGCGACCTGGACTGATTTGTTACGTTTACATGTACCTTGAGTAGCAGCTCAGTGATCATAGTACCGTGCAGTCTTGTACTTTCAGTGATCATAGTACTGCAGTCTTGAGTAGCTGCTCAGTGATCATAGTACCGTGCAGTCTTGTACTTTCATTGCGGCATAGTACTGCATTACGACCCTCACCTTCTTGGACAACCTTTTTGAAGAAGTGACCTGAGTTTGATGCCACAGTAGGATATTAATGAACACAGAGATTGAGATTGGAGAACATACCTAGGGCATGTAGAATAGTAATACCTATATTATGGTGCTGTTTCAGTCGAAGCAGCCCGACCTGTGAGAATTCATACTATCATGACTTGCACAATACATGGCCTGTTCATTCTCTAATGCATGCCGGTCACGATCACGGTTTCGGACCCCATGCGATGATGTTTAGCCCTGTGCCTGGCTACCGCGGCCATGAACATTATTGTGTGCCTTCCGCAGAGGTGCAGTTCCGGCGTGATGTCTATTGTTTGTTCAGAGTATTCTTACCAGTGACACTGATAATGACAATGGCACGCCGTCTAGTCTGTGTACCAATGACTACGTCTCTTTTTGTCTCTCATACCGTATCCATGACTTCATAATGTTATTATCCAGCCAGACTTACTAGGCAGTTTTTGCTACTCCGCATGTATGGAATTTATATTTGGCAAAGGTCCTAGTTCTAGCTTTACTAGTACTGTGACAAGTCTTGATCTCAATATCATATATAGTATACGTATACTGACTAGGCCGCACACATTCCCTGTATTGTTACTTCAGAATTTAAAAGTACAAACACGTGACCGACAGTATGCAGTATGCAGTGTTACTCAGCTTGGTTTGGCCACTTTTGCCCACACCAAACACGAGCGTAAATCAAAAGATCAGAGTTGGCAACATACGGGTGCACCTCCCTGTTTTCTGATGATCGCTTAGTGCGTGAAACTCAGAGTTAAAACACTTTTTTCCGTCCTCTAATTGTTTGTGAGGTTTTACTGTACCGGTGCATGTAATACTAATAGTTAGTCATGTGTCTGCATGGTACAGTGTGCCAGGGATGTAAGAAGATATTTTAGGGAGGTCAGCCATTGGAGATGCTCCTTGCCAAAGTGTCTGAAGAGCTCCTCTGACTTTTTCGGAGCAAAACCATCGCATTGCGTGTACACGTAGCACCTGGAACAAAAATGGTTGAGTCTGTGTGTACAGTCATATACATGTGGTACATCAGTAACATGAAGCAGGTAAAAAATGAGATGGAAACGGAAATCCCCTACTACTACTACTAGTAGTACTACAGTGTGTAGTAGTACTGTAGATCTATCTACCTCACACTCGTCACAGAGTCACAGTCATTACGTATCGGCTGTCGCCAATAATAAGACCATGAAGACGGCATGCACACTGTGTGTGCAGGCCCTGCAGGGCGTTGTAGGCCTAGGCCAGGGCTAGGATAGGGACAGTAGATCTGCTCGTACTCGTAGATCTACTCAGTAATCATGGTAATACTAGTAATAGGGTGCACCGGTGTGAGATCGCGAGACAGTCTGTAGATCTACTGTATGAGAGTAAGTGTGTAGCGGCTAACGACACGATGAAGTCGAGTAGAGTGGCAAATGTTGCTGGATAAATCCTGGCTTTTATAAATCATGTTTCCTCCGATTGGTTCTACTTGGAGTCGTGGTCAAACTTTCCACTACTCGGTGTAGTAACTACAGTGTACTTCGTTGTTGCTGTGTTTCTCCCGACAGGCTGGTGGAATCGCTGTATCCACTTCATGGCCACACAATAGCATTTTTCTTGCAAAACAACATCTTGCGCACATCTGAAGTCCAGGACATTATTCTAGTATTGTTGTTAGTATAGCAGTGAAGCTATCAGACATGGAACAACGGCACAGAGCAGCTCTTCGTAAGTGCCGGGTACGGCTGATTCGAGATTTGAAGCCAACCGTAGTCTCGCATCCTCTCGTTGAGCTGGGCCTGCTCACTGAGGGCGAGGAGGAAGAGGTCCGTTGTCAAGGCACAACGCAAGCAAAGAATGAGGTGATCCTCAGCTGTATTCCGCGGAAGGGACCACGTGCTTACGAAAAATTCCTGGGACTGCTCGAGTCGCTGGAATCGCAGAAATCGCTGGCAGAGGAGCTGCGGAAAGCAGATGGTAGGTGATTGGTGTGCTGCTATTTACAGTACTAAGTCGTGTTGGCCCACACATTGTCAGTATCAAGACTAAGAGCAGACTCATGTTCGTAGGTTATGAAGTCAGTACTGCACAGTCACCATTCACCTGTGTGCGCACAGTCCGCACCACATAACAGCAGATAGTCTATTGTATTCCTGAGCTGTGGCCAACACGGTAACCTTTTTTTTGGAATCGCCGGAATCGGAATTGCACGGAGGCAAACGCACAGGAACCAAAGCACGGCAGAATGACTTTGGAATGGTGTTGCAATGACACCGAACAAACGCAACGTTAGACAGCAGCTTAGGGGGGTTGGTTTGAGGGGTCTCAGCCAAATCTGTACAGCGCCATGAAAGCTCCCCCGCATACTTCGCCAGAACCACAAGTTGGCGCCTATGATGTGAGCATACACGACCACCAAGCCCAGTGCTGCCGAATCATCCGATTTGTTAGACACTGTCTGAAAAACCACCCGCTGTCTGAAAGCCAATCCGAAATACTTCTTGACGTAGCAGCTTTTTTGATTTCGGTGAAAACCTAAGGACGGTACTGCACATACTGGTATCATAATAATATTATAGGCCGCGGTCAGCTAACCATGTCTTTGGGGTTTTGTAATTTTTCTTGACAAATGACGGAATGAAAAGTTTTTTTCTGTCGAGCGTGTTCACGCTGTGCTTCATTCATCAACCAGTGGCGATAGCATCTTGTCGAACTTCGTTCTCACACTTGTTTGGCGGTCTAGTTTAAGCAGCTGGTGCGCAAAGTGACAGTTTTCTGGTATAAAAAATTGAAAATAAGGCCAAGTAAAAAATTGATTTAGGCCATCATTTTTTATATCTATGTTTCGCGTCGTCCGCACGCATACGTTTTGCCTTTTTTCGGAAAAAAATAAAAAATCGAACATACACAGTGAGTGTACGATCGTGCGATCGATCGTCAGTGTGGACAGGTTGCATACGGCGAAGCTGGGATTCAGAAATGGCCTCGACGCCAGCGTTGGTAAATCGTTTGTTCGGCATCTGCGAGCAGTATTCTATGAGCTTACACCAGACCGCATCGATTGCCTCAAGCTGAGAGGATGCGTCGTTCCAGACCTCTTTGCACCGCTGCTGAAGTCTGAGTACAATAATCCAGCGAAGCATGGGCACCAACGGTTGCCTCGTCTGTCCAAAGTGAATATTTGCTCATGCTGATATTGATAACCCAGATGTTGTGCTTGGATGTAGCATTTTTCTTTCGAATGTACACCATGCACGAGCTATTGTGCTATGTACAGTTTTAGCTAATTCTATACACCTCTGATGAGCCTTTTTATTATTTTGCAATTTTTTATTTCTTTCCACCTCTCGCATATGATTCTGGAAGTTGAGCTGACGCGAAACATAGATATAAAAAATGATGGCCTTATAGAAAAGAAAAAAGGACCGAGAAACTAACAGTTCCGCTATAATGTCCACTAACACCACCAGTTACTAAACAATCAGCTCATGCGATAACATTGCACAACACTGACGGACGGTACTGACGTTCTACAACTAACTGGCTATCAGCTAACGTCCTTCACAGCTGAGACTTTCAGCTCGTGCTTGTCTTGTTTGCGCTCACCTTCCCCTGCTATGTTATCATATAACTTAGAACCTTCCAAGTTGGAAGGCTATTGGAGTGCGCATCCAAGATGTGCTAGAGCTGATAGCCAGTTAGTTGTAGAACGTCAGTACCGTCGGTCAGTGTCGTGCAATGTTATCGCATGAGCTGATTGTTTAGTAACTGGTGGTGTTAGTGGACATTATAGCGTAACTTGTAATTTCTCGGTCCTTTTTTCTTTTCTATAAATTTATCCTTGGCTCTCCGAGTCCAAAAAATGATAGTTTATCGTCAGCGCCTACCCCGAAACTTCGCCCTTCCGGCCGGAATATATTATTTTTTAGTTCCGGTAAGACCATACCGATTAGTTAATTCTATATTTCGCGGGCGGGCGGGCGGAAAAAAACGAAAACGGAGGAAAAACAAAACTCCATGCTATGTGTACTGAGCCATGTTGCACACAAAATAGAACTGCTAAACTATCGCTTACAGTCAAACCTCGTCAGGAGGAACTTCAAGGGACCGAACAAGTTTGTTTGTCTTATCCGGAGTTCTTCTTATCCAGACCTGACAAAAAAATTGATATGCGTACCATATGGATTGTATTTATGTGAAGGTGCATGCTTTGGCAAATGTAAAACATTTTTTCATAACATAACCCAGCAACAGGTAAGTACAATGTGCAATGAATTCATGACAGCATGTCCTCCGCCTTGTAACATGTTTTGCCAGTACAAGAGGCCTCGACTATCAGGAAAAACTACAGCCAGCACACCCACAGGGACCGAACTTTCGTACTACACGCTAATTTTGTTCAAATCACGCTTGAAACTAGTTTGTCTTCACGAAAGTTCGCCGTACAGGAGTTCGTCGTAAACTAATAATTTTGACTTGATATGATGCCTGGCCAACCATAGGATTGGCCCTAGTTCGTACTAAAGGAACGTTCGCCTTGTCAGTGTTCGTCCTAATGAGGTTTGACTGTATATCCAAAACGACAACAAGTCGCCACAGGACAGCTTGCAGACTGGGCTGGAGCGATACAGTAACAGATTTCATGGATGGCTCCTTCTGCTCTTTGACATGAGTCGAGTGGAATTCCGCTCCATCATGATCCTGGAAAATCTCAGAGTTCTTGATACCTGGAATCTCCACTCGCTTAAGCGCGCGCTTGGTGAGCAGGCCCTACCGCACAACGTGCAAAAATAGAAATTTCCATCACTCGCACTTTCTACGTACCATCGCCTAGGGTGCAAGATTATCGAGAAGCTGATAACCTCTGATCTGCCATACTGGCGAGAATGTTCGCCAGAATAGCCATCGATTGATTCGTCTGTATGCTTTTTTTCTTCTTGTCGACGATTCGAAAAGGTACACGCGCGGTGACGCGGAACATAGAAATAACTTGGTGTGACCTAAATGTACTGTATATACTGTGATCTATGCCTATACGGCCTCTAATTAGCGTGGCTGTAGATATTGGAAAAGGCCAAGTCCGCAGATTGAACCATGCATGTAGGTGCTATGGGCTTGAAAAGTGAAAGAGATTATCAGCTGCCTTATTTTTGCGCAGAGTGAGATAAATCCTTGTGATGGAAGTAGATGAATTGTCAGCCACGAATAACATCTTGCAAGATAATTTTGAGGATGCAAATAAGGAAAAGTGAAACAACCAACACAGGACAACAAAGAAAGAAAAATGGCTTCCAAAAGAATAATATTATAGAAGAAAAAGGCATGTCTAGGGTTTGCGAACACCTACCATACAGTCATATATTATGCGAAATAAAAAGGAAATAAAATACCTCCCATCCGCCCTGATTTCTCGGGAAAATCTAACGATAAACAATCAATATAATTTAACTCTGTATTTTCCATGGCCTAATAAGACATGTTTAGCTGGCTGTGGCCTGTATTATGGATAAGCAGGATAACGTTACACGGAACATAAGATTGACGTCCGATTATTGCGTTTCCAAACTGCTCCATTCACACAAGGTATGATTACACACACTTGAGAGGAATCAAAAGCGTTTCTGCTGTAACTCTGAGTTTCACGGTTTTAACCGATCATCAGACAGCAACTTGCCTACAATTTTCAGAAGATATGATTGATATAGGCTGCAAGCTTGGATCATGGCGCGAATGAATGATCCAGGTTGATGGTGTGATATGAAAATGATTGCGTGAGTTGGGTGATGGGGTGCAAAATAAGCACAAAAAGAAGGTATGATTATATGTGTACTGTATATCGATGTTCACATCTCCAGAGCTGGATGGTGGCCGGAAAGGATCTCGGCGGCTGCGGGAAAAATCACCCAGCTCTCCGCAAATGTCGCCCACCACCATCGGAGGGAATGTTGTTGCCCAGGAATCCGAAATGCCAATGGAAGCTTCAGAAGAGCCAAGGTGGGCACCGGTGCCTTCGGAAAATGCTGCTCCGGGTGGCTTAATGGCATCGCAACCTGTGGATACTATCCCAAAGTTCCTTGTCAAAAGCACGGTGAATTTAGACGATGAAAACCTCGTCTACCCCATGAAGCACCGGCCACGAGGTTTATCGATTGTTATCAACAACAAGAACTTCCATCGCAAATGTCGGATGAACAAGCGGAATGGAACTGACAGAGATGCCGAGACTCTTGACAAGGTGAGAGCAACATGGGCCAGTATAGGACCATGCTTTCTTACCGTTATTGGGTCCCAGGTCAGGCGTAAAATCTGACACCGTGTTCATTGTTCTCATCTTCAAAGGCATGTGGGGAATGGAGTTACCTTGCATTGGTCTAGTCCTCTCCACGCCATGGTGTGGACGGTGAAAGGTGAGACGTTACATCTGTGGCTTAGATTGAAATATGGATGGTAGCCGACTCAAATCTGCACTGGTGTATAAGCCATACCCCTTCCCCCTCCTAGAGGCAATTATCACATTCCAGTTAGTATTTATGTGTATGCAAGTGGCTAATCGGGGTACAATGTACTGTATATGGCGTATGGGCCATTTTGGCTCGATTTGGCGTGAAGAAAGTGTGAACTTTACCGCGTGAAGTAAGGCATCTTTGGTACATGGTATAAAAGCCTTATACCAATGCGTAATACATCACTTTACTTCATTTCGCCACTCTAGGATTTCAGCATATGAAATAGCCACTATGACTGGGAAGTGTCTTGTCTTGAACACCGTGCACTTTGTATACAACGGTGTAGCATCACCAGCGCAATTTCATGGATTCTGGCTCTTCCATTTCCTATGCTTGTGTGTTTGTATGCAGTTGTGGACAGACCTCGGTTTCAGTAACACTGTGTACCATGACGTTACCAAGCCTCAGGTCGAGGAGTACTTCTCCGCGTTGGCCAAACGGGACCACTCGAACTATGATTGCGTGATTGTGTCCGTACTGACACATGGCTTGGATGGTGGGCGCATATACACATCGGACGGGGAGATTGCCTCGCTGGAGAAGCTGCTGTCCAACTTTAATGCAGACCGAGCCCACCCAACTCTTGTGGGCAAGCCTAAACTATTTTTCATTCAAGTAAGGACAGTATTCACGATGCCACTCTGTTGGGCATAGTGAAGGGTTTCAGTAGTCCCGGAGAAAACATGTTGCTGATTTGTTGAGGAGCTGGTTAGTAAACCTAGAATGCTATGTGTGCAGGATGGGAAAGGACTGCCTGCAATTACACCAGCAGATTCCTCAGTCATGCTGTATGGCTTCTACAAATGTCTCCTAAGCACGCTTGACGATACTGCTGTCCTCGTAAGCAACTTCAACTTAACTACCTCCCACAGTTGCAGAACATTTCTGGGGTTATTCATGTACATGTACATCTAGTCCCTGCAAGCAACAGTTCTGTATGCTTGTTTGTGTTCCTTCAGGCCTGCCGTGGAGATGACTTTGACAAGGCGACGGACGTTCCTGATTCTGGTGCGGCAGACATTGCCCGCTACCTTGATCAGGATGCAACGGATGGCAGTGAGTTGCAGTCGTTGCCCGCCCAGGCTGATATGCTCATAGCTTACGCCACCACTCCAGGCTACGTGTCCTGGCGCAACTCCGAGCACGGATCCTGGTTCATTCAAGCTATTGACGAAGTGTTCCGCAAGGAGGCCTACACTGAGGAGCTCTGTGCTATGATGGTGGAAGTGAACCGTGTGGTTGCAAGGGATTATGAAGCTAGCGGGCGACACAAGCAGATGCCGTCACCAATCATCCAGCTTCTGAAGAAACTCTTTTTTCGGCCAAATTATTTTGTCAGCTGAGAGATTTCGCAGCAAACGTCAGGTACGATTACTGCCTGCAGATGAGTGTTGTTGTTGAAACAGTGACTGTGGCCATTCCTGAATGACCTCCAAGGTGAATGAACCTAATGACACTGCTCACGGTCCGAAACATGATAAGTTACCACGTTCCATCTGGTGTTCCTGCATTGTTTTAAGGATGGTGCAGGCTTTACTGCCATTTCATTTTTCACTCTTTACATGACATCATCACTAATAAGCTCTACAGGGTCATGTTGATTATTAATTATGGTGGTACCTTGCTGCGCACAACCTGCAGTGTTGGACTAATACTTTCAGCAGGTTGATGTGGTACCATAAACCGAAAGAGATGATAACCTCATTATTGTAAATAGACTTTGAACAGAACATCTATCCAATTTGAATCTCAGGTTGTTTGCTATCATCCCTATTTGCTATGTTGTGTGTGTGTGTGTGTGTGTGTGTGTGTGTGTGTGTGTATGTGGTGTCTGCGTGCCTGTGTACGGTTTGTGTGCATGCTTGTGTGTCAGTATCGCACAAACCAGAACACCCGTGTATGTACATGACAGGGCCGCTCAGAAGTCGGTGATCGGAATACACACCGGACCAGTGCTTGCAGTCTACCAGTGTCCACTGATTCGTTAGGACCTTGAGCCTGTGAAAACTGAGAAGCACGCCCTTCTGTGCTGGCTGCAGCAGAGGGATACTTTGGATTTTACACTCGTACTTGTATCTCTCAGTTATCCGCCGGCCGCACCTTGAAGTTAGTTACGGGCACCTCGGTCTACTGGGTACCTTGGGGTCGAGTTTTCTTTGGAAATATTGCCATTCTGTGGAAATATTGATGTCATATGCCAGATCTCTGACCCTTCCCCATTGTTGGAAAGTGTGTGATTCAGAGTTACGGACGTTTCCAAGTTAAGGGCAGTGCCTGGTCCCCGGATCTCCCGGCAGTGGATAAGAGACATATGTGTCAGTGTAACTCATTTGCCTCCTTAGAATCTCATGGTGGCCCGGCTAGCACCTTCCCAGCCGAGTCTACAGTACTGAGTTGCTCACCTGCCATAAGGACAAGACTGTCAAGTACTTAGTTACTTGCTTGAGTGCTGTCTGAATCCAAGCGTGACCTGGTTCAAGACCCTCTTGCCAGCCTGTCTTGGTCCTGTTCACATCAGGACCCCGGAGTAGTATAACATAATTATTGGAATCGACTGGATTATGTACTACTCCCGAAATGCACACTCACGACCATGCATTATTATGATTCACACACCAGTCCAGTCCGCATGCACAGACTATCGGTCTGAATGCAGTGTTCGTAGATCTACCAAGCTTGCAAGGAGTCCTAAAAATGACACAGTCACTGAGTCTGTCAGTCAGCCTGGTCAGAATGCACACAGCCTGCACAGGCTAGGCTGGGCAAGCTTGACAAAATGACAACAAAAAAAACGACAAGCTTCTTCTTTTTTGATTTTGCGAAAATGATAACGTCATAGAGAGTGTCGACATCGTCGACACTCACACTGTCAAGTGTCATGCATATGTATGCATGCATTCACATGCACACTAGTGACATCATGGAGCATGTACTGATTTTTTAAAAATAATTATTATTTTTTGGATTCTTTGAAATAGTCCGCATTACCATCATGCATCACTCGATCTACTACTACTGTACTATCACTTCTTACTTGCTTCCGTTTATTTATTTGTCTCCGGCGTTTTCTTGCAAAGCGAGTCAGTTGTACTAAGCTAGTGGTTTTTACGAAGCAGCTGTCGAATTAGCTCGCACATCGCTCGTAGTAGTTTCTTGCCAGCGCTTCTAGAAGCCATGCTACGTACGTGTACACAGATGTATCGTGATTTTTGAAGAGCTTTACGAGACTTCTACAATGCCATGTAGCTTGTTGTTCATGCATATCATTACTACTCATGCCAGTATCTAGCCAAGAACCAAGTATGCCTGGTGAACGGAACGAAGCTTTGTGCTCCTTCGAATATATTGATCGTCGTAACACCAGGAATCATTTGTGCATGGCATGCTGTCAGTGTGAGGCATTAGACATGGTAGGGGACAGTATTGTGCGTGGCGAGGCCCCCAGTTCGGAGATGATGGCAGAGCTACGTGATGACGTATTGGATAGACTGCGCATACCCAGTGCTGGTGGTGCTCGTAAGCTGGAAGTAGCCTTACTGATACCTAATGCATTTATTGGACTAGTGCTATTCCTGGGGTCTCTTCATTTTGCCCTGGCTGTCATCACGCCGTTTCTACTGATGGCCGGCGTTAACTTTCTCTACCAGCTATGGAGACGCGGCGCTGTGAGCGGCAACTTGTTCCTTAGTGCCGTACCATCCATACTACTGTGGATATACAGCATCAGTGTGTTATACATCACACCGACCTGCTCCGTGCAGCTCATAGTCATTATTCACGGAGGATTCTTACTGCTAGCGTATTGTATACGCCAAACGCAATCTGTCAATCCCGGTGTGCTGCCGCCGAAGTATTCACTAGAATCGCCGGAGGGCCATGTTGTGGCTCTTCCTGTTGATGCATGCGGCAAGTGCGGCGCTGTGCAGCAAGAGCTTAGTAGGCACTGCAGGTATGTGACTGTGACCGTGGCTGTGAGATGCTATCACAGCCGCTGGGCAAATCAGGGAGGGTCATGTTTGTTTTAATGGCCATCAGTAGGATTTATTTAACTGTTGTCACCAAAATGGGCTGCTCATTACTCCAGTTAGAGCAAGTTTCTTCTTTGACTTGTTTTGTAGACCGTGTCTCCTGGAAGGGTGTTTCCATGACGATTCCTTAACTAGTATTGTTCTTGATTCTTTTCTCCTTTCTGTGCAGGTTTTGCAAACACTGCGTGCGGCGCTATGATCATCACTGTGTCTGGTATGTGTGCATGCTTATCACTGTGTGTGGTATGTGTGCATGCTTACTTTGTGCTCACTGTAGTGAATGACGAACATTTCTGACAATTTTCTACACGAGGAACATCATACTACAGCAGTGGTTGCTGCAGTAGGTGTGAGGCATGAGTGTGACCCTTTATACGGCGTCATCTTTCTTCTGTGTGTCGTATTCTCAACATTAGCATGAAGTTTAGACGCTACGCAATACGCAACGATTGTTTTCATTCAATGTTGGCATTAGTGTTGCCACAATATACATATTTGTGTGTCACTTGCTGCTCTTTGCTGTGTTAAATCATGATCGCAGCCTTCTTTCTCTGTTTCTCTCTCTCTTTCTCTGTTTCTCTCTCTCTCTCTCTCTCTCTCTCTCTCTCTCTCTCTCTCTCTCTCTCTCTCTCTCTCTCTCTCTCTCTCTCTCTCTCTCTCTCTCTCTCTCTCTCTCTGTTATTTCTAGGCTTGACTGCTGTATTGCAGCGCAGAATCATCGCTGGTTTCTCTCAGTACTCATCATGCTGATCGTGATGAGCTATGCCTATCTGGTATGTGCTGTGCGTGCCGACTGCTCTTCTTATCCTGGCATTCCAGAGGAGATTGCATCAAACTGGCACAAGGGCACCTGCCTGATGTATGCTTTCGCTTATTGGAAGTAAGTACATGTATTGATTAATGCCAGTACTTGTTCTATACACCACATGCCAGCAAGTCTTTCTTTTCTCTGTCTGTTCCTGTCTTGCTGAGCATTCCACTTTTGCAGGGGGGGGGGGGGTTCAAGAACATCAAGTCCATGAACGTCCAGCCTTGAAAACTCGGAATGTCCTGGGCTATAGCTAGAGATACTAGGGACCTTTCGCATTTGCTACGAAACGAATGCGAAACGAAAGTTTGATTCGGCTCGTAATCGTTTCGTTAAAAACAGATTTCAGGTTTCGCAAGTCGTCATGCAAATGTGCATGGCAAGTACGAATACGGCCGCGGGCGCCGGTAGTTTGGCGTACGGGTTTTTACACGCACACGTGCATGGATCATGGAATCAAGGGAAAAGTGTGTACCTTACAAAACATGTGTACCTATCCAAATAAATGTGTACCTGACGGATTCGGAGCGTGCCGCGAATGAAGAGGCTTCCATTCGTGAAAACGAGTCCTCCGCAGGTACTCTGACGAATCCTCGAACCCAGGTGACGAATCAGCATTCGTTTCGTATCCGTACCCGGGGTGCGAAAGGTCCCTAATATCCTGACTCTACTCGTACTGTGCACTGTGTGTACTGGACATGAGGTAGTAACTTTTAGGAAAGAGCCAGCCTGAGAGGGAAGACGTGGTGTTCGTGGAGCCCTGAGCGTTGTGGAAAGCGGTACGAATGTCTGCTCACACAAGGGCCACGGATGGTATGCGGGTGTTTGCAATGCTTTGCTGCAGTCATCGCAACTAAGAACCAGACAGTTTTCCCTTGTGTCTGAAGACTACTTCTATGTATTGCAAGGGCCTGTAGTTACCAAGGTAGCAAGCATGGCTCAACTGTAGGCTTGCAGTGCCCTGAATTGACGCATGGCT